AAACCAAAGTTTCCCACCCGGCTCTCCCCAGCGGCAGCTCTGCGCATCTCTGATCGTAGCTGTGCTTGTCTGCTGTGCAGCTGCCGGCTTGTGAAGCTCTCGGGAGACCTCTGTGTTCCACCCGGTTTTACCCAGAGGTCAGCCCGGCGTATCTGTGACTCAGAAGCTCTGGTGTTGTGCACAGTTAACTCTGGTTGTAGCTAGGTTGCTACCTCTGTTAGCTTAGCTTCCACCTCTGAGTTAGCTTTGGGTTAGCTTGTAGCTAACAGGTGTCGTCATTTCATCCTAGCCTTACAGCCCCATCCTCAGCTCCACCTCTCTTCCCTTTTGTGGAATTGCCTGGGCTTGACGGAACCCGTGACACGGTCAAAATGGCGGTGGTGGCCACCTCCCATTTTAACTCAAAAACGTATTATTGGAGCCTATGGAAACCCATTGTCCATATATATGTATGTCAATGGTGGAGAAGAGCCAGCTGAGGTGGCATGGGCATCTGGTCAGGATGCCTTCTGGACGCCTCCCTGGTGAGGTTTTCCGGGCACGTCCAACTGGAAGGAGACCCAAGGGAAGATCCAGGACATGCTGGGGGGACCACGTCTCTTGACTGGCCAGGGAATGCCTTGAGATTCCCCCTGAAGAGCTGGCTCAAGTAGCTGGGGTGAGGGAAGTTTGAGCATCCCAGCTTAGGCTGCTGCCCCCGTGACCCGACTCCGGATAAGTGGCTGAAAATGGATGGATGGATATTAAATCCCAACAAGTAGGCTAGAAAAGTCCCAGGAATGTCCCACATGATCTGTTTTCAACAGTGGGTCGGCTATTGCATTGCAACTGTAGGCTGCACAAAAATGGACATAGTTGCCCACCCTGCATTGACTCCAGTTGGGTTTGGAGAGGGAGGAACCCATCCAATATGGCAGTGATGCTGGTATGCTCTCCAGTGCCCAATGGGGCATCTACATATTCACGTCTATGGTATCAGGCATCCATCTCAACTCCTTCCCTTCTCCATGGGTGTTTCTCAATGCCAAGGAACCTCGTCTTGATGTCTTGATCCCACCTGATATCTGAAATGTTTCTTTTTAGAGCCAAAGAAGTTTGCTATGGTTAGTTAGATGCTAGTAGTTACAGCTTTGGTGGTTAGCAGCCAGGTAGTAACTCACATACATATTCAATTTAACAAATATATACACATTTTAAAATGTAAAAGCCTCATTATATATTTAGATTGAAACTTATACGTCTCGTCTCGTCTCGTCTCGTCTCGTCTTCCTCCGCTTATCCGGGTCCGGGTCGCGGGGGCAGCATCCCAACTAGGGAGCTCCAGGCCGTCCTCTCCCCGGCCTTGTCCACCAGCTCCTCCGGCAGGACCCCAAGGCGTTCCCGGACCAGATTGGAGATGTAACTTCTCCAACGTGTCCTGGGTCGACCCGGGGGCCTTCTGCCGGCAGGACATGCCCGAAACACCTCCCCAGGGAGGCGTCCAGGAGGCATCCTGACCAGATGCCCAAACCACCTCAACTGGCTCCTTTCGATCCGGAGGAGCAGCGGTTCTACTCCGAGTCCCTCCCGAATGTCCGAGCTCCTCACCCTATCTCTAAGGCTGAGCCCGACCACCCTACGGAGGAAACTCATTTCGGCCGCTTGTATCCGCGATCTCGTTCTTTCGGTCATTACCCAAAGCTCATGACCATAGGTGAGGATTGGGACGTAGATCGACCGGTAAATCGAGAGCCTGGCTTTCTGGCTCAGCTCCCTCTTCCCCACGACAGATCGGCTCAGCGTCCGCATCACTGCAGACGCCGAGCCAATCCGCCTGTCAATCTCCCGATCCCTCCTACCCTCACTCGTGAACAAGACCCCGAGATACTTAAACTCCTCCACTTGAGGTAGGACCTCTCCCCCGACCCGGAGGTGGCAAGCCACCCTTTTCCGGTCGAGAACCATGGTCTCAGATTTGGAGGTGCTGATCCTCATCCCAGCCGCTTCACATTCGGCCGCGAACCTACCCAGCAAGAGCTGAAGGTCAGAGCTGGATGAAGCTAGGAGGACCACATCATCCGCAAAAAGCAGAGACGAGATTCTCCTGCCACCAAACTCGACACACTCCACACCACGGCTGCGTCTAGAAATTCTGTCCATAAATGTGATGAACAGAACCGGTGACAAAGGGCAGCCCTGGCGGAGTCCAACCCTCACTGGGAACAGGTCCGACTTACTACCGGCTATGCGGACCAAACTCACGCTCCTCTGGTAAAGGGACTGAATGGCCCTTAACAGAAAGCCACCCACCCCATACTCCTGGAGCGTCCCCCACAGGGTGCCCCTGGGGACACGGTCATAAGCCTTCTCCAAATCCACAAAGCACATGTGGATTGGTTGGGCAAACTCCCATGCCCCCTCCATCACCCTTGCAAGGGTATAGAGCTGGTCCACAGTTCCACGGCCAGGACGAAAACCACATTGCTCCTCCTCTATCTGAGATTCAACTATCGATCGGACCCTCCTCTCCAGTACCTTGGAGTAGACCTTTCCAGGGAGGCTGAGGAGTGTGATCCCCCTATAGTTGGAACACACCCTCAGGTCACCCTTCTTAAAGATGGGGACCACCACCCCGGTCTGCCACTCCCTAGGAACTGCCCCCGATGACCACGCAATGTTGTAGAGACGTGTCAACCATGACAGCCCTACAACATCCATAGCCTTGAGATACCCAGGACGAACCTCATCCGCCCCCGGGGCTCCGCCGCTGTGTAGTTGTTTGACTACCTCAGCAACTTCTGCCCCCGAGATCGGACAGTCCATCCCCAGGCCTCCCAGCTCTGGTTCCTCCTCGGAATGCGCATTGGTGGGATTGAGGAGCTCCTCAAAGTATTCCTTCCACCGTCCGACTATAGCCTCAGTTGACGTCAGCAGCTCCCCATCCCCACTGTAAACAGTGTGAGCGAGTTGCTGCCTTCCTCTCCTGAGGCGCCGGACAGTTTGCCAGAACCTCTTTGGAGCCGATCGATAGTCTTTCTCCATGGCCTCACCAAACTCCTCCCACGCCCGAGATTTTGCCTCGGCAACTGCCACTGCTGCACCCCGCTTGGCTATCCGGTACCTGTCTGCTGCCTCCGGAGACCCACAGACCAGCCACGCCCTGTAGGCCTCCTTCTTCAGCCTGACGGCTCCCCGAACCTCTGGTGTCCACCAGCGGGTACGGGGGTTGCCACCACGACTGGCACCGGCCACCTTACGACCACAGCTAGCAACAGCCGCCTCGACAATCGCAGAGTGGAACAAGGCCCACTCGGACTCAATGTCCCCCACTGCTCTCGGGACGTGGTCAAAGCTCTGCCGGAGGTGGGAGTTGAAGACCGTCTTGACAGGTTCTTCTGCCAGGCGTTCCCAGCAGACCCTCACTATGCGTTTGGGTCTGCCAGGTCTACGCGGCATGTTCCCTTGCCATCTGATCCAACTCACCACCAGGTGGTGATCAGTTGACAGCTCCGCCCCTCTCTTCACTCGGGTGTCCAAAACATACGGTCGCAGGTCAGATGATACGACTACAAAATCTATCATCGACCTGTGACCTAGGCTGCCCTGGTACCAAGTGTACCGGTGGGCATCCTTATGTTCGAACATGGTGTTCGTTATGGCCAAACTGCGGCTTGCACAGAAGTCCAATAACAAAACACCGCTCGAGTTCTGATCAGGTGGGCCGTTCCTCCCAATCACACCCCTCCAGGTCAAGCTGTCATTGCCCACGTGAGCATTGAAGTCCCCCAGCAGGACAATGGAGTCCCCTGATGGAGCACTATCTAGCACTCGTCCCAGGGACTCCAAAAAGGGTGGGTACTCTGAACTGATATTTGGCCCATACGCACAAACAACAGTCAGGACCCGTTCCCCGACCCGAAGGCGCAAGGAAGCTACCCTCTTGTCCCCCGGGGTAAACCCCAACACACAGGCAGAGAGTCTCGGGGCTAACAAAAAGCCAACCCTAGCCCTCCGCCTCTCACCCGGAGCAACTCCAGCAAAGTAGAGTGTCCAACCCCTCTCCAGGTCTCGGGTTCCAGAGCCAATGCAATGTGTCGAGGTGAGTCCGACTATATCTAGCCGGTACCGCTCAACCTCTGCCACAAGCTCCGGCTCCTTCCCCGCCAGCGAGGTGACGTTCCATGTCCCAAAAACTAGTTTCCTTGTCCGGGGATTGGACCGCCAAGGCTCCCGCCTTGGTCTGCCACCCGATTCACATTGCACCGGACCCTTCATGTTCCTCCTGCGGGTGGTGGGTCCACAGTTGGACGAGCCCATGTATCCGGTTCGGGCTGGGCCCGGCCGGGCCCCATGGGCGAAAGCCCGGCCACCAGGCGCTCGCTCACGGGCCCCAACCCCAGGCCTGGCTCCAGGGTGGGACCCCGGTAACCCTCCGGGCCGGGTACTCCGACTCTTCGTTTTCACCGCCATGAAAGATCCTTCGAACCGTTCTTTGTCTCACCCTTCACCTAAGACCAATTTGTCATGGGAGACCCTACCAGGGGCACTAAGTGCCCCAGGCAACATAGCTCCTAGGATCATTAGGGCACTCAAACTCCTCCACCACGATAAGGTGACGGTTCAAGGAGGAGGAAACTTATACGTATAAAATAAAACATTACCTCCTGCGTCACATGACGTTACGTGACTGCCGCAAAGCCGTGGTTACGTAATGCAAGTCTGTTCCATTTAACCGTTTTCTTTGACCAAGGAAGGAGACTGTCCTTGTAAACAAGGCGCCTTGACATTGAGAAACACCCAACACCCCATCCCTCCTACCTACATTCTCCTCTCCTATTCTGCCCCCTAGTGGTAAATACAACACTCCTCACCTTTAATTATCAAAATGTAGCTTTTTTAATTGTGTTGTAACTGGGATAATTAATCTCAATCTGATATACTTATCAACAAAATGTTATAGTAATAATAACAACAGAACAAAACAAAGTTTAAATCTAAAAATATAAATCATATTTTCTTACCGTTGTCGTCCTTGTCTGCTTTGAGCCCGGCATAAATTTCTCGCAGATTCTCGGGAGTGAGCCAGATGCCATCCCTCACTCGAGAATGAGTCAGTATCTTAGAAGCATTAAAGGCATGATTTACCCACTTACTCTATCCTTTACCTCCATGTTTTTCACTTTACAATTCACAAACACACACCTCTTGAAGCTGCAGTTGTCCATCTTGGTTGATATCAAGAAGGTTAAAGATCTCCTCTGGCCTGAGGTTGAGCTCTTTGGCCAGCTCCTCCTGACCTTCCTGTACCATCAGCTGACTCTCCATCAGACCCTTCAGCTGCGCCAGCTGCATCACCACACGACACTCATCGTCTGACAAAAACCCAGGGATCTCTGCACAATCACACACACAAACACATAAACTTATTTGGGTCATCAGGATTACTGTGTTCTCTGCTTTGTGGGTTTAATCCTGCTAAATTGGTTCAAATATATCAGATATGAGATCAATTTAAGGAAATTACATCTTTATTGTTCATAATGTGGTTTTGTTAAGGGTGTGTGTGTGGGCGGTGGGGGGATGAATTATTGTGTTTGGTGTGTTTGGGTTGAACACAATAATAAAATGTATTATTATTAATACTGAGTATTCCACACTCTCTAAACAGAATGAACCAGATTTGTAGCAGAATACTGCAATATGTTTTTAACTCCAGTGAATGAAGGAAATGTGGCTTTTCATTTTGAATAACCTACATATTTTCTCTGCATAGTGTTTTTATTACATATTTATGCAGGGTTGACTGCAGCTTGACATTAGATTGTGTTGCTCAGGTGTGTTTTCTAACCAAACCACCAGTGCATTAGACATGTAAAAAGCTGAGCTGCCCCAGGACTTATTGAACTATAAAGCTTTTGAGGCAAGCTCATCCACACAGCAGGCTCATGGAGAAAGTGCAAATAAAAAATGATTAACACCGCTCTATGTTGACCCCTTTCCCTGTTAGATGCATAAATCTGGCCGTTAGAGGCTTTCTCACCAAACAGCAGAGGTTTCAAGCTCAGGGTCCGCATCTCATGCACTTTGCCCGGCACCAGTGACACCTTCTGGACATGTCCCACCTGAAAGATAAATCGGTTGTTTATTGCTGAGTTTCCGCGTCACAGACAGTGAACGCAAATGAAAGGGCGAGCGCCACGAAAAGTCACATTACTCACCCTGACCCCCTCCATTCTCGTCAGAGAAACATCGCGCATAAATTCTGGTTTTGATGGCGGCGTACGTCTCGACTCAGGGCGCTGCTGGTGATGGACGCCGCTGGGAGCGTCAAGACTCCGGCTGGCGTCCTCCTGCCCGCTGCTGCTGCTGTAGTGCACGTAGAACAGCAGCGCGATGACATTAACGATGTAAACGTGAAAAAACACCATCACAACCACGAAGTACGAGCGGGAGCACACGCTGGTCTTGGGGCCGGGGAGACGCTCGCACGGCGGCCGCAGAGGCAAGGTCGAGCTCCGGCCGGACGGAGTCACGTCCTCCGCTTCCACGGTCTCCTGATTGTCAGTCATTTCTGTCCTGATTCAACGAGCTGGTGGCTCCCTCGCAGCTAATTCCATATGGTCATTCAAAGGCAAAAGCTGAAAGCGTAGTTGTTGCAGACAAGTAGTGGACGAGCGACAGATGTCGAGTTTAATTTCAAAAGAAGAGAACAGAAAATCCTCAGAGAGCTCAGCTCAGTTTGTCACGGGTAGCGGACTCATGACTGAAGTCACAGTACACTTTCAACCCGAGAGCTGTCTCTAGAAGTGTGTGATGATCTTTTATCTCTCAGATAGCAGCGCCTGCAGACTCGGACAGTCTTGTTTACACTGCAGCAGCGCACTGCGCATCCCGACCCAAACCGGCGTATCTACCAAAAAACCAGCATTTAGAGTACCGTGTCTTATCCTATAAATAAAGACAATACATATAAGGGGAAAACACAAAGCAGACTGCGTTTTACCAGCGTGTTCTCCAATCACGGTCCTCAGCTGCCCTTGTTTACAGTCACACAGTCTGTCAGTACAGTGCTGACCTCTGGCGAAGCAACAGCACAACCCTGTCAGTCATCTTATGAAAAACGTGATTTAATGTGAAATAATCGGATTTTAATGACACATTTATTCACAAACTTTTATCAACAATTATTGAACTACAGTAACATTTTAATTATGTCATTATAGAACAATGCAACAATACTAAAAAATAAATAAATGACAAGATTTCACGTGCCACCTGTAGTGCGTTGATCCTCCACCAGAGGGCAGCATGAATGAATGGAATACAGTGCAGTAGGATTTTGAGGAAAGCACTAATCCCAGGGCCGGATTTACCCACCCCCCTGGGGTGGGGGTGGGGGTGGGGGGGGGTGGGGGGTAGATTATCGGGGGACAGGTCTGTGAAATAATTTTTCTGGTGTCACATACCCCCAAATCCCTAAAATGCATAGAAAACTATGCTATCATCATTACAGTTCTTCTATCCATATATCTATCTTTTCCTTTGATCCACTACCCTCTGCATTTACTTGGGCTTGGGACTGGCACAAATGGGACACTGGCTTGTTCCCTATTGGGGCTGCATTAATCTTTTTTCTATCTATCTATCTATCTATCTATCTATCTATCTATCTATCTATCTATCTATCTATCTATCTATCTATCTATCTATCTATCTATCTATCTATCTATCTATCTATCTATCTATCTATCTATCTATCTATCTATCTATCTATCTATCTATCCATCCATCCATCCATCCATCCATCCATCCATCCATCCATCCATCCATCCATCCATCCATCCATCCATCCATCCATCCATCCATCCATCCATCCATCCATCTATCTATCTATCTATCTATCTATCTATCTATCTATCTATCTATCTATCTATCTATCTATCTATCTATCTATCTATCTATCTATCTATCTATCTATCTATCTATCTATCTATCTATCTATCTATCTATCTATCTATCTATCTATCTATCTATCTATGTGTTTTATCTTTTTTATGTCTTTAATCTATTTTATCTCTATCCATCTATTTTATCTGTCTATTCTTCCATTTTATATTACTTATATATTTTTTATTTTATTTTATTTTTTTTATTTTAGAATTGTTGTTTTTATTTCTTTATGGGTTTTTTCAGTCATTACAGCATCAGCCGTCAGCTTTTCTGTGCTAAAGTCCTAACAAATCCATCCATATCTAAGCCTGTTGTTATGACCTTCTCGTGAGCCAGAATGACTAAATTTCTTTTTCTCTCATGTAGCGTAGTACGGCGGAACGGGGTAAGAACACGATACAAAGTGGAGAAAGAGCTCTCGCATGATGCTGCTGATATTCCAATCACAAGGGAGGTCACATACGTGCGATGGAGCTGAGGAAAGGCATTCTTATACCCATGTAGATATGTGCAAATGGTGGAGAGGTCTACAAACTCTACGCTGTTATCATCATCAGTCTTTTTGAACTCTTTCTCCAACCTTATTTTTGCAACAAGAATCTCATTGGAAAGTTTGTCACTTCCTGTCATTTTCTGTAGAGGACTTAACATGTCAGGATCTAGAAAAGAGGGAGACTGAGGTTGAAGGCAGTTAACTGCTTTAATGAGAAGGAGATTGCTTTTGGAGAATCTTGTCTCCATCTCTACAATGACTGTGTCCAAAATGTTGAGAAGAGCTCTCCTCAGAGCCTGGCTAGGAGTTGTGGAGTCTTCTGTGTGGCTCACAGTGGACATTACAACACTACCTGTTAGCAGTGAGCTTGTTTTTTTTTTGTCTTTTAGCAGCTGGTGCAGGTGTGCTGGTTAAAGTCTCACTTTCCTCATCTCTCATCTGCTTCAAAGCCTGCAGAGATGCACTGACTCTGAAGCACAGCACAAGTCAACAGAGTGAGACTGCAGCATAGAATTTGCAGACTTCAAGGAACCCAGAACTTTTTGGAGGAATTTTCCTATTTCAAAGAAATTGTGCCTCCTTAACATCATCAACAGTCCTGATGCCTCTGTACAGATATCAACAGCAGCAGCTCTGTCCTCTGCAACCTCTGACAGGATACTCATAACAGCATCCTGATTCTCCACAAGGCACTTGGTCACATCATGGTGGCTTGTCCACCTGATCTCCAACAGTCGTTTCAAGGAGGGAACGTCATAGTTCTGTGAAACATAATGACGGTGGAAAAATGAGTGTAGAGATCCTGAAAGATCAAAACAGGTTTTTGCACATGGCTCTGCCTGCATTGCATGGACCTCTGCCGAGTGCAGCTGTTGGTTAGCAGTGGATGTAGGGAAAGTCCTTCCCTACCTTCTTCTGCAGTAAGGCCTGAACTCCACCCCTGACCCCACTCATGACAGAAGCTCCATCATAGCACTGACTGATCATTTCAGCTGCACTATAACCTGAGTCCGAGAGATGCTCAAGAATTTGGGTGGTAATAAAATCAGCATTTAACTGACTGAGGTCAAGCAGACCGATCAGCTGTTCTTCTGGAATGCCATTACCGACAAATCTAACCATGACTGACTGATTCTCCACCTTGCACCTGTCCACAGTTCCATCACTTTTAATGCAAAACCCAGCATAATCTGCTTTGTCATAATTATCTTTGATCTTTTTTAATACCATTTTTGCCAGTGTGTCAAAAATTTCGTTTTGTATGTTGTGAGATGTGTATTTTGCATTTTCCGGGATGCGTTTGTTTATTTAATTAAATTTGGAGTCTTTGGTCAACCATTTTTAAGGACAGTCCTGCAGAGAAATCATCATCGTTGGATGATGAAAATCTACCGGCCAAGCATATTTTTTACCGGCTAAAATTCTAAATGATTTAGTTAAAGGCACGTAGAGTTTCTTGGTCCCACCTTTCTCTGTGAGGTTGCAGAGAAATTTTGGAACAGGGGGCTCAACGTGACTCATTTCCTTCACTTTCTCAGATGCTCGGTGATCTGACTCCAACTGCAACGCCAGGGTGGCGTTGTAGGGATCTTCCTCTGAGGGGTGTGTAATAGGAGGTGGAGTTCTTTTGGACTGGAAGTCCTCTCCTCAATCAGCTGCATAGGAGGAGTCATTTCCTCAACCATCAAAGTGGGAGGAGTCATTGTTGAGGCCGCATCTTTTCTCTGAGGGGCCGGAGCTTCCTGCAAGATTGGATCAGGTGCACGGGTTGAAACAGAAAGCACGTCCACCTTCTTTTTGTCTTTCCTGTTAATCGTGTCAAGAATCCTCTGGGTGATTTCTAAGTCACCTGATGTAATGTTCACGATTTCATCTGTTTTGTTGTCTGTATCCCTGTTCATAGGGTTCTCCCGAGGGGAAGAGGACCTGTGGTTAGTTGGGGATCGACGCCCAGGCTGATAGGATTGCTCCTAATAAGGGTGTGGGTTCTGAAACTGATAATCTGACTCACATCTCGCCGACTCTGAGGTGGCGGCCACCTACCTCGGTAGAATTGCTCCTGGTGTCTTTTTTTCTGGAAAGTAGTGATTAGGCTCTTCCCTTGCTTCCAGGTGCCATGGTTGACCTCTACCCTGCGGAGGGTGGTAAGGTTCAGCCCATGTTTGATTGTGAGAGGATGCCAGTGGAGGACGTGCATAGGTGCCTGAGCGTTGGGAGTGTAGCTTCAAGATGCAATGGAGGGTCGTTGGAAGACAACATCAGAACACTCGTCTCTGTCTGCTTAGATTTGGTTTGCTGGTACTTCTGGAAGGCCCAGCATGTCCACACTCTTAGGCTTTGAATGGGTGCTGTCTGTCGGTTAGCAAACACTCCCAAATGATGGCTGGTGTTTGGATGCAGACTCTGGAGAAAGAGGGTTTTAAAATGGGGGTCTTCCTCCATGTCCTGGTCATTTCTTGAGCCAAAGAAAGCATCTAAGAGTCGATAATAATATTCTTGGGGATGCTCATTCTTAGCCTGTTTGACGTTTAGAGCTAAGGACAATCCTGTTTGGGAGACAAAACCAGGGCATTCTCTGGTTATAACCTGGGACAAATGCTCGCAGTCTCTTTTGATGACCTCAGGCTGTCACTCAACGAATCTACTTACCTGCCGACTCGAGGTCATCTTGAGGAGGTAGATTTTGTCATCTACTGCTGCGTATGGGTATTTTCTCAAACAAAACTGGATGTCCTTCAAGTAAGATTCTACATGACAAGGAACTCCTGGGCTCGGTTCGAATTGGGTAATGTTTCTTGCTATTCGATCTAAATCTTTATCTGTGGGTCCGTCTAGGTTTAGGTGCTCACGTGACCTGACGTTCAAGAAAGGAGGTAATCCTCGTGGTGGAGAATATGTTGAAGTGTCTGTTAATTCTTCCCTTACCCTAGCAGGATAATTCTCTTCATTCTGTCGTGCAGCAGCACCTCCGGTAGGTGCTGGGGAATCCGCAAAAAGTTTGTCTTCGGGTGAGATAAACTGAGATATGGGATATCGGAACCTTTCAGTTAAACGATTTTGTTCCTCTGATTCACGAAGCTGGCATTGTAAATCCTGAATTGTATTGTGTTGCGCCTCTAGCGTTTTTACATGGGTTTCATTTCGAGCCTGGATGGCCTGTGTCTCTGTCACAAGTTTGGCCATAAGTGATTCATCTCTCTCGTTTTCTTTGATGACGTCATAAAGTTGAGTAGAGATTTTGGTTAAATTGCTCGTGGCAATTTTAAGCTCTTCCTGAACCTCTGCACGGTGTCGTTTGTACCAAGTTGTTTCCTTACAGAGATGATCCATCATTTGAGATTTTTTTGTTAATTGTTCCGAAGCCTGACCGATTAGCTTATGGGCTAATTGGAATCTTCTAGAGAGCACGGCGGCTAAGCTGCTGATGGTTTTCACAGCTGATTTGTCCCCGGCTATCTGATTCATCCCTGTGTCAATTAGATCCATCATAGCAGATTGCAATTTCTCGGAGTCCATTTGCTGGACTTCATCGAAATATTCTGGAATGAGGTTCTGTGTCAGCTCCCGAAGGGCTGCATCGAGCTCCTCGAAAGAACCGGACTCCATGACCTCAGATTTTCCCGCCATGTTTGCATGTTTTAGGCGGGTTTTAGGTTGAAAGTCGAAAAACTTCCCTTCCTTTTCCTGTGGTTAGAATTAATGGCAAATTTAAATTATTAACCACTTCTAGTAGTTAGGCCAAAGGTTTGAGTTTATTTACATGTAGTTAGAATATTTATAGAGAGGAAAAGAAAAAAAACCCCCCGAAAAACGTATTTTCTCTAAAATTGCCTTTCAAACTTAAACAGAGAGCAAAAGAAGATTAATATGAGAAAGAGTTATTTATCTTACATGCACATCTCATATTAACAAACAAGTGCTTATTATTGAGACTTATTTCTTCACAAGTGAAAACCAGCACATTTTCAACACATGCAGTGCTCATGTTCAACCACCAGAATACAGCCAGACCCCTACTGGGTTTCAGAGGGGAGGGGTTTCTATAGTGCCACCCCCCGAGGGGGCAACACAAGCCCTAACACGCCAGTATCAATCTGGGTAGAGAAGTAAGCACTTAGGCTCCAAGCTTAGGAGATGCACAGCTGCTTCTGTTCTGCACAGATTGGCAGTTACTCTAGGTAAATTGTTCTCAGTTTCGTCTCTTCTCAAAACCATTGATTTGTTCGTCAACATAAGCAGAAATAAGCAGAAATAAGCAGGGCCGGAATTCCCGTCAGTCCCACTGCTTTTAAACCACAGTCAAAACACTGGAGTTAACATCAGCTGAATTTAATTTAATTTTTTCCAACTTTAATTGCTCTGCGCAATAGAAAAAAAAAGTATGTCACGGAAGTTTACGTATCACGTTACAGCTTCCGTTGTCTCACAATAAAAGGCTTCTTAACATGCAGCACTGGAGACGAAACTCGTGCGAATGCAGACAAAGTTAATCTGAGGATATAAAATGTGGATTTCCGCTACATACTTTTAGAACCCAGTACACTGAAACTGAAATCTAAAACTCAAAACTGCATCATGATTATTTTCTTTAATGTTTATAAAGAATCCCTGGTGATTTTAAATGATCACAAATGCACAGACAGAAACAGATTTAGCAGGCTTTATTCATTTTTTTCCATTTCACAACACATTTAGCATGCTAAAGGGAACTAGTGACAAGATCCTCATATTGTATGACATCTTGTTACTGTCTAGTTTACATTTCTTCATCACTCCTCTGATTCTTTAGTCTGAAATGACATCAGAACAAGGGCTATGTTAAACATTGACTTAAAAATGGAAAACAGTATTATGTAATAGAAATATTTTATACCTTGATAATTTCCCGACTCTTGACCCTCAGCTTGTTGACCTGGGACTCAGCGATGTCAGCACGCTCCTGAGCTTCCTCCATCTCATGCTGCACCTTCCTGTACCTGGTCAGGTGAGTGTTGGACTGCTCCTCCTGCAAAACAAACCAACAACTCAACCTCTCTGAGATAAGTAACACTGTTGAAGCGTGTGTGATTAGATTTAGAGGTGCTTACAGCCTCCTCAGCCTGTCTCTTGTAGGATTTCACTTTCAGCTGCAGCTTGTCCACCAAATCCTGCAGTCTGGTGATATTCTTCCTGTCCTCCTCAGTCTATTTCAAATGAGCATTACCATTGCATTATAAGGCAAATAGAACATTTGTAGTATGTGGCTTGGAGATGTGAATACTACCCAACCTGATAAGTGAGCTCCTTTACTCTTCTTTCATATTTCCTCACTCCTTTGATTGACTCTGCACAGCGCCTTTGCTCAGCATCAACTTCAGACTCTAATTCACGAACCTTGAGAAATAAAAAATGAATTTAATGCGAATAACTTTTTTTTTCCACTTACAGAAGCTGATGATTAGTGTTTCATGTACCCGAGCCTCCAGCTTCTGGAGCTGCTTCTTGCCTCCCTTCATGGCCAGGTTTTCAGCTTCATCAAGACGATGCTGCAGGTCCTTCACTGTGACCTCCAAGTTCTTCTTCATCCTCTCCAAATGAGAACTGGTGTCCTGCTCCTTCTTCAGCTCTTCTGCCATCATAGCAGCCTGAAATATTTCACCATATTTAATTGTTTCAAGATTTCTGGTGTGTATTTGTCATTGGCAGACGACTCCTGAATGAGACCACTCACATCAGTGATGGCCTTCTTGGCTTTTTCTTCAGCATTTCTCGCCTCCTGAACAGCATCCTCCACCTCCCCTTGGATCTGGATGAGATCAGCCTCTAACTTCTTCTTGGTATTGATGAGACTGGTATTCTACTCATGAAATATTCCCAGTTAAATTGAGCATTAGGTCTTTTACAAGTTAGTGTTTGAATGTTCATGCACCTGAGAGTGCAGCAGAGTCACACGCTCGCTGGCATCAACCAGTTCCTGTTCAGCCACTTTGCGGCTTCTCTCCGTCTGCTCGAGTGCAGCTCTCAGCTCCTCGATCTCAGCCACCATCAGGTTGTTCCTGCGCTCCACCATCGCAACCTGCTCCCTCATCTCATCTTGTCCTCTGAGAGCCTCATCGAGGTGCAGTTGTGCATCCTTTATATGAAAAAAAACCACATGACTAACCCTACCTGACATAAATGTTAATAACAATTAAGTAGTCTTTATTACCTTAAATTGTCCCTGCAAGTTCCTCAGCTGTTTCTGAGCCTCAGCAGCCTGTCGGTTAGCGTGGCTCAGCTGAATCTCCATCTCGTTGAGGTCTCCTTCCATCTTCTTCTTAATTCTTAAAGCGTCATTCCTACTCCTGATTTCAGCATCCAGAGTGCTCTGCATGGACTCAATCACCCTCTGGCTGTTTCTCTTAATCTGTTCAATCTCCTCGTCCTTTTCTGCAAGCTTTCTGTCAATTTCGCTCTTAACTTGGGTAAGCTCCAGCTGGATGCGGAGAATCTTGGACTCTTCATGCTCCAGTGTGGCCTTGAAGAAGATATGTTCTTGTTATAAGTGATTTCATTTATATGGCATGATTGAATGTAGTTTATCTAAAGAATACCTCAGCTTCTTCAAGAGAAGTTTGGAGTTCAGACTTCTCCGTCTCAACGATCTTTTTCCCTTTTTCTAGCTCATGAATGGTTTTCCCAGTTTCACTGATTTGCTCAGTTAGATCGGAGATCTCCTCTGTAGAAACGAGAGAAATGAGGTTTAAGGTCAACATCTGACAGATTTAATCAGTTGGACACAAAAATGGTGTCTTGAGTTTTTAAGCTGCTTTAAATCTGTAACATGATTTTAAGTTAGAATAGTGTGTGTGTGTGTGTGTGTGTGTGTGTGTGTGTGTGTCTGTTAGTTGACTGAATCTCAAACATTTCATACGTTGCAGGTTCTTGTTCTCCCTCTTCAGGGTCTCCAGGTGGTCCAGAGACTCTTCATATGAATTTTTCAGTTTAAACATCTCAGTGCTGAGAGAGCGAGCTTCTTTTTGAGCTCCCTCCAGCTCAGCCTGGCTTTCTTCATACTTCTGCTTCCATTCGGCAAGGACCTAATGCATAAAAATACAATACTACATGATTCTGTGTACTTTCATAAGACGTCCAGGATAAAACAGGAAGGAAATGCAGAACTAACTTTATCAAAGTTCCTCTGCTTCTTGTCAAGACTTGCAGCCAGAGCGTTTGCTCTCTCCACGTCGATCATCAGGTCCTCCACCTCACCCTGCAGCCTCTGTTTAGTCTTCTCTAGTGAGGCACATTTAGCATTCACAGCCTCGATGGATTCCTCAGCATCCTGAAGACGCTGGGCCAGCTTCTTCCTGCAAAAAATGGTTCCTTTTCAGACTTAGAAGCACAATGTGCCTTAGACAATCAGACAACTTTAAAACCTACTTGGCCTCCTCCAGCTCCTCAGTGCGCTGAATGGCATCAGTCTCATACTTGGTTCTCCACTGAGCCACCTCGCTGTTAGCCTTGGACATCGCACGCTGAAGCTCACCCTTGGCCTCCTGCTCCTCCTCATACTGCTCTCTGAGCAGGTCACAGTCATGACGAGACGACTGAACTGCATGAGCCAGAGCGTTCTTGGCCTAACGAAGAATGTGAGGTGTTCTAATTTACTAGAATATCATTCTCCAGTCCTAAAGTTTTTCTACAAGAAAATCCTGTTCTGTAGCAGTGTGGGTGTTCTTGATCTGCACATACTTTAACTTCCTCTTCAATGTGTCTCTTCAGCTCTTCAATCTGCTGAGTGAATGCTTGCTTGCTTCTCGTCAGCTGAGAGATCAGGGCTTCTTTTTCCTCCAGCTGGCGACCAATTTCCCCTAATTTATGTCCAAAAAATGTGAGTGTTTAAATCTGAAAATATGACGCTACGTTCTGTTCAGATACACAAGTCATAAATATGTTTTTATCACCATTCTCTGTTTGCAATCTTGCTCTTTGCACTCCAATGTCATTCAGCTGTCGAACATGCTCATCATTTTTGGCCTTCAGTTCACTCAGTTGATCTTCAAGTGTGCGACACATTTTCTCAAGGTTTCCCTGGATTTGACAAAAGCAACATTGGCTCAAAGTACAATCTGAAAACCGTCCAAAATAATCAGAACAGCAGTTATTAACAGCTTTACTTTGTTACCTTTCCTTTTGCAATAGACTCCATGTTGCTGGAGAGGTCATCGATCTCCATCTTGTACTCGCTTTTCTCCTTCTCCAGCTTTTGTTTGACTCTCTGGAGGTTGTCGATCTGCTCTCCCAGCTCTGCCACGCTGTCAGCCTGCTTCTTGCGCAGAGCTGCAGCCGTGGCCTCGTGCTGAAGGGTGGACTCTTCCAGATCCCGACGCAGCTTCTGGAACTCGGCCTCGCGCTTCTTGTTCATCTCAATCTGAACAGAAGTTGCTCCTCCAGCTTCTTCGAGCCTCTCGCTGATCTCCTCAAGTTCCCTGGAGAGATCTGACCTCTGTTTCTCCACCTTGGCCCGAGCAGCTCGCTCAGCCTCGATTTCCTCCTCCAGCTCCTCAATGCGAGCCTGAAACAAACGTTGAAAAGCGATAAATATTCAAGTCACATTTCATTCTTCTTCATGCAACTGAAAACCATCAGAATAATTCAAGGTCTGCTGTCACTAAAATGCATTAAAATAAAGAATGACCTGAAGTTCTTTGATCTTTTTCTGAAGTTGAGCACCGAGAGCTTGCTCATCTTCAATTTTGCTCAGAAGCTGGCTTGTTTCAAAGTCCTTCCTGTGAAGAGACAGCATCACAGAGACGTTGGTCCCTGACTTACATGAAATTGTATCATGTTCCCTTATTTTCTAAACTTCTGAAACCAAGTGGTATTGTTTTGTGTGCTGTGGCATGCTAACCGTTCATAATGTTCAATAATGTTTTGTTTATTCAACAAGTTACTCTTTGGTAACCATAGTGCATGACTGACCTTCCAGAACAGAGTTTTATTTGTACTCACTTCTTAATCTTCTCCTCAGACTGCTGCTTGTCATTCTCCAAGTCCATGATGGTTTCCTGAGCCAGCTTCAGATCTCCCTCGAGCTTTCTTTTAGCTCGCTCGAGGTCCATACGAATCTTCTTTTCTTGCTCCAAGGATCCTTCAAGCTGTTTCAATCAAAAATTGAACATAGTCACTTTGAAGCTTGTATATTTCATTCCGCTTCTGATCAGTAATGCTCACATCATCGACTTGCTGCTCCAGTTTGGTCTTGGCCTTCGTCAGAGTGTTGACTTTGTCTTCCTCTGCCTGCAGGTCATCGAGGGTCTGCTGGTGGGCCTCTTGGAGGGCTTTCTTCTCTTTTGTTAGTTTAGCAATCGTCTCATCTTGGGAAGTCATTTCCTCAACCAGGTTTTTAACCTAGATTGGAAAACAAAAGGGTTTAGGTGTGCAACAAGTGGATGTTAGACTCAAACTGTGACTGATGGACCTGCCTTGTTTTCAGTGGCGTGTTTCTCCTTTTCCACTTTGGCCAGAGTGAGCTCCAAGTCATCTATGTCCTTCTTTAACTCAGAACACTCGTCCTCAAGTTTCCTCTTCTTTGCTGTCAGCTCAGCGTTGATCTCCTCCTCATCCTCCAGTCTCTCAGCCGTCTCTTTGACCTTGGCCTCAAGCTGGATTTTAGCTTTAATGAGCCCTTCACATCTTTCCTCTGCATCGGCCAGGTTTTCACCTTCCTACGTTTGCAATGGCATGCAAATGAAAAATAGGGTCAAACTTATCAATCCAAGTACCTTTTGATATGCAACCCATCCACCTCCCCACACATTTAAACTTACAGACTGAATTTGAATTTGCAAGTCATTCTTCTCCTGAAGGAGGGAAACCATTTTCTCCTCCAGTTCTTTCTTCTTGGCCAGAGCCTTTGCCAGGTCCTCTTTGGTCTTTGCAAAGTCCTCCTTCATTTGGGCCATCTCCTTCTCCGTCTCTGCACTCTTCAGCAGTGGTTTGATCTTGAAGTACAGCTTCATCCATGGCCAAGTTTTGACATTCATGAATGCTCGGATGTTGTACTGGATTGAATAAATAGCTTCCCTGGAGGAAAAAATAGATTGGAAGTCTCAAATGTTCTTATAACATTGCTGTTCCTCAGTGGTTAGGCTAAGCCACGTGTCTACCTGCGCTCCATCATTTTGACAAATTCACGTCTCATCAGGAAACCTCTGCAGACAGCCTGAGTCATTGTGACCAAGGTGGCAAGTTTTTCATCTCGCATCTCCTCCAGGAGACCCAGCAGACCAGCTTTGAAGAACACCTAAAAGGACCGGTGATAGACGAAAGGTGTGGAAAAACTCCAACAATCCTCTGTTTCCCTATCATCATTTAGCAACGGCACAATAAAGATCCAGCGATCACGTTATCATACCTTAGTGTGTCCAAATTTGTACTGAGTGTGGTCCACATCGATAGAGCCCAGTAGTTTCTCTGAGGCCTTCTTGTTGTCGATGAACTGACCCTCAGGGATGACGCTGGCGTTCAGTACTTTGTACCTAAAAGTTTTCATGGTTCAGTCGATCTGCAGCTTTTATGTTAAAACGGCATTTTTCTCAGCCTGTGAAGACTCACCTCTGCTTGAAGTCACCGTAGAGAATTCTGCTGGGGAAACCTTTCCTGCAGATCCTGATCCCCTCCAGCACACCGTTACACCTCAGCTGGTGGATGACCAGGTGGTTCTCCATCAGACCTGGGATCCAAGATGGGTTTAGTCTTCTGCTGCATGATTTTAGTTTATATTTACAAAGTGAGAAAGAGATTCAGCTCACCAGGAGTCTTTGACTCATTTGGAATCAAGCAGCGCACAAAATGAGGATGAGTGCTCCTCAGGTTGGTCATCAGCTTGCCAAGATTCTCCTGAAATATGAAAAGATTTATAATTAGAGGTAGTTATTTATTTGTGTTACCTTTATTAGCTGCTGTTTGAGGAGCGTCACACATTTACTAGCAGTCATTTGTAATTCTCACCCTGAACAGAGCAGATACAGTCTGGAATGATCCACCCTTCTTCTTGCCAGCTTTCTTTCCACCTCCCTCAGCTGCAACAAATGTTATCGTTGATTAAATATTTTATTTTCACTTCCTTCATCAAATTTGTGCGTTTAAAACAACAAACTCAAGTCTTTTCATAGAAACCTGGTTTCTACCTTCTGATCCAGCATGAGTAGCATACAGGAAGGCCAACAGCTTGACTGAAGACTTCTGGTAGAGCTGCACCACTGAGTCATTCAGAGGGTCCTTGTTCTTTTCCAGCCAACCTGTGACATTGTAGTCCACAGTACCAGCATAGTGAACCAGAGAGAAATGAGCCTCAGCTTTGCCTTTGGCAGGTTTTGGCTTCTGGAAGGGGGCACTCTTTCCCAGATGCTGGTCATACAGTTTGCTCTTGAAGGTCATGTCTGTAGCCTTTGGGAACATGCACTCCTCTTCAAGGATGGAGAAGATGCCCATTGGCTGCCATGACAAGATGATTGTTAAAAGCACAAAAGTTTCAAGTCATCACTTTGTTTTCTGTTCCAGCCTGAGGGTCAAACCTTCTCAATAAGCTCAATGCAGGCAGCCAAGTCCATGCCGAAGTCGATGAACTCCCACTCGATTCCCTCCTTCTTGTACTCTTCTTGCTCCAGGACGAACATGTGGTGGTTGAAGAACTGCTGCAGCTTTTCATTGGTAAAGTTGATGCACAGCTGTTCCAGGCTGTTGTACTAAACGAATCATGAGCAAAAGTTCTAATTACACAGAAAATATCAGCCCTTTGTTTGATGAATCAGCCAGAGATGCTCACGTCGAAAATTTCAAACCCAGCAATGTCCAAGACACCAATGAAGAAGCTTCTTGGCTGCTTGGTATCCAGCATCTCATTGATTCTGATGACCATCCACAAGAACATTTTCTCATAAACGGACTTGCAGAGAGCTGAGACAGCATTGTTGACCTGGTTTTACAGATGAAAGACATCAAATTAACAACCAATAGACTCATATTTATATATGTGATAGTAACAGATCGTATCTAAAACAAAGAGAAAGACTTCTGTACCTGTGGAACAGTTTGACCTTTGGTCACATACTCATTTCCAACTTTCACTCTGGGGTAACACACAGCCTTTAGCAGGTCTGCAGAGTTCAGACCCATGAGGTAGGCGATCTTATCAGCCACTAACAGGAAAAACAATCACTTTTATTTTCTTTTTCCTTTAACACACACAAATGCTTGGCTTCATCAGAGGTCGTCATGTTTCTTACCCTCAGTGCCGTCAGGCTCAGCCTGCTCTTCACGCTGCTTCTGCTTGAACTTCATGTTCCCATGATGCATCACGGCTCCTGTTAGCTTGTACATGCTAACCTTCTCTTCTGCAGTAAAACCCAGGATGTCGATAGCAGTCTGTAAGTTGTTAGAGAAAATGGAAATTATCAAAACCATTCTGTAGAAATTTTTTTTTTACATATTCGGGGTATATTTGAGCATTTCTTACATCAGTGGCAATGAATTCTTCAACGTCATTAATACTTTTGACTGTGATTTCACCCTGACTGATCATGGGATAGTCATAAGGGTTGGTGGTGATGAGAAGGGCCTCTGAAGGGAGAAAATATCAATGTGAACATGAAGAAAAAGACATCCTCTTGATCACAATCAGTAATATTTATGGGTTCCTGACCTATCAGCTCAGGTTTGTGTCCTGTAGTGAGCTGATAGAAGATGTGGTAGCTCCTCTCAGCGGACAGCTGGAACGTCACTCGAGACTTCTCCAGCAGATCTGTTTAGTTTAGTCAAAATGAAACATTTTTTAGCAATTAAAGGAGTTTTTTTTATAACTTTCAAGAAAATCAAACTTACATGTTTCAATATCAGCTGAAGCCAGCTTTCCAGTCGATCCAAAGTGAATTCTGATGAACTTTCCCTGCAGAAACAGTTATTAACCCGTTATGATTCCAACTCTGTTACCTTTAGATGATTTTCACCAAACAAACGTAATCTTTTAAACTGAAAGATAAAAACCTACGAAACGTGAAGAGTTGTCATTCCTCACGGTCTTGGCGTTCCCGTAAGCTTCCAGCAGCGGGTTTGCTGCAATGATCTGATCTTCCAGTGATCCCTAAATGCAGCATTCATCATTTCAGTCCAACACATCTGTGTTTAGTTGTTTATTTAACTGTATTATTGTTTTGCATCACCTACCTGCATTTTGCCTGGAACCTGTTCGGTTTTCTTCCCAGAAGCCACTGCGATTGTCGCAAAGTACTGGATGACACGCTTGGTGTTGACAGTCTTTCCAGCGCCAGATTCTCCGCTGGTTTAGTGGTGCGTTCAGAGACACATCAGAGTTAGAAGACACTGATGATTGTGACTGGACTGTGTAAAATATTAGACACTTACGTAATCAGGATGGACTGGTTCTCTCTATCTGTAAAACAGTCAGACATCAGATCATTAGATGTTGATTTCTGATGAGGAGCAGCTGGGATTCTGATGAGGTGGCAAAATGATGGATACCTTGAAGCATGAACTGATAAGCATTATCAGAGATGGAGAAGATGTGTGGCGGAGCCTCGATCCTCTTCTTCCCCCTGTATCCTGCAACCACCACTGTGTCGTACACTGGCAGCCACTTGTAGGGGTTCACAGTGACGCAGAACAACCCAGAGTAGGTCTGGAGGGTCAGAGAGGTTGGCTGTGATGCACATCTGCCTGCACTCATCGTGTGTTTCAGACCAACACAAACTTACGTAGATCATCCATGCTGCATAACGCTCTTTGAGGTTGTACAGCACAGCGGGCTCATTGAGGTGGGTCATCATAGCCATGTCCTCAATCTTATCGAACTTTGGAGGGTTCATGGGGAAGATTTCATCTTCTTTCACAGTGAGAGTCTGATGCAATTGTAAAACATACAGTAGATTATTGACAGATTTAAACATTCTAGATTTAAAATGTTCAAAGCAATGAACCAGTATAGGAAAGCAGAGCAGGTGCTTCATAAACATCCATCTAGAATTGATTAAAAACTGAATAAAGCATGTTGTTGTACAGAAGAACATTTTGATTTGTTGTAATTTCATCGAGCTGACTTATTTCCTAGGTGACCTAAAATCCTGTCATTTTTATAGTCTCTGAGCTCTACTTCCTCTTTTTCTGCACAATTCTAAACTCTAAACTGCAAAATGAATACATAACAGGACGAGTGTCTAAAAAACCTTTCAAACTTCCTTCAAGGGGAGTGAAACTTGGTCACTTTTGTGATGTTTTCATACCTTTCCACCTAGCGTTTCCACAGTGGCTTTGCCCCCGTCTTTTTTGACAAGTTTTCCCTTGAGGTACATCTCGCTGGGCTCAGACACAAAATACGCTGTCTTAGCATCAAAAGGAGCGTTCTGAGCTTCAATCCGCTCCTTCTCTGGCTTGCGGAGGTAAACGGCCGCCGGGCCAAAACAAGCCATGTCTGGGTCTTTACTCATGGTGACCCTTTACTGCAAATGAAGGAACACGATAAAGTTTGTTATCTAAATTATTTATGTGACTGTGAATAATAATAGTAAATATGAGAAACAGACATCGTGGTGTATGAATCAGCCACACATACCTTGCAGCACACCAGGTGAGCAGGACTTGATGCAGATTTTGAAGAAGAGCTCTAAAAACAAAAAAAGACATGAGCAATCTCAATGTTAACGATCTCAAACAGTATTTTGGAGAACGGAGAAAAAGAAAATTACTTTTAATGGGCCAAACTGCTGCTTTAATAAAAATAAATCTGGATTCTTCCCTTGATTGACAAGCTTTTTAGAAAACTTACCGTTGCAGGGTGCCTGTCCTCAGCGCTGGTTGCTGCTCCCTTTTATATAGTCGGATGGGGGCCTATCATCACATGTGTGCTGCTGTATTTGGTCATGTCTCCTGGTGCTTGTGCACTAGAGCTTACATCCATCTGCAACTTTATGGCTTATGTTTGTGCCACGCCTTTGTGCCAGGAAACAGATCCCACAGATCCAAATCTAATTGAGTGTTAAATGTTAATAATGGAAATGTGATTCCTACACTTGTGATTACTAGTACACTAGTAGGTCGCGCTGCTTTACTGTTCTTAGGCAGCGTTGACATGAAAGCAATACCGATATGCACGTGTTTTTTGTGTATTACTTTTTAGGTACATTTCCTGTTTCGTTCTGTCAGAAAAAGTCCAAAGGTGTGACAGAAACAAATGTTTAATGCTGCCTGGTACTAAAGCAGTCCTTTGCTATGCTTCAGTGAAGCTTTAAAAAGTCACTGATATAAAGTTTCAGAGTCCTTACAGGTCAGAAATGATTGAATAAATAAATAAAATGAGTGCTTTAGAGCTTTTAAGAAAAGAAGGGATCGGTAGGGGATTACATCTCGCAACAACGCCAACAACAGCTGTTCTTATTCTTCATCTTAAGAGATACACAAGAGAGACCGGGACAATCCCTAAATGCAGAACAGCTGAGAGATGGATTACAGCTTCTCTACTTCAATGTTTTACGCTTTACACCGTGGTAGCAGCGTAACTGGGAATTTTAGCGCATGCGTCTCTGCTGAAATAAGAAGTCAGTACTGATTTCTCTGGTTTGTTAGATATGTGGAAGATGTTGCCACGGTTGTTAGAGTTTTTTACCAATAGCTCAGCACATAGCTGGCACACCTTACAAGTCTGGGTTAAGAGCCCCTAGGCCCCGTTTCCCTTGGCCAGAGGATCAGCTTACCTAGTTAAAATGAAAAAAGAAATTCTACAGTGCTTACCCACACGTTATAAAGGGCCTCTGTCTTTAGTGAAGATGTGTGACATGATGCCCTCTCAGAAATCTTCTCTTATAAGGACAAAACTCAAATATAGCATCCCACTTGTTTTGATGCTGAAGTAAATACTACTACTACTACTACTAATAATAATAATAATGATAATAATACTAATACTACTACTACTACTACTACTACTACTACTACTACTAATAATAATAATAATAATGATAATAATACTAATACTACTACTACTACTACTACTACTACTACTACTACTAATAATAATAATAATAACAAAACCAAGAGGAATATTGTGTTTTTATGGCTACTGATGTAGGCCCTTCAGTTTCTTTATTAGGGTTAGGGTTATCCTGCAGATTCCGGATAACAGACCAAGGTGAGCGCTGAGTAACATTTCAGTGGATGGGCTGGCCTCAAACAGCATGGAGAGACTCTTGTACCCACTGTACTGTCTGTTTTTAACACTGTAAGTACCTTTTACTTTGTTTTAAGCTGATTTGATACATTTTAAACAATTTTATTATTTTAAATACAGGTGAACCTGAAAAAACTTGAATATGGTGCAAACGTTTATTTCAGTTGTTCAGCCTAGAAGGCAAACCTAATATATGAGATTGAATCATTAGATGCAAATCCAGATATTTCAAGCCTTTATTCGTTATACTTGTGATTATTATGGCTTGCAGCTGATGAAAACCCCATGTGTACAAAAATTTGAATATTGTGACAAGTTTCAATATCCCTTTAGAGCCTGAGCCCTTTAAAAAAAAGAAAGATTGAATAATGCATCAAAATGTAGAAAGAAGTAAACTAAAATAAAGAAGTAAAATATTTTTGATATGTGTAAGTATAGGACTTGTTTGTTGGCCTGAACATTCTGAGAGTGAAAGTCCTTTTAATGCATGCTCATACAAGGCTGTATTCAATGTTGGTTTTAAAACCAACATGCAATTGTGAAGACTTCCCAGCAGAATGAGAAGTCTGTCAGAATATGGACCTTTCAGCTGTCAAGCTGTTTTTCTGCTGCTGTAGTAGGCTTGATGTGTTGGACGGTCAGTTTCTGGTGATGTTCATGACAGATGGCCACGCGAGTGTGTATTTAGTAAGGTTAGTGGTTGGGGGTCACTGGTGTCTTATAAACACCAGAGGGAGCCTTGGATTGCAAAGGTGCAAATGTGCTACTTATGTTACCAGCTTCTTTATCATCATTAATAATATCATCGTCGTCGTCTGCTTCTAATCCTTCCACATTTCACCACATCACCAGCTCCTTCACACACTTAAAAATACATGCAGTGGTCTTAAATAATCTACTTTTAATCAATATTAGAGAAAGTAGATGCTTATTTAGAAACACAACCATTTTTATAATGCTTTTGGCATTTTTGTTTTGTCTATTACATGTTTAGTTTGGCATAATTGAGTGATTTAATTTTATTATGGACAAAAAAAAGTACAACCTTCAGACCAGTCCACAGCTCTTCTAAAATATGCACTAAAGGTTATTTATGTTTTTAACATTTTAGCATGCTCTAAGCTGCTCTCCGTAGCTTTAGATATATTTTTGACAGCTGGTTTGGCTTACACTTTTATTTTTATGTAGTTTTTATTTTTGATCACATATTTCATTCATGCAAGATTTGGTACAAACACAAAGAAATGTAGGTAACACATTACAATAAGGGTCCCTTTATTAACATTACTTAGTGAAAGGCTGAAAATAATAAATCCAAAGGTGAATTCAGAAATGAGTAAAAGTGTTAAATAACAACCTCCTCTCTGTTTAACGATACAAACTTTACTCTGACAAAAGTGAAAGCACAGGAACAAAAATGATTTTGAGCCACAGGATGTTTACAGAGACATCGTCTTTATCAGACTCTGGGGAATATCTGCTCTACATTTGCCTCTCAGGAGTGTCAACAGTGCTGAGCAGAAGTCAACAGGTGGTCAATAATGTGAACAAGGTTGTCATTTCAGATTCATTCAGATAAATGTTCGCAGTTGATCGCCTGCTCTATTTATATAGCAAGTGCAAACTGAGAAATACATCTTGCAACATGATACCACTTGAATTTATGCTAGTGCTAAGTGTGAGTTATGTGTCAGTCTCTTCTAGTCTTCCTTTGTGTTTTATTGTGCCACATATTTTAATATCCTACCGTTAAATACAGTCCCATTTATTAGTCTGACTTAATGTTAAAAATAACAAGCCGGGTGTTAATTGGTGCAACAACTGGATCTCCTTTGTTATGTTCTCATCGGCTAAAAAAAACAAATTAATTTTGTTTTCTGAAAGCAGGACGACAAGTTTCTTTATATAGCAACTATCAAAGAAAAAACTAAATTAGCAAATTAATAAAGATGATTAAAAATAGAAAAGAAAGCATTCAACAAGTAAATAAAAATAACTGAAAAAAAATTGAATTCAAACATTTCTAAATAAATATTACATATAACAAATCATGAAGAAGCGCTGCACACAAGTAAAAATAAACAAATTAAAACAACAATGAACTATGTGAGAGCTAACAGAAATGCACATAAAACAAATTAAAGCAAGAGATAAAATAACGGAATGAAACAGAATAAAAGACAGCTCAGTTAGAATAGAATAAACTTTTTTAATCCCACTGTGGGACATTCACTTGGTACAGCAGTGCATACACTTAGAGAATAGTAAAATAATAACACGATTACAGGTAAACACACAAGTGCAATAAGCTAATGTTGTAACCTTCAACCACTAAAAACAACACATACAATGGGATCTTGTGCTTCCAGAGTTGTGCAGCATCAGGGACACAGACATACTGATGTACATAGGTATTGCACAAGTATTGAACACATACTGAATATTTCATTGGTGTTATTGTGTAACAGGATAATGCCAGTACCAGTTAAACTGAGGAGTTATACACTCTAACTGCAGAGGGGATGAATTACCAACAGTCATTTCTAATAATGTAGCTAAAAAGCCTGATGAGGAAATGCCATCCTGGACGCCTCCAACTGGGAGGAGACCCAAGGGAAGACCCAGAACACGCTGGAGGGACTATGTCCCTTGGCTCACCAGGGAATGCCTTGGAATTCCCCTGGAGGAACTGGCCCAAGTAGCTGGGGAGAGGGAAGTCTGGGCCTCTTGGGTTAGGCTGCTGCCCCTGTGACCCGACTCCGGATAAGCGGCTGAAAATGGATGGACAGATATATTTGATTCCTTTGAACTCGGACAATAAAAGCAGACTATGTAGAATATAGTTGAGCATTTAAGTCATCTGCTACTTCTGATGCTGGATCATGCCTGAATCAGGATTCCCAGAGGAGGCAGCATCCTGTGGGGCATAGAAAGCCCACGTCTGTGATCAGTGTTTCTGACATTATGTTTAAACTTCTCCCACTTCAAATGAAATAAACACTGGACACTGGGCAGATTTGTTTATAATTTGCAGATCTCCATGTTGTCTTTCTAAAGTATTCCAAAATCACCACCTCGGTGGAATAAGCTGTTCCAAGAGGAGCACCGCCCACATGTATGCTGTCTGCTTTATATTTATACTAATTATCATGTAACAGCGGGCAGTGCTGAGACTCCTAAGCAGAAACTTTTACTTTTAGGCAAATATTATAATTTTTGTCTTTTTGCATTTGTGGTTGCACAGAACAGTTTGATTTATTCCTTTAATATATTGTTGTAAAATCCATCTGATAAAAACTAGTCATTGGTTGAATAAAGATGTCAACTGTTGGTGGAATTAAACCCAGTTACTCTTGGCTAAAATGTAAAACACTTCACATTAATAGGCTTTGCTGCAAGAACTTCACGGGTCCAGAGGAAAATAATTTGTTGGAATGTGAGAATGAGTCTATATGCAATTTAAAATGTCTCTGCTGCATGTTTGCAAATAGGACCTTCTTTTAATTGTTTGTAGGTCATCTTTCCTTTAACTCAAATGAAGACCGTCATGGTGGCCGAAGAAGAAAATGGACACCAGAGCTCATTTGGAGAGGATGAAGAACCTGAAGGTGAAGGAGCGGCAGCAGAAAGCAGCTTCCAGAGTGTTTCCAACATTAGTTGTGATTCTGGCCTGCTTTGCTTTTACTTTCATTTATTTACTATGTTTTACTAAGTGGAAATCTCATTTAAAATATATAAAACAAAAATATGTAAAGCAACTGGAATCAAGCAGAAATTACATCAGAACTCTCAAGATTTTTCTTTTAATGTTCCATACCTGATTTGTCAGGAGGCATGGGGCATTACCTATTAAACCAATCCTCTGTATCGCAAACGTTTCATGTAAAAATGAAGATTGTGATCATGTTTGGTCAGAAGTTCACGCTAAATAGTTCCATTCTTTTAAGTGGAACATTTTCTATGCTGATTTTTTTTATCTTATAGGTTTGGAAGTGATACAACGCCTCAGTGAGACATCTGAAATGTGTTCCAGATTCAGGAGCCGGAGTCAGCCGCTGAGCTGACACTGAAAATATGAACACAGGTACAGTTCAACCACCTTTTTCTACAAATCCCATCTAATAGTTAAGCAACAAATTGTTGTTATGAGCTGGTGTGTGTTTGATGTAAAACCTATTTAAAACCCCTAGATGGCATTAAGCACCATCACTTGTCTGTGTCTGGTCACCTCTAAAAATAAACACTCTGTAACTATGAACACTGTAAATACACCCGGATAAATACCATTCACATATTGTTTAACAGCACATGGACAATTTATGCAATATGTATGAATTTTACAGTGAAATAATAAAACAGTCTAACATCTCAATCGAAACAGATTTCCTTCTCAGCCAGTCAGAGGGGTGAGTATCCATAAAAAAAACTAAAGAGGGACAAAACCACTGTTTACTATCTGTGAGCTTGTGGGGTTGCAGAGTCTGCGCTGAGCTAACGCTGCTGTGCAGTCATTTTTAATTAGACACAGACAGCAAAAAAAAAACGTTCCAAAGTTGTTTTAGGAACTGAAACCAGTAAACAGGAGTGACCCAGAAGCTATTTCTTGTGCCCCCAAGAAGCTGTGGCATCTAATATCAGGTGAAGAAGGCTAGAGGCTAAAGTTGAGCTAACAATGAATTAGAAGCAAATATTCCCCTCTAAAAATATTTTAAGCTACTTTTAAGCTGCAAATCAATATTACAGATATGTGTGAAGTGAATCATAAGTTGGTTGTGGTGTTTTACTTCTTTAAATGAGTCGTTCAGAACTAAAACAGCAAGCTAACAGCAAGACAGCAAATTCAGACAGTAATAAGTGTAGTTAGTGCTCCCCGAATGTATTAACACCGGACATGACAAGGTATTTATCTACTTCTCAACTTATTGTGTTTGACTCATTTTCACTGTCATCTACAATCTTCTGGCACCAATCTGTAAATGGCAACAGCCATGAATCTCATGGAACGGTAATGAGATAATTACTTTTTGTTCAGAAAAATGTACTGCAGCACCCAAATTTCACCACAGGATGTCACTCTTACTTCTTTTTTAAATATTGCACCTATAAATCTTACTGTTGTAGAAAGACGACAAATGGCTCTGAACGAGCAAGATTTGGAGCCGTTTTAAATGTTTTTATAAAACAAACATGGGTTAGAGAAAAACCATTTATTGTGTACTGCCCCCAGTCTGTGGAGGAACAGGTGACGACTGACCTCCTTTGAGATCTGGTGGACAAGTTGCCGCCGCTCACGGTGAATCCTTCAAGAGTCAGTCTGAAGAAGCTGTGACTGTGTGAAGTATTCAACGCATGCATCTTAAATAGGTGTCACCCCAGAAACGCCTTTACTTAAAGTGTGTTAATACCAGAGCACTGGCAGTTCGATAAAAAAACGATTCACCTACATCCCACCCAGATGGAGAGATAGTCTGAGGAGTTCCAGAATGAGCGGGGTAACACTCACCTGTCCAGGCAAAGTGAGGTTCAGTAGGAACTCAGAGGGATTTTGTAAACAGTTTCTCTTGTTTTTCATAATATCACAGTGTTTGTATTATTGTTTAATAATTTAACACAAATAAACTCTACAAGTTTCTTCATCTTCGATTTAACCCTCCCACTGTCCTAATGGATGTGACCCCACGAGGAAAGTTGACCATTGAGCAGGATTGATGGTTTATCCCTTGAGGTCCACGTGGCAGGGGTGAGGAGTGAGCACCACCTCTTCCCTGCCATGTGGACCTCCAAGGATAAACCATCAGTCCTGCTCAATGGTCAACTTTCCTCACGGGGTCACCCATGAAGCTAGTGGGAGGGTTAAGGAGATTTTTTGGGGGTGCAACTCAGGATGAAAGCCCTGAGAGGAGCAATAAACAAATGAGCAAGTAAATATCTTTATTTACGGACACTGATACTTATAATTCACAGTGAAGGCACATCATACAACAATAATTACTGTTAGCTCAAAAAATATAAAATGATGTTCAAACTGTCACCTTTTTACACGGTCTTTAAATGCAAATACAAGACATTTTTTAAAGTAGACAAAGTTTGATCATTTCAAGCTTTTTGTTAACTAATGACTTCTTAGTTTACTTTTACCAAATACATGGTTTAAGAATTTATAATCATCTAACACAAAAATAACACAAACCAACATTCATGTAATGTCTGGATTTTATAAACTTAGATCCCATCTGGCATGTTCCCTTATCAAAGTGCTTAATTATACTTTACCTGTAAATCTCAACCTAGTGGAATTAATAATTTACGCTGACCTTGCTACCTCACAGCTTTTCTATGTGCTTTAAGGCACACGGTCACACCCTGTCGAGTTCCTGTGATGAAAATAGATCCAGTAGTGATCCAAGACACAGTTGGGTCATACCAAAGACTCCTAAAAATGGGACCCAATGCCTTTCTGCTTGAAGCTCAACATTAAGGGTTTTGATTGAGGGGTTAAACCACCAAGTAGTTCCCAAGGGTGGCTGTGTCTGCAGCTCAGATATTCTGCTGAGAACAAATTCAATTCAGTTCAAGTTTATTTATATAGCGCCAAATCACGACAAGAGTCGTCTCAAGGCACTTCACATAATAAACATTCCAATTCAGGTCAGTTCATTAAGCCAATCAGAAATAATGTTTCCTATATAAGGAACCCAGCAAATTGCATCAAGTCACTGACTAGTGTCAGTGACTATACAGCAATCCTCATACTAAGCAAGCATAAAGCGACAGTGGAGAGGAAAACTCCCTTTTAACAGGAAGAAACCTCCAGAGGATCCTGGCTCAGTATAAGCAGCCATCCTCCACGACTCCCTGGGGATCGAGAAGACAGAGCAGGCACACACACACACACACACACACACACACACACACACACACACACACACACACACACACACACACACACACACACACACACACACACACACACACACACACATACACACACACACACACACACACACACACACACACACACACACACACACACACAAAAACCTTGGGACAATTTAGTCTCCTATCAGCCATTTATGAATATTTGTGTTCTGTGGAATGATACCAGATAACCTGTAGGCTCGCTAACTCTATGCCGAAAGGAATTTGAACCTGCAACCTTCTTGTTACAAGGCATCAGTACTAACAACTATTTCTATACTGTATATATATATATATATATATATATATATATATATATATATATATATATATATATATATATATATATATATATATATATGTGTATATGTAGGTGTGTGTGTGTGTGTGTGTGTGTATAAAATTCTAAAAACAGTCAAATTTTTTACTAAAAGTGAAGTAAATATTCGAGGTTTTGTCTTTTTCTCGATAGTTTTGTGTATCAAACTTTTTTGGTAAATGTGTTTGTTGCAATGCATAACTACAGGCTAAACTGCCCCAGAGTGTTCTCAGGGACACCCTCTCATTAAAAATTTTATGAGAGCACCACTGCTCCAAACACCACTAAAAATTTCCAAATCGTGAAATGTTTGGATGAATAAAAGCACACAAAAAAAAAAAAACTCAGAAAAGGGAAAAGGGTATCAGATCTAATAAGAATAGCCATCCTTTTTACATCCAGGGGGCTGAGACAACTGAAGATGTACTGTTTTGTATCAAAGGTTGTTCCACAATAAGCCTCGAGGCTGTAACAAATGGCCGAGAGCATAGCTGAGGAGACGGCTATATTTGTGTTTCTTCCATATAAGCACAGCCAGCAGCATTAAAGATCAAGTATCACATTTTTATTGAATAGATAGACCTATTTTTTCAGGTGTGAAGTCCTCGGCATTTAGCTTCCTATGCCCTTGGGCCTTCTTTGCCATTTCAGTGTCATCTTACAGCAAGGAAAGAATGCAAAATACTACACATCGTATAACACGATCCCCTCCTTGTCACACTGAGGGAACAAACACTCGACTTGGGGAAAGGTCAAGCTAAATGCCTGCCCTTGTCTTCAGTTCATCTGTCGGGACACACAAGCACAACACGGCCTTTTACAGAAAGAGTTTAAAAATACATCCGTGCCCTTGAGACAACACAAGTGTCTTGAGGCACAAATGTAAATCACCTGTTCACCACAGATTAGACATGGGACAATGGGGTTCACTGCCCCTCAAATAAACCCCTAATAACTTCAAAAGTGTCCTTCCTTTCACACTGACACCTCCCAGCTGAACACTGGTCTAAAGATAAAGCTGCTTTATGAAGTGGAGACTCTAGGGTTAGCAGCAGAGCCTCCTCGTTGGTTGGTTAAAGGGTTAAAATTTTAACCTGAAATGAAAATTTTAAAAGAAGAGTTGATTTTCAAGCCAAGCTTTTTGTTTTATATAGTTTTACCTCCTTCCAAAAATAAAACAAATGAATAAACAGAAAACTTTAAATCCAGGGCTGAACTAGAATTAAAAATACATGCATTTAACTGTGTGCTAAAAAGTGATGTTGTAAATGCTTTTTTTTCTGTCATGGGGACAGGAATGGGTTCAATGAATACCCTAAATAGGAAAAAGAGGTGAACCCTCTGGAGGCAGGCATTGCAGATTTGCAACGTTAAAACCATCGACATAAATATTGGACATTGGGTTTCCATAGACTCCAATAACACTTTTTTTGAAGAAAAATGGGAGGTGGCCACCACCGCCACTTTGACTGTGTCACAAGTTCCGTCAAGCCCAGACAATTCCACAAAAGGGAAGAGAGGTGGAGCTGAGGGTGAGGCTGTAAGGCTGGGATCAACTGACGACACCCGGTCGACCTAGCTACAAGCTAACATGAAGCTAACCCAAAGCTAACACAGAGGTGGGAGCTAAGCTAACTGAGGTAGCAACCTAGCTACAACTGGAGTTAACTGTGCACAACACCAGAGCTTCTGAGTCAGAGATACGCCGGGCTGACCGCTGGGTAAAACCGGGTGGAACACAGAGGTCTCCCGAGAGCTCCACAAGCCGGCAGCCGCACAGCAGACAAGCGCCACTGCGATCTGAGATGTGCAGAGCTGCCGCTGGGGAGAACCGGGTGGAAAGGTTTCCATCCCAGAGCTCCACAAGCCGGCAGCCCGCGCAGCAGTCAGGAGCCGCGATCAGACAGAGATGCGCCGAGCTGCGGGAAGGGGAGAACCCGGTGGAAAACAGAGGTCTCCCGAGAGCTCCACAAGCCGATAGTCGGAACCCAGCTCCACCAACGTGTTATATTTCAACCCATTTTCTAAAGTGCAGCATTATGTTAAATGCACTGGGTTTTACCCTATTACATTTAAATGTCATGGTTAAACAGTACATGTTAAAATCTAAGCTCAGCTCGGCAGTGACCTAAAATACATAAATATAATTTTACTTACCGAAAAAAATGAAGTGGAGACTCCTTGGACGCTCTGTTAGTGCAATTAATGCCACAGCAAGTCATTTTGTCCAATGATTGCACAAATAAAATCCAAAAAAGAATACACAAACACAGAGACTCAAAATCCCGGAATAGTTTCCAGGCCAGACCGAGGCTGTGGTCACGTGGGTCTGATGCTCATTAATTATACAGAATTTTAGGCTTTTAATACACTTAAACAGAAGAGTGAGAAAAAAATTCACCCCCCTCAGAGTTGTCATGAATGTAAACTAGATCATTTAAACAAAATCATGTTTTGGTACCAGGCTGTAAACGTGTTTATTTATGCTGTGAAATTGGTATTTTTAACATGGGAGTCAATGAGGATTTGCTCACTTCTGACACCAGCCCCCAGCGGATGAGGGTGGAACTGCAATTTTTGTCACTTCCGCGTTGGCCTCAATTTTTCACCCGCATTGTGGGGGCTTGGTTAAAACCTACCTACCTGGTTACTCCACATACGCATTTCATGTGCATTTTTTAACTCAGAAGTACCCCTGAAGGACTAAGTTGTTCATCCTTTTATCAAAACTTATTTTGAGCCTGAGAGGGTTAATCTACTAATCTTTCTCTTGTCTGACTAATTCTTAAATTATTGTTTTTTTTTCAACACAAATATGCACATTTTTATATAATCTTGTTGAAATACAGATAAAACAGGAAAAATGAAAATATGGTGCACAAATCCATTTATTTCGGTAATTCAATTTTAGACTGAGAGACCATCTAAAGACTCAAGAACCCTTTGCAGGTGTTTGTTAATTAGCTGATTAGAGTGTGACAGTTTGATTCTAGAATAATGAACCTTTTCGCAATATTCTAATTGTCTGAGATTTTGAATGTGGGGTTTCAAATGCTGTAAGCCATAATCATCACAGTTATAAAAAAGGCTTGAAATACCTGGCTTTGCATGTAATGAGTCTAACTCATAGTTTCACATTTTAAGTTGATTTACTGACATAAATTAACTTTTGCATGACGTTCTAATTTTTCAAGTTTCACATGTGTTTGTAGAACAGTACGCAACCTAGTGCAAATTTTTTATTGAAAAAGAAAATAAATTATCAAGTGATATGTTAGCTTAGCATCAACATGTGTTCAACAACAGACCAAAAAAGTTGCACTGATGACACATTTTTAAGTTTCTGATTTTTGCTAATGAAAAGTATTTAAAATGTGACCAAACGTTCCAGTAAAAGGTAAAAGACCATCTGATTTTCAAAAGTTTACTCGAAGCATGTAGCTTAGGCCACTGGAGGTCACCAATCAGACCAGAATTTAATTAATCATATAATTATTGCATTCCTTGGTTTTGTATGGAGTTATGATAAAGTTTCTGCTAACGTTATCTGACTGGCTGTACGGTGGTGCAGATGGTGGCCTTGCAGCAAGAAGGTCGCAGGTTCAGCTTCCAGCAATGGCCTTTCTGCGTGGACTTTGCATGTTCTATGTGTGTATGGGTTTTCTGCAGGTACTCTGGTTTCCACCAGCAGACCAACAACATGCCAGGTTGATTGATGACTTTAAAATTGCCCCCCACTGTGAGTGTGTAACTGGTTGTTTGTATCTTGATACGTATCCCTGTGATGGACCTATCCAGGGGTGTCCTCGCCTCTTGCCCGATGACTGCTTGAGTTACACATCAGCTCACCAAGACCCTGCTGAAGAAAAGAGGTCAAGGACCTGAGTGAGTAACACTATCTGACAATAAATTACACAAATAGTCTCAGCTATTTTGGATTATTGTAGCCAGAAGTTTGTACGTTGTTTATAAACCTCACTTTTATGTCAGGTCCCATTTCCATTTAGAAAGAAAGAAAGAAAACGATCTTTTATATAGCGCCTCTCAGGATAAAAATCATGAGGCGCTTCACAAAAACAGAAAAATGAAGGTATAAATCACTGACATAGAACAGAACACAAAGTAGGAACAAAATGCATAAGTTGAAGCCATGAGGAGCTTGTGTGGTCCCCATCTTTAAGAAGGGTGACCTGAGGGTGTGTTCCAACTATAGGGGGATCACACTCCTCAGCCTCCCTGGGAAGGTCTACTCCAAGGTACTGGAGAGGAGGGTCAGATCGATAGTTGAATCTCAGATCGAGGAGCAATGTGATTTTCGTCCTGACCGTGGAACTGTGGACCAGCTCTATACCCTTGCAAGGGTGATGGAGGGGGCATGGGAGTTTGCCCAACCAATCCACGTGTTTTGTGGATTTGGAGAAGGCTTATGACCGTGTCCCCAGGGGCACCCTGTGGGGGACGCTCCAGGACTATGGGGTGGGTGGCTTTCTGTTTAGGGCCATTCAGTCCCTTTACCAGAGGAACGTGAATTTGGTCCGCATAGCCGGTTGTAAGTCGGACCTGTTCCCAGTGAGGGTTGGACTCCGCCAGGGCTGCCCTTTGTTACCGGTTCTGTTCATTACCTTTATGGACAGAATTTCTAGGCGCAGCCGTGGTGTGGAGTGTGTCGAGTTTGGTGGCAGGAGAATCTCGTCTCTGCTTTTTGCGGATGATGTGGTCCTCCTAGCTTCATCCAGCTCTGACCTTCAGCTCTTGCTGGGTAGGTTCGCGGCCGAATGTGAAGCGGCTGGGATGAGTATCAGCACCTCCAAATCTGAGACCATGGTTCTTGACTGGAAAAGAGTGGCTTGTCAACTCCGGGTCGGGGGAGAGTTCCTACCGCAAGTGGAGGAGTTTAAGTATCTCGGCGTCTTGTTCACGAGTGAGGGTAGGAGGGATCAGGAGATCGACAGGCGGATTGGTTCAGCATCTGCAGTGATGCGGACGCTGAGCCGATCTGTCATGGTGAAGAAGGAGCTGAGCCAGAAAGCCAAGCTCTCGATTTACCGGTCGATCTACGTCCCAATCCTCACCTATGGTCATGAGCTTTGGGTAATGACAGAACGAACAAGATCGCGTGAACAAGCGGCCAAAATGAGTTTCCTCCGTAGGGTGGCCGGGCTCAGTCTTAGAGATAGGGTGAGGAGCTTGGACATTCGGGAGGGACTCGGAGTAGAACTGCTGCTCCTCCGGATCGAAAGGAGTCAGTTGAGGTGGTTTGGGCATCTGGTCAGGATGCCTCCTGGACGCCTCCCTGGGGAGGTGTTTCGGGCATGTCCTGCCGGCAGGAAGTCCCCGGGTCGACCCAGGACATGTTGGAGAGGTTACATCTCCATTCTGGTCCGGGAACGCCTTGGGGTCCTGCTGGAGGTGCTGGTGGAGGTGGCCCGGGAGAGGACGGTCTGGAGCTCCGTAGTTGGGATGCTGCCCCCGTGACCCGGACCCGGATAAGCGGAGGAAGACGACGACGACGACGAGGAACTTGTGCACCTCCTTGAGGCCTGCTGCAGTAAAGATAAAAACACATCTCAATCTTGAGCTATTTTTTCTTTTAATTCAAAATTAACCAGCTACTGATCTTTTCTATTGATTTGCTTTGGTTGTACCAAGCCCCCACAATGCGGCTCAGAAAGTGGTCTCAACCCGGAAGTACCAACAATTGCAGTTCCACCCTCATCCGCTGGGGGCTGGTGTCAGAAGCGAGCAAATCCTCATTGACTCCCATGTTAAAAATACCAATTTCACAGCGGAAATAAACATGTTTACAGCCTGGTACCAAAACATGTTTTTTGTTTAAATGATCTAGTTTACACTCATGACAACTCTGAGGGGGGTGAATTTTTTTCTCACTCTTCTGTTTCAGTGTATTAAAAGCCTAAAATTCTGTATAATTAATGGGCATCAGACCCACGTGACCGCCGCCTCAGACCCACGTGACCACAGAGCTAGCTCCGGGGAAAGGCCTCAGAACAGCCTCGGTCTGGCTTGGAAACTGCTCCGGGATTTTGAGTCTCTGTGTTTGTGTATTCTTTTTGGGATATTTTTTGTGCAATTGTTGGACAAAATGACTTGCTGTGGCATTAATTGCACTAATAGAGCGTCCAAGGAGTCCCCACTTCATTTTTTTCGGTAAGTAAAATTATATTTATGTATTTTAGGTCACTGCCGAGCTGAGCTTAGATTTTAACATGTACTTTTTAACCATGAAATTTAAATGTAATAGGGTAAAACCCAGTGCATTTAACATAATGCTGCACTTTAGAAAATGGGTTGAAATATAACATGTTGGTGGAGCTGAGTTCCGACTATCGGCTTGTGGAGCTCTCGGGAGACCGATGTTTTCCACCCGGTTCTCCCCTCCCCGCAGCCCGGCGCATCTCTGTCTGATCGCGGCTTCTGTTTGATGCGAGGGCTGCCGGCTGGGTCTCCCAGCAGCTCGGCGCATCTCTGTCTGATCGCGGCTTCTGTGTGCTACATCTTCACATAGTTATTAGTTGTAATTAGTGACTTGATGCTTTAAAAAACAATTGTGTAAAGGAACATAGGAGGTCCTTTTTAGCTCAGTGTCTCTACCACTCAGACTCTGGCTCCAAAAACACAACATGGCAGGATTTGTAAACAAGAGATTTTTTAACATATGTACAACCTAACTCCTGCAATTAACGAGGGACCCCCGATTATCGTTTTACTGTGAAATCACCTAAAAAAGCAATTAAAGACTACAAACAAGCTTGTTTTAAATAGCTTCACAGGAGTTTCAACGTGCATAAACAGCTTCTCTGCCATCCATCATGGCCAAGGAGGCACTCCCATGAGCAGAGTGATGTAACATGCATAGGGTCAATTCCCTACTCATGAATGAGGGTTAAAGTTTAATCCTATTACTCACACAAGACCATCTCTGAGTCATTAACTCTCAATCCATCCATCCACCCATCCATCCATCCATCGTCTGAACTCACTTGTCCATGTAGGGTCGCGGGGTGGGCTGGTGCCTATCTCCTGCGGTCAATGGGCAATCAGGCGGGGTACACCCTGGACAGAGTACCAGTCCATCGCAGGGCAACACAGAGACTCACAGGACAAACAATCATGCACACACACACTCACACCTAAGGACAATTTGGACAGACCAATCAACCTAACAGTCATGTTTTTGGACTGTGGGAGGAAGCCGGAGTACCCGGAGAGAACCCACACATGCACAGGGAAAACATGCAAACTCCATGCAGAAAGACCTTCCCAGGCCGGGAAGCAAACCCAGGACCTTCTTGGTCAACAGCTCTAACCACTGTGCCACTGAGCAGCCACTCTCAATTCAATTTAATTCAATTCAAGTTTATTTATATAGCGCCAAATCACGACAAGAGTCATCTCAAGGCAATTCACATCGTAAACAATCCAAAACAGGTCAGTTTATTAAGCCAATCAGTAAAAAGGTTCCTATACAAGAAACCCAGCAAATTGCATCAAGTCACTGACTTTACAGCAATCTCTACAGCATTCCTCATACTAAGCAAGCATTTAGAGACAGTGGAGAGGAAAACTCCCTTTTAACAGGAATAAACCTCCAGAGGATCCTGGTTCAGTATAAGCAGCCATCCACCACAACTCACTGGGGATCAAGAAGACAGCGCACACACACACACGCACGCATGCACACACTCACTCATATACCAAATAATGTTTCTATGGTTACATTGTCACGCTGAACAGGAAGTTAGGACCCAAAAACGCCGAACACACCAGACAGGAGCAGATGTAAATAAGTAAATCCTTTATTTAAAGGAGGAGACTTGATCGAGCGATCCAAAAACAAAAACAGAAGCTCACAACTGAGCACTGACTCGGGCGAAACTTGGGAGGGAACAGAACAACGTAGACACAACGATGGCCCGACAAACACTGAGGGACAAGACAGGGCTTTTAAACACAGAGGGAGGTGATCAGGGGAACAGGTGACAGGTGTGAGTGAGATCTGGAGGGAAGGCAGGTGTGTTCAATAAACTAAATGGGGAAAGAACAAAGCAGGAGGGAATAATCATGGGACATAAGAGGAGAACCTGGAGGAGGCTGGGGACAGAGGGACACAGAACATGACATACATTGTGATGTCTTAGTAAATTTTCTATTTGGTGAGGGATAAACTTTATTGTATTTATCCTAGTGAATCTACAATTAAACGGGTAAACTAGTAGTAGCACATTCAATGTCAAAGAGGGTAAAATGTTATCATCAGGAGAGGGAGAATGATTAAATGGTTAGCAACAGTGTTCAAGACGATGGCTCTCAGTTATAATGAGCTAATAAAACGCTTTAGCAGGTTTCATCAACATTACAAAAGGAATAGTGAACTTTTTTGACATTTCACAGCATAAAAATTGAGTTTTTTTTCATAAATTCATCATTTAGCTTTTAAATCATTTTATAAAAATGGGTAATTATACATTGTATCCTGCAGCCAGTGAATTTCATAACAAATGCTCATGTTTGTCTGACATTTCATGGGGTACATATTCTGAAGAGAAAGGAGCCATAAATAAGAATAAATCTCCACTTGTCTGTTATCCAGGTAGAGATCAAAGGGTTTGGGTTTTCATAAAACAGACCTGAGGTGTCATCTTAAGGTTCTTACAAGTGGCAGCAACTGTTGGGTCCAGTTCTGCTTTTTTGTCACAGGAAAGACTCGCCAAGCTCCTGGGACAGAATACCAGTGACACGTGAGAGCTTCTCCACAGCTGGTCACGAGTCTGATGCAGCCCTGTCATGTCTTACAAATCAGAACAATGTCTGGATCTAAAAGGTACCTGACAGAGAAAATCATGTTTATATTGAGTTAAAATTGTTGATTTGGGAGTGTTTTGGTATATTTATAGAGTATCCCTCCAGTTTGCAGCATCTGTTGAGCAGCATCACTGCTCCAAAAATAGTTTACACAACATAACAAGACTCCTGTGATGATTCTTTGAATTTCAAGGCACGGCTGAAGTAAAATACTCAAAAACGTGTGTTTTTTAAATTTTTTTTTTTTTGTTCTTAGTTTATTTGAAGTTTTTAGAATTTTAAAAATTGACTTAATAATGGTCTTTGAAATTACATGTTAAAAGTTCATAATATCCCAAAAAACTTTCCTCTGGTAAACGTTCCTGGTTCAGCCTGCGGTGGAAAGCTTGTTTCGGTCTGTAAAGGGTGCAAAGCCTAAAGGTCAGCTCGGAGGCAAAAATACTCAAATCAAAGATCATAAAACTCCATGACCAAATTTGTGCTGCGTGAACTCTCATCTCTCTATATAAGACAGATGACAGGACACCCTCAAGGACTGTCAGGCAACCAGACAAGGTGAGTGACTTGCAGTCTTTTATTAGCAGGAGGAAAGCCAGCTGCTTAAAGAACAATGCAGGGCATGGCCACTCGCTGCCAGAGACAACACTGATGCTTTGTACAGTAAAGTCTTTACAACATGCAGCATGGTTTTCAAAACGTGTAGCCTATAAACTAAAATATTCCTTTCTTCAGAACCCTCGTGAGGCCATCAGCAGCTGTTCTTCTGGGCAGAGGAGAGAAGGTAATTTATTTAACGTTTCACAGCTTCACCGCAAATTTTAAATACACCAAAAACCTCATTTTGATTTATGTCATTGAAAAAGTGGCTGAATGAAAAGTTTTACAAATGGATTAGCATGGCTATGTTAGAGCAACAGTATAGATGAGTTTCATGTTGTTCCAATAAATATGCAGTAATAAAATGGTTCACATCATAAAAGTTCAACTTGCTTTATAACTTCATAAAGTTGTCTTTGTCTTAAAAATGTGGTTGAAGAGTTCAGCTGCATCATTTTAAGAGCCTTTTGTTTTATTTTGGTAGAGTATGTATTTAATAATTAACAGCATTCTTTTAATGAATGAATTTGCCTTGTTTGTGTTTTTCTAGTAAAGAATCATCATGAGTGGGGACGCAGAAATGGAGTGTTTTGGCCCGGCGGCCGTTTACCTCCGGAAGCCGGAAAGGGAGAGGATCGAAGCTCAGAACACCCCCTTTGATGCTAAAACAGCATATTTTGTGACTGAGCCCAGTGAGATGTACTTAAAGGGGAAACTTATAAAAAAAGAAGGCGCCAAAGCCACCGTGGAGACACTGTGTGGAAAGGTGGGTGGGAGTGAAGCATGTTCGGTTTTAGGATGAGACAGCTGAACAAACGTTTAATGTTATAGTGATGCTGATGTGCTTTAATGCAACACTGAGGACCTTCCTGTCACCATAAACATGATTTTTTCAGACGTTTTCTTCTACTTAGCAGCACCATTTATCTCTCCATTAAAATAAAGCTAACATTTATAGATTTAGTGTACTAAACTCTAAAGACGCTGATGTCTTTACTCTGAACATCAGACTCTCACTGTGAAAGAAGATGAAATCTTCCCCATGAACCCTCCAAAGTTCGATAAGATTGAGGACATGGCTATGATGACCCACCTCAATGAGCCCGCTGTGCTGTACAACCTCAAAGAGCGTTATGCAGCATGGATGATCTACGTAAGTTTGTGTTGGTCTGAAACACACGATGAGTGAAGGCAGATGTGCATCACAGCCAACCTCTCTGACCCTCCAGACCTACTCTGGGTTGTTCTGCGTCACTGTGAACCCCTACAAGTGGCTGCCAGTGTACGACACAGTGGTGGTTGCAGGATACAGGGGGAAGAAAAGGATCGAGGCTCCGCCACACATCTTCTCCATCTCTGATAATGCTTATCAGTTCATGCTTCAAGGTATCCATCATTTTGCCACCTCATCAGAATCCCAGCTGCTCCTCATCAGAAATCAACATCTAATGATCTGATGTCTGACTGTTTTACAGATAGAGAGAACCAGTCCATCCTGATTACGTAAGTGTCTAATATTTTACGCAGTCCAGTCGCAATCATCAGTGTCTTCTAACTCTGATGTGTCTCTGAACGCACCACTAAACCAGCGGAGAATCTGGCGCTGGAAAGACTGTCAACACCAAGCGTGTCATCCAGTACTTTGCGACAATCGCAGTGGCTTCTGGGAAGAAAACCGAACAGGTTCCAGGCAAAATGCAGGTAGGTGATGCAAAACAATAATACAGTTAAATAAACAACTAAACACAGATGTGTTGGACTGAAATGATGAATGCTGCATTTAGGGATCACTGGAAGATCAGATCATTGCAGCAAACCCGCTGCTGGAAGCTTACGGGAACGCCAAGACCGTGAGGAATGACAACTCTTCACGTTTCGTAGGTTTTTATCTTTCAGTTTAAAAGATTATGTTTGTTTGGTGAAAATCATCTAAAGGTAACAGAGTTGGAATCATAACGGGTTAATAACTGTTTCTGCAGGGAAAGTTCATCAGAATTCACTTTGGATCGACTGGAAAGCTGGCTTCAGCTGATATTGAAACATGTAAGTTTGATTTTCTTGAAAGTTATAAAAAAAACTCCTTTAATTGCTAAAAAATGTTTCATTTTGACTAAACTAAACAGATCTGCTGGAGAAGTCTCGAGTGACGTTCCAGCTGTCCGCTGAGAGGAGCTACCACATCTTCTATCAGCTCACTACAGGACACAAACCTGAGCTGATAGGTCAGGAACCCATAAATATTACTGATTGTGATCAAGAGGATGTCTTTTAATTCAGGTTCACATTGATATTTTCTCTCTTCAGAGGCCCTTCTCATCACCACCAACCCTTATGACTATCCCATGATCAGTCAGGGTGAAATCACAGTCAAAAGTATTAATGACATTGAAGAATTCATTGCCACTGATGTAAGAAATGCTCAAATATACCCCCGAATATGTAAAAACAAATTATTTTTCTCTAGAATGGTTTTGATAATTTCCATTTTCTCTAACAACTTACAGACTGCTATCGACATCCTGGGTTTTACTGCAGAAGAGAAGGTTAGCATGTACAAGCTAACAGGAGCCGTGATGCATCATGGGAACATGAAGTTCAAGCAGAAGCAGCGTGAAGAGCAGGCTGAGCCTGACGGCACTGAGGGTAGGCTGCTCTCTTTGACACATTTCCTTTTTTTAAACTATATAATTTTAATATTTGTGTATATTTTGTTTTCCAGTTGCTGATAAAATCTCTTATCTGATGGGCTTAAACTCAGCTGACCTGCTGAAGGCGCTGTGCTATCCCAGAGTGAAAGTGGGAAATGAGTTTGTCACTAAGGGCCAGACTGTCCCACAGGTGAGAGTCTTCGTTGCCCTTTAACTTATTTTACACATGAAAGTTGTGTATTATAATAGGAATGCATCTCTTTTGTATCGTTAAACCAGGTCAACAATGCTGTCTCAGCTCTTTGCAAGTCCGTTTATGAGAAAATGTTCTTGTGGATGGTCGTCAGAATCAATGAGATGCTGGATACCAAGCAGCCAAGAAGCTTCTTCATTGGTGTCTTGGACATTGCTGGGTTTGAAATTTTCGACGTGAGCATCTCTGGCTGATTCATCAAACGAAGGGCTGATATTTTCTGTGTAATTAGAACTTTTGCTCATGATTCGTTTAGTACAACAGCCTGGAACAGCTGTGCATCAACTTTACCAATGAAAAGCTGCAGCAGTTCTTCAACCACCACATGTTCGTCCTGGAGCAAGAAGAGTACAAGAAGGAGGGAATCGAGTGGGAGTTCATCGACTTCGGCATGGACTTGGCTGCCTGCATTGAGCTTATTGAGAAGGTTTGACCCTCAGGCTGGAACAGAAAACAAAGTGATGACTTGAATCTTTTGTGCTTTTAACAATCATCTTGTCATGGCAGCCAATGGGCATCTTCTCCATCCTTGAAGAGGAGTGCATGTTCCCAAAGGCTACAGACATGACCTTCAAGAGCAAACTGTATGACCAGCATCTGGGAAAGAGCGCCCCCTTCCAGAAGCCAAAACCTGCCAAAGGCAAAGCTGAGGCTCATTTCTCTCTGATGCACTATGCTGGTACTGTGGACTACAATGTCACAGGTTGGCTGGAAAAGAACAAGGACCCTCTGAATGACTCAGTGGTGCAGCTCTACCAGAAGTCTTCAGTCAAGCTGTTGGCCTTCCTGTATGTTTCTCATGCTGGATCAGAAGGTAGAAACCAGATTTGTATGAGAAGACTTGATTTTTTAAAGGTGCAATATGTAAGATTTCTAACAGTCAAATGTTTCAGTCATGTTGGAAGGAAGATTATACAGAAGTAGATGTCAGTCTCAGTTGAAGGTGGGGTTGTCACTTTTTCTCCTTTCAAAAAACCAAAAGAGGGTTAGGAATGAGACAATAACTTCAGTTTTGTCTTTGTTTGACTGGAGAAAGTTTGACAGCATCCTGTCATTGACTTGCTTCAAACACTGACAGAGTGAGTCTAGTGGATCCACAGTCATTAGGGGATTGAGCTAGGTAGATCTGGGTGTCATCTGCATAACAAAAAAATCACAGTTTCCTTTAAATTTTATTACATTTTGTAACACACCATCTTCATAAAGTTTGTACAAATAAATGTTTAAATAAAATATTTAATCAACAATAACATTTGTTGCAGCTGAGGGAGGTGGAAAGAAAGCTGGCAAGAAGAAGGGTGGATCATTCCAGACTGTATCTGCTCTGTTCAGGGTGAGAATTACAAATGACTGCTAGTAAATGTGTGACACTCCTCAAACAGCAGCTAATAAAGGTAACACAAATAAATAACTACCTCTAATTATAAATCTTTTCATATTTCAGGAGAATCTTGGCAAGCTGATGACCAACCTGAGGAGCACTCATCCTCATTTTGTGCGCTGCTTGATTCCAAACGAGTCAAAGACTCCTGGTGAGCTGAATCTCTTTCTCACTTTGCTCAGTTATACCAGCTCAGTGGTCTAGTGGTAGAGTGTCCGCCTTGAGACTGGGAGATCAGGGTTCGATTCCTGGTCGGGTCATACCAAAGACTTTGAAAAAAATGGGACCCAATGCCTCCCAAATGACACTCAGCATTAAGGGGGTTGGATTGGGGGGTTAAACCACCAAATGGTTCCCGAGCGCGGCTGTGTCTGCAGCTCACCGCTCCCCCAGGGGATGGGTCAAATGCGGAGAACAAATTTCGCACACACATCAGTGTGTGTGACAACTAATCGGACTTTAACTTTAACTTTAAATATAAACTAAAATCATGCAGCAGAAGACTAAACCCATCTTGGCTCCCAGGTCTGATGGAGAACCACCTGGTCATCCACCAGCTGAGGTGTAACGGTGTGCTGGAGGGGATCAGGATCTGCAGGAAAGGTTTCCCCAGCAGAATTCTCTACGGTGACTTCAAGCAGAGGTGAGTCTTCACAGGATGAGAAAAATACCATTTTAACATAAAAGCTGCAGATCGACTGAACCATGAAAACTTTTAGGTACAAAGTACTGAACGCCAGCGTCATCCCTGAGGGTCAGTTCATCGACAACAAGAAGGCCTCAGAGAAACTACTGGGCTCTATCGATGTGGACCACACTCAGTACAAATTTGGACACACTAAGGTAGAATTTTAAAAGTTTTTGCAGAAACAGGAATCCGTAACTTGCAGCTGTAACTAATCGTGAGACCATTTTGGTGCGCAGGTGTTCTTTAAAGCCGGCCTGCTGGGAGTTCTGGAGGAGATGAGAGATGATAAATTGGCTGAGCTGGTCACAATGACTCAGGCTCTTTGCAGAGGATTCCTCATGAGGCGCGAGTTTGTCAAAATGATGGAGAGACGGTAATTTTCCTGATGTTTTTTAAGTATGTGCTGAATGCTACGTAATTCACAGGCTAACTTATTTTGGTTCTTTTTTCAGAGATGCCATTTTCACCATCCAGTACAACATCCGAGCATTCATGAACGTCAAAACTTGGCCATGGATGAAGCTGTACTTCAAGATCAAACCACTGCTGAAGAGCGCAGAGACGGAGAAGGAGATGGCCCAAATGAAGGAGGACTTTGCAAAGACCAAAGAGGACCTGGCAAAGGCTCTGGCCAAGAAGAAAGAACTGGAGGAGAAAATGGTTTCCCTCCTTCAGGAGAAGAATGACTTGTTATTGCAAGTGCAGTCTGTGAGTTTTATCACCACGTTGTTGAAATGCCACTAAAATCCCCTTTTTATTAAAAAAATACATAATTGCTTTGACTTTAAGGAAGGTGAAAACCTGGCCGATGCAGAGGAAAGATGTGAAGGGCTCATTAAAGCTAAAATCCAGCTTGAGGCCAAGGTCAAAGAGACGGCTGAGAGACTGGAGGATGAGGAGGAGATCAACGCTGAGCTGACAGCAAAGAAGAGGAAACTTGAGGACGAGTGTTCTGAGTTAAAGAAGGACATAGATGACTTGGAGCTCACTCTGGCCAAAGTGGAAAAGGAGAAACACGCCACTGAAAACAAGGCAGGTCCATCAGTCACAGTTTGAGTCTAACATCCACTTGTTGCACACCTAAACCCTTTTGTTTTCCAACCCAGGTTAAAAACCTGGTTGAGGAAATGACTTCCCAAGATGAGATGATTGCTAAACTAACAAAAGAGAAGAAAGCCCTCCAAGAGGCCCACCAGCAGACCCTCGATGACCTGCAGGCAGAGGAAGACAAAGTCAACACTCTGACGAAGGCCAAGACCAAACTGGAGCAGCAAGTCGATGATGTGAGCAGCAAAAAGTACCTTAAAAAACCCGACTTAAGACCTATAATGTTACCTTATGAACATTTATATATCCGTGACAGCTCGAAGGCTCTCTGGAACAAGAAAAGAAGCTCCGTATGGATCTCGAGCGAGCTAAACGAAAGCTTGAGGGAGACCTGAAGCTGGCTCAGGAGTCATTAATGGATCTGGAGAATGACAAGCAGCAGTCTGAGGAGAAGATAAAGAAGTGAGAATATGATTTTATTTTAAAACAGTTGATCTTTTCTTGGATGTTTTGCTGAAATAAAAATAATTTTCCCTTTTAGAAAAGACTTTGAGATAAACCAGCTCCTCACCAGGATTGAAGACGAGCAGTCTCTTGGTATCCAGTTACAGAAAAAGATTAAAGAACTTCAGGTATAATCGGTGCTAACAAGAAGCCCTTTAGATGTAGTACACATTTATTTACTTGAATCTTTGTTTACGTTTGTTTCAGGCTCGCATTGAGGAGCTGGAAGAGGAAATCGAGGCTGAGCGAGCTGCTCGGGCCAAGGTGGAGAAGCAGAGGTCGGATCTCTCCAGGGAACTTGAGGAGATCAGCGAGAGGCTCGAAGAAGCTGGAGGAGCCACAGCAGCTCAGATTGAGATGAACAAGAAGCGCGAGGCCGAGTTCCAGAAGCTGCGTCGGGATCTGGAAGAGTCCACCCTTCAGCACGAGGCCACGGCTGCAGCTCTGCGCAAGAAGCAGGCTGACAGCGTGGCAGAGCTGGGAGAGCAGATCGACAACCTCCAGAGAGTCAAACAAAAGCTGGAGAAGGAGAAAAGCGAGTACAAGATGGAGATCGATGACCTCTCCAGCAACATGGAGTCTATTGCAAAATCAAAGGTAACGAGGTGAAATCATACATTTTTCAAAGATTTTTTTTAAAGGGAGGATTAAATCTATCTTTTTTCTTTTTCAGGGAAACTTGGAAAAGATGTGCAGGACCTTGGAGGATCAGCTGAGCGAGCTGAAAGCCAAGAATGAGGAGAACGTTCGTCAGCTGAATGACATCAGTGCACAAAAAGCACGACTCCAGACTGAAAATGGTACAAACTTCACTTTCGAGGTTCATTTTACCGCAAAAGAATAAAAATCTGCATCAGTAAGACGTGTCTGAATGTTGCACACTACAGACACTCCGTGATCCATGTTGACTCTCAGTCTTACTCAGGTCTTGTTTTGGTAACCGTCCTCACACAGGCGAAATTAGCCGACAGCTGGAGGAGAAAGAAGCTCTTGTGTCTCAGCTGACCAGAGGCAAACAGGCTTACACTCAGCAGATTGAGGAACTGAAGAGACACATAGAGGAGGAAGTGAAGGTAAAATAACTAAAAAAGAAGGAAGACAAAAAGATAAACTCCAAGATGACTGATTTGGAGGATTTGATCTGTTCTGTATTTTATTGAAGGCCAAGAACGCTCTGGCTCATGCAGTTCAGTCGTCTCGTCATGACTGTGACCTGCTCAGAGAGCAGTATGAGGAGGAGCAGGAGGCCAAGGGTGAGCTTCAGCGTGCGATGTCCAAGGCTAACAGCGAGGTGGCTCAGTGGAGAACCAAGTATGAGACTGATGCCATTCAGCGCACTGAGGAGCTGGAGGAGGCCAAGTAGGTTTTAAAGTTGTCTGATTGTCTAAGACACATTGTGCTTCTAAGTCTGAAAAGGAACCATTTTTTGCAGGAAGAAGCTGGCCCAGCGTCTTCAGGATGCTGAGGAATCCATCGAGGCTGTGAATGCTAAATGTGCCTCACTAGAGAAGACTAAACAGAGGCTGCAGGGTGAGGTGGAGGACCTGATGATCGACGTGGAGAGAGCTAACGCTCTGGCTGCGAACCTCGACAAGAAGCAGAGGAACTTTGATAAGGTTGGATTTTTAGCTGACGTGATGTGAGATCTAAAACAAGCAGAAACTCCCAAGTTTGTTGTCCCCTTAGGTTCTTGCTGAGTGGAAGCAGAAGTATGAAGAGAGCCAGGCTGAGTTGGAGGGAGCTCAGAAGGAGGCTCGCTCTATGAGCACAGAGCTGTTCAAAATGAAGAACTCTTATGAAGAAGCTCTGGACCACCTGGAGACCCTGAAGAGGGAGAACAAGAACCTGCAACGTAGGACAACTGAAGCTCCTTTACATCCACGGTTTTCCAAAAATATGTTTAGATGGTTAAATATTAACATTTCTTTGTGTGCTGAAATCTTGCTTTAACAGAGGAGATTTCAGATCTGACTGAGCAGCTTGGGGAGACCGGAAAGACGATCCATGAGCTTGAAAAGGGAAAGAAGACAGTGGAGAGTGAGAAGTCAGAAATCCAGACTGCTTTAGAGGAAGCAGAGGTAACCTTGTACTTTAAAACTGCTGAAACTGAAATTGTAAACTACCAAACGTCAATAAAATGATTGAGCTGAGGTACAAAACACACATTAAAACATAACTCCTTCTGTTAATGTGCACACAGGCCACACTGGAGCATGAAGAGTCCAAGATTCTCCGCATCCAGCTGGAGCTTACCCAAGTTAAGAGCGAAATTGACAGAAAGCTTGCAGAAAAGGACGAGGAGATTGAACAAATCAAGAGAAACAGCCAGAGGGTGATTGAGTCCATGCAGAGCACTCTGGATGCTGAAGTCAGGAGTAGGAATGACGCTTTAAGAATTAAGAAGAAGATGGAAGGAGACCTCAACGAGATGGAGATTCAGCTGAGCCACGCTAACCGACAGGCTGCTGAGGCTCAGAAACAGCTGAGGAACTTGCAGGGACAGCTTAAGGTGCAACGATCGAGAGATATAATACTTCATGCAGCATTCACATTCTGCATGGGAAGGAAAATATCAGGTTACATATGTTATTGTTTTAAATCAGGATGCCCAACTCCATCTTGATGAAGCACTTAGAGGCCAGGATGACATGAAGGAGCAGGTTGCGATGGTGGAGCGCAGGAACAACCTGATGGTGGCTGAGATCGAGGAGCTGAGAGCTGCACTCGAGCAGACGGAGAGAAGCCGCAAAGTGGCTGAACAGGAACTGCTGGATGCCAGCGAGCGAGTGACATTGCTGCACTCTCAGGTATCTTTCTTTTAACACTTGCCAGTGCAAACTGGTTTCAGTGATTCTTGAGCAGCTTCACATGGGACAGCAGCACTCTGCAGCCTTCTCCTGGCCAGAAACTGGACTAAACAGCTTTGGTTGTTTGGGTAGGAACACTAGTGGGAAGGCTCTACCTGTTTTATGGCAATGAGTGTTCACACTGCCGGTAGCTCTGAAGTTTAACAGTTAGCTTTTTCAGTTCACCAAAAAATGCAAGAAGAGGAAGAGGAATTTATTCTTTTTGTTGACATCATGGCGGAGCCTGGAATAGTAAAATGGCCGGAATTTATGTAACACCTTCCAGGGTTCTACAACCCCCCAAGGCACTTTACAAAACAAACAGTAATGAACAATTGTCTTTGCATCCGAACCGTCAATAAACAGAACTTCATAAAAACAAGCAAATTACATTACCTTGTCTGACGACATCGATATCTGCAAAGGTGGCGCTAGCAGACTGCGGGAGGGTTGTGATTTTGCTTTTAACCAGAAGGGGACAGAAGTGTGAAAATTAATGAGTATTACTTTGGTTATTCGTTTTGTCATAGAATACCAGTCTCATCAACACCAAGAAGAAGCTAGAGGCGGATTTTGTTCAGATCCAAGGGGAGGTGGAGGATGCTGTTCAGGAAGCAAGAAATGCTGAGGAAAAAGCCAAGAAGGCCATCACTGATGTGAGTTGTCTCACTCAGGAGCCATCCATCCATGAACGTGTATCCTAAATGACCAAAAGAATAAAATATGGTGAAATATTTCAGGCTGCTATGATGGCAGAAGAGCTGAAGAAGGAGCAGGACACCAGCGCTCATTTGGAGAGAATGAAGAAGAATTTGGAGGTCACAGTGAAGGACCTGCAGCATCGTCTTGATGAAGCTGAAAACCTGGCCATGAAGGGAGGCAAGAAGCAGCTCCAGAAGCTGGAAGCTCGGGTAAAATCTCCTCAACAGCTTGAGTTTGGTCTTTGTCTTTCGGTTTATTCTTGAGCTCCCAGCAAAAGCTGTTTATTAATCAGGTACGTGAGCTGGAGGCTGAGGTTGAAAGTGAGCAGCGGCGAGGAGCGGAGGCTGTCAAAGGTGTTCGCAAATACGAGAGAAGAGTCAAGGAGCTCAGCTATCAGGTTGGAAGCTTTTTTTGGTTCTCAGTTAGAGAAACCTAAGAAACATGTGCTCATTGGCACATTTATTAATGTAAACTGCAGACCGAGGAGGACAAGAAGAATATCGTCAGGCTGCAAGATCTGGTGGACAAGCTGCAGCTAAAAGTGAAGGCCTATAAGAGACAGTCAGAGGAGGCTGTAAGTTACATTCATGTTTTATTTTTACAGTTATGTACAAATATATTTAGGCTGTTTTTTGATGGTAAACCTGGTTTGATGACATTAACCAATGTTGAATTACCTGACAGGAGGAGCAGGCCAACACTCACATGTCCAGGCTGAGGAAGGTGCAGCATGAGTTGGAGGAAGCCCAGGAGCGTGCCGACATCGCCGAGTCCCAGGTCAACAAGCTGAGGGCCAAGAGTCGGGAAGTCGGAAAAGTAAGTCAGGTCAAACTCAACGTCAAAAGCTGCTGTGGGTAAACAGAATTTAATGCATGAGTTGTGTGGAAGCTGATGATTTAATTTAAAGCTGCTGCATGAATGCACATTCTCTCTGTCAACTTTCCCAAAGGTTATTATTTTTCACCTTTTCAGGCAAAGGAGTCTGAGGAATAAGCTAAAACCTTTGTGGGAGGCCAAATGAAAATCATAAAATATGAGTTTTCATTGAATTTCTCACATCAAAAGTTGTAAATCTACCATTAATAAAAGATGCAAACCTTCTGCCTTTGAACTTTTGTTTTTCTTGTTGCCTCAAGTAAAACACAATATAAATGACACCTTTAACAAACACACTTATTTATGGATCTGTCTCCTTTTTATGTATTAGAGCGGGTTTAATTAGTTGATGAATGAACTAAATGCATCCAAAGATGTGTAAACAACTGATTTTGTAAATTCTGCTGTCACAGTTCTTTGCAAGCAGCTGGACTTAGACAACTTCATGTTATGGAAGCAACGAGTTAGCTGTAATGTTTTAAAAATCCCCTTGTTTCACACACCTGCAAGTTTGAATTTTAAATTTAAAGCTGCACAGGTCTCATGTTTGTTCTGAGCAGTGGTGGACATTTAGAAAACACATGAACAATCATAAATATAACATGTGTTGTGATTTGAAGTTGTATATTTATATACTGTAATTAAATAATTTAATTACCTGATTTTGTATATTTATACAATCTAAGTAATCAATCAGAAGTGGTTGTTTTTATCATCAGGGAGTTTACTTCAACACTTTGTATTGACTGAGAGACAAGAAAGAGAGAAAGTTGGGATCGTTTAAGAATCTTTAATTTCTATAATTATAAATTCTTACAATCTACCAGGACTATCTCACTGATGAATGCATATGGATTTGGATGTTTCGTGTTGGTGTGTGTGTGTGTGTTTTGTTCAGAATCTCTAGGCTGAGTGGCGGATCTGGTTGTTATGACTAGGCTACCACGAGGCTTCGATTGCTGATCACATGAGCCGCCATTTTGTGCCGTGACCACGTACCGTGGGGAGTCTCCCGTGTAGATCAGGAATTGCCAGGTCCTCGGACCTTCATGGGTACTGGAGCTGGTTGAAACAGCGGTCGCAGCACACAACGCCCGTCTGAGGATAACTCCGGTCGTAGTCGGCAGGCGTCAGCAAGTTCACTCTTATTTTGAAGGAACGTCGTCTAGTTGGTACAAACGACGGAAAATCTGCAGCTTGACAGATTTCAGCTCAAAGTAGGAAGTACAGCTGGCCAGTCTGCAACTTCTTAATGATGACGATGGAAATCCTTAGGAACTCGGATGTCCTGGAGCTGAGTTTAACATGTAACTGCTTAACGTGGAACTGACGTGGAACTGACTTAAAATGGCATTGCCTTCTTTTTATATCTCCCAGTTGTTTAAGAATCTTAGTAAACCGGATTGGACTACTTTCATGAACAAACCAGATTCTGCCCTACCACAGACGAAAGTTCTGATTGGTTGAAAACAATGTGTCATGCGTTTCCATGGTAATGCATATCAGTGTGTCTGGTGCAGCCCTGTTTAACACATAACTCATGACATCTTTATTTCACAGATCATTCACCTGATTATTAATGATCAACAAATGCTTTGATTAGCTTATCACAAATAAAGTACTTTGATTAATCAATGAAAAGCGTTCTTCTTCTGTTCTTCTGTCTCTTCTCCTGGAATGTAAACATACTGAACCAAGCGTCCGACCTTGGCGATGTTACTGTGTGAAGGGGCAGCTGTTAAGGGCAGACCATTATAAACTTCATAACGCTACACCTGTAACAACTGAGGGGGAAAATGCTTTATTTTTAAAATAAATGCCTGCCATCAACAAAAAGATAAATGAATTATTGTCTGATAAATTTTGATAAGACTCAGTTTTACCCAGACGAACTTGTTCTGCAGCAGATCTGCACCGCTCCTCCTTCTGAAAGCTCCAGCTGCTGTTTCTCTAATGTTCATTTCCAGAGTTATCTTATAGCCTGGCTGGATACACTTAGCATGATTTATTCAAATGGCAATAGGAGTCAAACTGCTCTCCAAGTGTTTGTAGTGTGATGACACAGCTGAATAAGTCCCGCTGGGAAGCACAATGCCTGCTATTCAAATAAAACCTCAGAGAGCAGATGGCTGCCAGGACTTTTCCTATATTACACCACTGGAGCCAAACGTTCCCTCAGATCCAGAACTTTTGAAGTCCAAGACTTCTCGTTTTTACAACACTTGATTGCTTTATCTATTGATTGAGAGAGGGAACAGATGATCAGACTGGACAAAAAAGGGACTTGACTGATTGTTTTCTCTTCTACAGTCGGCTGAAAATGTAATCCACAACGGCTCATGCAGGAAAGACTGGAGTGCATAGGAGATCTATGGGAAAAGTTTCGCTTCACTGATTTGTAGGGCTGCACAATTATCATTCTCAATATAACCCACACCTTTCTGTCACTTTAATGCTCTCCATGTGCTGGTGGCTGGCCTTTAGATGAAAGCCTGAGAGATCTACGTCAGATTAGCAGCAAATATATTTTACCAAGTAAGGTTAACACTCATATATTTCATGAGGAAGACAGAGATTGACTGTGATGGACTTGAAATGATAAATTTGATGTTTATATTTCTCGTTTAGAATTGTCTTATATTCCAGTTCAAGTCAGTTTAATTTTATATATATATATATATATATATATATATATATATGTATATATATATATATATACATATACATATATATATATATATATATATATATATATATATATATATATATATATATATATATATATATATATACATATAGCACTCTTTCACGACAAGTCGTCTCGAGGCACTTCACAAATTAAACATTCCAATACACTTCAGTTCATAATGCCAACCAGTAAAAGGTTTCCTATGTTTCACTATGGAGGGTGTGTGTTTCTGTCCACTAAAGAGAATTTCTAATAATATGTGTGTGACAATTACGTGATTTGTTTTGCATGATGAGCTTCGCCGTTAGGAGATGTCTTGTCTCTCCGGTGGGAGCGTAGCAGCTGGTCCCAGTGACCCAGTTGGTGACAAAAAGGGGTATGGATCCAGAATTTAGTTGGTTTTTAAATCAGCTCCTGTGTAAAGTGACATGCTTTGTATTAGTAATCGTATAAATGGTGTGGGGTGATTTCTGGCTAAGTCGACAAGTTCATCAAATCTTGTGAGGGTCAGTTTTTACGCTAGCTAACTTTCGTAAATGCTGCTCTTCAACAAGCAAACTGGGCTTGAATCAGCAAAGTCACACTGAACTGGCAAACAAAAGAACCCACGGTCTTAGTCACCACTTTTATCCTGCGTTCAATACTCCCATAACTCACTGTTGATGTCCACCAGACCCATGTGATCAGGTGACGTGTGTGGGAAGGATCAACAGGTGCAGATGCAAAACGAGTGCACACTATTCAAGTCAGCTGAACTTAATGGGCATTTTTGCAGTTTGCAGTTTCACTAGATGTGTACACGTCATGCAACTTCAAGGAAGTCTAGTATGCAGAAATTAGCCACCCTTACAGTGAATGGGTACGTTCCCACCAGCCGTGAAAACTGCTTTTTAGAAGTGTAGGGACACGTCTAAATTTACGCTTTCACTCGTTTTTTATGCACTATGCTCTGCAGCTCAAATCAGGCCAGACAGGACGTCAAACACCAAAGCAGTGTCAAACATCTGGAAACTTTCAAAATAAAAGTCACGTGCAAATTTCCAGTAACTAGTAAGAAAATAGCTTAATGAAACTGCCGTGGCCAAGGTGAGCGGAACAGAAAATAAAGCACAGAGCTTTTTAGATACATGCTGCCATATTTCTCCTTGTTCATTGTTGTGTGAACTGTAAAAATCACACGTGGTCTTGCAATTGTCCGGTGACTGTGTCACCTCATGGGACCAGCTGTGTGGAATGCTTTTTCTGCTGTTTAGCATCTGAAGTGGTCAAGCTCACGGGTTAAACGTATCTAATGTGTTTCGCCAACTTTATGCATCCCATAGACAACCGAGGTCAGAAAGTTTGACACTGGGAAGGAAAACAGCTGCAAATGATATGCAAAAAAAAAAAAAATATATATATATATATAGATGCAACATTTTCTTTAGTAATCTGGTCCTGTGTGTTTTAGCATCTCAGCCACAATATTCTACTGTAAACCTGTGTGTGTGTTAAAGGGCTGAGTAAAGCATGCAAACTATAAAACGTTTGCAGCCAAAGCACAATGTTGAAATTGTGATAATGATACCTTTATAAAAAAGTAGCCAATGTCATTTCATTGACAACTGAGTGTTTACCGTAAATCCTCTAATATTAGTCTGTATTAAATTAACTGCAGGGTATCATATTTTGGCCGGTGCCAGAGTCGGCGGAGGTGAATAATGGCCGGTTTTTTATTGTGACCGGGTGGAATGTGGTAAAAAGCAAGTACGGGGGGCGGTTGTGTCATCCGTCTCACTTTTGATTTGCCAGTGACAGACCGCGGGGATAACTTTAACCGTGCGGAGACGAAGAGGAGGTGAAAATTTGATATCAAGTTCAAAGAGAACGTGCTGATTATGCTGCAGAACATTCTGGGGAGCAGTAGCAGGGGTTGTATGAACTAGTCACTAGTCGACTTCACCGCTCTATAGTGACTTTTTATGCCTGTCATCGACTAGTCGCTGTCACGTGATAATGACCGGCAAGATGCAGTCCTCGGAAAAGACAGCAGCCTGCTGTCAGCAGGTGACAAGCTCCTGCGCATCGGGAGGCAACGCGCTGTGCCAGAGCGTCAGTACTGACACCTGCCGTAAAATGGACATTTAACCAAATTGTGACCTTTACCCTCTTGCAATTTAACCTTCCCCTCACCCCCATCCTAACCTTAACCAGCATGCGCATGCAAAGCTCTGATTGTTGACGCGCTCCAGACATCTGCTTCCTGAGCACGGCCACAGTAACATTATCAAATCAGGTGTCGCCACCTCAAAAACTAATTTAACACGCAATCGTTCATGTCGGCTCATTTCCTTTTATGTTTTCTGTCTTTTATTCTTTTATTTGTGCCTGATGCTTTTCGCTGCTGTGGAGCAGGGCGCATCACCTGTTTTGTCCTCCGGTGATGCACCTCACTGGTGTGGCCGGCGAGCAGCGCGCACTCCGCTGTTTGTCGGTAGATCTTTTAGAACTGCAGTTCAAAGGTAACTCATAAGGTGAATATAAATGAACCCAGGTAGCAGTTTTTCTTTAGGATTGAGAGGAGATGCAGGAAGATAATAAACAGGCAGGACAGAAAAATAGTCAAATAAAAACAAGTTAGTTTTTGGACCTGGTTGCAACAAACAGACACCATTGAAGGTAATCAGAAGTGAGGAACAGAAAATGAAATAATTATTTTAATGTTTAGAGCAGCAGGAACTCCGAGAGGCTGCAGGCGTATCAGTGAGTTTGCGGCCGCTGCGCAGGGGGAGGGGGGAGAGGGCCGAAGCAGAAACTACCGTTGTTAAAAGAAATGTGTTTAACTTTGAAAATGTGGGCGCAATTTTAATTGTCAAAAACTCCAGCAAACTATTAGTTCATTTTGCTCAAATAGAAATAGAGGCCTGCCTCTAATTCTGGCCCTCCTTCCAATAAAGGCCTGGAGCTTGATGAGCTTGAATCAAATACAAGCCCGGGCCTGTATTAGAGGATTTACGGCATATTAGAACCAAAACGTTTAAAAACAATAACAATTTAGCACTGAAGTGAAAAATATCAATAGCATTTATTCACCAAAGATATAAACATTTAAATATTCATTTCATAATGAGACTGACAAAATCTTTACAAATTTAGCCTTCGTCTTCTGCCTTGCATCGTCTGTACAAAATGAGGCGGAGCTGGGGACTGGCACAGAGAGGGAACGATGCAGCGTAAACAACATAGTCAGCAAAACGAAAAGCAAACTACAGCAAAAACATTCGGACACTAACAGGATATATTCATCATTTTTACCTGTTTATACTGGTTTTCTTGTAAACTGCTTCATATATCCTCATGTACATTCAGTTCCTTTTTATTGATACAAAGTTCAGCCACAACAAACAAATGAACAAACATATTAAGTAAGGCATTAACCAATGATAAAAGCAATATTATATCAATAAATGAATAAGCGGTTGTCCCAACATGTGCCACTGCCTATTTATTTTTAATACAGCCTTCAGAGGGGTAAATAATTATCTGTTTTTACATTATTCTGACATCTTTGTCTTAAATAAATGATGAAAATTTATTCAGGCAGTATTTTGCTCATAACTCCAAACTTTGTGCTTTCACTTCCTGCAAAAGTCACCTAATTCAAACCCAGACGGTCATTGTAGGCTTCACTGAAGTCAAGCTTTCAGCTTCATTCCTAGCCTCCTCTTCACGAGCAGTACTCAGAGCCGGATATGGACAGGAATGTCAAATATTCATCGGACTATGTACAGATGTCTGTTCAAAATATCATGCAAATAAATACCAGTCATTTGAAACCGAAACTTAACAACACTGACCTCAGCAGTGGTTGAAAGATTAAGCTGCAGCTTCTAAAGAGTTCCTCAGATTCTCATTCCATTGGATGCAACAAAAAATGTTTCAGTAATGACCTCAAGTACCAACTGCAGGTCTCGTTGGTGCTGAAGTCCTTGTTCTCCAGTTCCCTGCCATGCTCAGAAACGCAGGAGATAAACAACCGTAGTTTTGAGTAAATAAACATTCATTCAGTCCCAACACATTTCCAACAAGCATGTTTTCATCAACAGTGTATTGATGAGACAGAGTGGGAACAGTGAAAGCAGAGTCTGTCGTCTGATTCAAGCCCGAAGCAGAGAGAAACACCACCAAGCAGGAGGGCAGCAGGGTCGGTTCTGTCCATCAGCTGCTCAGCTCTCCTCTGCTGTGCATTTTCACAACTTTAAAAATGTCCAGAATGAGCATCTTATCCTTTTAGAGGTGCAGCTCTTCAAATACATAACCTGCAGGGTAAGCGTCCACTTATCTGAGATCCAAAATGTTCCTGTAATCCAAAAGGATGAGTGCAACAAGGCACTGCAGGCTGGAACACCAGGCAGATGGACAAAAACATCGGGTTTACAAATATTTTGTCTGAAAAGCATCTTTTTAAAAACATCCCCAGATCGAAACATTGACACAAAAATACAAGAAAGAGGGATTCATCATGAGACAGAGGCTTTCATCATGTGTGCTGCAACTTCCGGTTATAGCCATCAGCTGATAAGGGGACTCTCAGAGCTCAGCTCACATCTACATGTTGGCATGTGAGGGACTGAAAAATCAAATGAAATCATGCAACAGTCTAACAGTAATAATCATATCTGGTTCAAGAGCAAAACTGTTTGTCTTCGATAAGTTTAATTCCTACATTTGACACAAGTAAAAATGATTTTGTTGACGTGGTGAGTTTGGATACTAGAACAAAACTGCAGACACATCTCGAAGATGCACGGATGCCTATTTGCTGCAGGCTTTTATAAAACACTGAGCAAACTCTGGACCATCGACTGTTCAATAAACATAAATGAAAGAAATATATATAATTCAGTTTAATCTACAAATAAAGTATGTTGACATCCACTCATTTCTTGGGTTTTTATGACTATGATTTAACTTAGTGAGCCTAAAAACAATAAACTAACGCATAATTTAGAAAGATAATAAAGATCTGCTCCTCTAAACTGCTTTTGATCCAAAATCTCAAGATTAAGGCTCAGAAAGTCAAAATGTGATTTGGAGCAGCTTCACGTTGACCTATAATACTTTCAGGTGCAACATTTCACTGTGGTTAAATATTTATATGCTCAAATTGACTTATAAAAGTGTAAAATAGAAGCAGCTTCAGGCGAATAAACAACAATATCAGCTGATACATGTCTAAAAAAATTATTTAAAATAAAACCTTACTTCAACTTAATTTATTAGGTGTTATTAATGGCAGAAATGCTCGTTTTTGATCATATTTATATTTTCTTAAGCCAACAGGAGTCATATGGCGTTCAGTAAAACAACTACAATATAGAAAACCTATTTATCCACTATAAATAAGAATTATTTGGGAGGTTATAGCAAGAAAATGAATGAATAGTTTGAAATGAACGTTAATTCTGAAGTGTTACCAAAGGAATAAATTACGGTCAAGGATTCAAATGTTTTCTGATTTTTTTCCTTTTGGAAGGAAGACATTAAAAAAATGAGCGTTTAGGATCAGAGATGTATGTTGTGTCTATCTGCTTTGACCGCTGCACTATCAGAGCTTTTTTCACAGTAAATAATCTCTCTTCTGCCTGCCTCCAGACTCACATCTCCTTAGATTAGCTCCACATGATGAAACAGGAAGTCTGTCTCTGTGAATCTCCTCATACAGGTCAAATCCAGAGGCTTCTAAAAAAAAAGTACAGCATATTGACAACATATTCATAACACCAAAAGCTGTCTAAAAGCTACATTCCCCATACAGAAGCACACATAAGAGCAGAATACCAATTTGACAAATCATTGGCATCGCAGGTTACAAAGATCTGTTGAAGAGCTTCCTGTCAACCAGCGTTTTGAACTTGAGTAACACTGATGGTGATTTCTTTTCTTTTGCTATTAATTTCAATTAAGAAAAACAATAATTAATCCTGAAACACAGTTTCCAATCATCATATTATTGCAAACAATACTTCATATGCTGCTGATTGTTGGTTTTCCCCCAGGATGCATAACTAATTCACAAATTCAGTCACCACTTGTTTGATTCGTCCTCCTTTGACGACTGGACTGGAAGCACTTCAAAATCACACCCATTAGCTGTGGGACAAATGCTAATTATCTTGTACCAAAGTAAAACACAAACATTTCCTCACTTATGTCTCATGAAAAGTCAGTATTTATTTTGATTTTATTTGTAAATTTAATTTGCTTCTCTTACTTCTTGTCTCATAAGTCAAAAAATAGTTTCAGGGGTAAAAATTTAACTTTTACAAGTTTTGTATAAAATCTGATTGGAGTTAAAAATGTACAAGACAAATTGATGTGCTTTAGAGAGCCGAGAGAAATCATTCATGTTTGACGCGGACAACAACACTGAAACTGTCTTGGCAAAAGTCAAAGGTGGACTGAAAGACACTAGAGTGAATGTGGGATTAAGGCTCAGATCTACTGTCATGTAGGAACAGCTGTAAATGCAGGAGCTTCCTGTGTTTCACATAATCTGGATTATCTACGAGGACCGAACATGCGAAAGAAGCAGACCCTGGGCAGCAGTGGTGTTTAATTAGTTTCAAAACATGAAATATGAAAACCAACACGATGATGTTGGAGGCTATACTTATGAGGAGGAACATCTGCATTAGGCACACATCTACAGATCCTCAAACTCTCAGCTGCTTTAAACTTCCTTCAAGCTCAGCTACTCAAACATTATATTATTTAGTTATATATTTGTTTATGGCTTTCACATAAATCTATTAAAAACCTTAAACATTTTCAGATGTTCTTTTTTCTTGATGGTTTTTCTGATGGTGTTTCTTTCAGGGGAAAAACAAACTAGTATTGGGTGTTGGTTTTGCAGCAATAGTGATATTAGCAGCAGTCGTTAAAAAACTAAAATCCACTAAATTGTGTGATTCTTAAAACTCTAGTTTAGGGGACATATTATGCAACTGTTTGTGCTGCATCTATAGCACCCCAAATGTGAAAAGAAAAAATAAACATTTGTTTTCTGTCAGTGTTTGGTTTTTGGAATTATTTGCCTAAACGATTTGTTTCAAAAAGTCTCCATTTGTGACATCACAAACAGAGAATTTAGAATAAAACCACCTCTCAGATGAAGGAGATAGCTACTGCTCCGCCCAGATAGGAGAGCTTCTCAGCTTATCCACCTTACTCCTAACCCCCGTGTTTCCATTGCAGTCATAAATGGATGATGTAATCCGTTCACATGAATCCACTTTTTACAGCTTCGTAAATTACGTGTGAACATCAGCTGTCACAGCTCAAACAGGACGCCATTTCAATCTCTCTGCCTGCAATACAGGGGTGGGAGGATAAAAGGAAAATCTGGCTAAAGCTAACATACAGTAGCATTTTAGCTACTTTTTTAATGTCTCTTTCCAAGTATTTATCTTATCCAATGGCACCATCTAGTGGCTGACAAGCATATCACACAAATAGTCTCCATCAGTTTTTTTAAGACGGCAACTTCACATTTCTTGTTTATAAATGTGCTTCTGTAGGCGACAAACTGAGCTAAAACACGTTGTTTTACACAATGAATTATCATGTCAAGTTGTGTTCTCATACATTTATATTTTATAGATGTATTTGTCTGTGAAAAGTTCATCAACTCTGCATCAGCTGAGGTGTTCCTTAAATTTGAAGCATGGAAGCGGAAGTCTAATGCTATTGGTTAATTCTGGTCGGCGCTCAGTTTCCTATAGCACAAAGGGTTAGTGGGCAGGGGGTGTGCTTAGCAACAAAAAAAAGACATTGTGCTTACATTATATCACAGATAATCACTTTTACAGATTTCTGAAAAATCACATAATTTCTGAAAGGGGAACACTCCAAAAAGACACTTTACTCTGACAGCAGCAGGTTGAAATGCAAACAGCAGGTTGTTCGTGTATTACTAATGATCATTTGATAATGTAAAATGTAAAATATTGAGCTCTATTTTAATAAGTTGTCCGCTTGATAAAAGAAATGGTCTATTCCATTATTTTTAGAGTCTGTGTTTACATTTTAAAATTATTTTCATGTCAGGTTGAAAATGCAGTGAGACAGGGAAAGACTAGGTCCTCATGCACTGATGCACAACCAAAGTGGAATGAAGCCACGCTCTCTCTTAGTCTGAGGAGGATGCTCCAAACGTTGTTCTTAATACCACAGATCTGACTTGTTGTTAGTTCAACTGCAAACAGAGCCACATGTTCCCGAGCCATGAGAATACATTTTTTCAGGGGCAAAAAGTTTTAAAATTTCTCTTGAAATGTTCAAATAAACTGCTGCGAGAAACAAAACCTCATGGTGCAATGTTCTACTTGTGGTACCTGACCAGATGTTGTGCATTAACGTTTCTATGAAAGCTGTCCCAGCACAGGGATGGGTGGGCGTGGCTGACTCCAGCTTGTTTCCTTAAAGTGACAGAGTCCTGAAACGGCTGGTACTGAAAAGTCATGGTTCAACTTTATGTGAGAGGAATTTTGATCATGTTTGGTATCAACCATAGAACTATCATAACTTAAAAGAACGTCATTATAGCTTAAGGAACAAGTCATAATATGTCTCCTTTAAGATTGAAGATTTATACTGTCCCACAGCTTGTAGAAAATAAAGGTTTACATTATTCAACTGAAAATCTTAATCAAATACTGTTAGTAATTTTAATGCATGTGTTCAGTTTTCATTAACATTCTTGGTTTTTATGTACACTGGTTTTGAAACTACTTATAAGTCACAGGAGTCATTTTAATCCAACAAAAGCAAACTTTCTAAAAGCAGATTCAGGTAAATCATCTCTAGAGTTTGACTTTTTTTTTTTTAAAGTCTGGGTAGTTTTTAATTGTCTGTTGTTCAAGTTACAAAAAGCTAGTATCTCTCGGAGCTCCGGCTGTTAGTGACACTGTCGGCGTCATTTTAAGGGAGTTTTCAAATGTCTCAAAGGAGGCAAGAGTGCTCCAGTTCCAGGGCTTCTCTCTCATTTTGCCAGCATTTTTTAAAAGTTAAAGAATTTGAGACATGTTTCCTCTCAGAGAAGTCAAAAAGTACAAATATTAGACATTTGGAGGGATTGGCAAGAAAATCAACATTAAAATGAGACACAATAAAGATACTACAAATATGGCACTCAGTTCAGTATAATTCCAACTGAAAGCAGCTTTAACCCAGTAAGATACTGGTTTTTTAATAAATTTCTGTGTAAACATTTAAAAAGGCTGAAATACTTCGTAGAAAACAGAAAGTGGCAACACAGGAAATGACACCACAAAGAAAAAAAATCTTGGAATTTGAACTCCCCACCCAGTTTGTGCCTGATCCTGACAGTTGATTATTCCCTGTTCATGTTAATAAAGCATATTCTGGCTGCTTCTGTGACCTTTGAAAAGCTTGTGTGAAAACAAAACACAAGCTCTTCTCAGATTTGAACTCAAACACTGAAACACTGAGAAATGTAGAAGCATTAAAAGAGAAAAAAAAGCCAGGGCTTTCCTTCAAAGTACACAGCACGGCGAGTTGTTAGCAGATTTATAAAAAAATAAAGAAGGATGTCACGGTTGCTGTTTGATCTGACCTTCAGTGATCCGAGCCTAAATCCAAAGCGATGGAAAATGTCAGAGAGTCTGTACGTGAAACAAATGCAGAATGAGCTGAATAAAGATTAGGACTCCTATAGAGGTCTGCAACGAGCAACCCCGTCCACATTCTGACGTGTTTTCCTGAGGAAAGAAAAAGAAAGCGGCTCATTTAGAACATGTTTGCTCTTTTTTTTTTTTTTTTTTTTAAGAAATTGTGTTTGAAATCTGACCCAATGGGACATTTTTAGTTTTTGCAAGCTGGTAAAATTCAATTTTAAAGACACAGTATGACTCAAAATAAATGCGCTGGGGAAAAAAAATCTACGCATAGCATCCACCTGTGTTGTGGGTTTGACCTAATTCACTTTTGCTGTGTGGTGCATTTTTCTTTTTATCTCTTTAAAGAGCCAACCTAAATGTCCGTTGTTCCTTTTTTGTTGAGCCATTGTTTTAAATGCTGTTACACCAAAAGGGACACTTATCTCCTTGCTTAATCTACTCACCTTAATCTAACAGCTGGAATGTCTCCTCAACCTTCATTAGTTTCTATAGGAGCGGTTCACAACTAAATCAAACAAATCAGTTGTGGTCATGATGTAAAACATGCTGGAAACGTGCTGGAAGCAGACTCGAGTGCAAGGCATGTCAGCTCCACTTTACTAAGTTCAATAGAGACTCTGAAGTTGCAAGTGCGGTGTCCTGGCCACAGAGGGCAGTGGGGGTTTGAGTGGACTTTCATTAACCCTGTAAAAGGTCATTTGAGCACACACTGGCTAAAGAAAATGATTTAAAAATATGAAAAAGTGTCATGGTGTGCCTTTAACAGAAATTACACCAACAATGCTCTATTTTCTGGTTACTCTTTAAATCATGATTAAGCTTTGTTTTGTAAGATTAAAATCTAAGCTTTTTGCTATCAGTAGATAAAAAGACCAATTGAGAAAATCTATTTTAAACAAATGTTCAAATATCAGTTACTAAAGAAGTTGATCATGCAACTTTGTCCTCCTTGCAGCACAACTTTGTCTTCAACTTGCCTTCTCCAGCATTCATCTTCGTTTAAACACAAGTAAAACAAAGTGTCTTCAATCATAACTTAAAGCAATCAACTTTCCACCCTAGTATTGTTTCCCTGGATGGTGCAGAACTACAACTTGTCAGTTCCCATAAGTATTTGGGCATCTGGCTTGACACACTTTCATTTGACATTCACATGAATGCATTACTTTCTAAAGTTTAGTCAAGAATTGGGTTTCTATAGCAACAGGTCATCCTTTACTCATTCTGCAAAGCAAACCTTGGTCAAAATGACAATCCTTCCATCTTAGATTACGGTGAAATCCTTTATAGGGCTGCTTCCAAAAAACTTCTTCATAAACTCGATGTCATTTATCACTCAGCAACCTGTTTCATCACTGGTGCCTATTTCCCTACTCATCATTGTGATCTGTACCCACTCGTTAACTGTCCATCACTCCATTCCCGCAGGTTGTTACATTGGTATCAGTTCATTGGCAGAACCCCGCCTTATCTTCGATCATTACTCATCACTTCCAACAACCAGCACAATTTACGTTCCAGTAACTTCATCTCTATGATTATTCCCAAAGATCGCACCTCTTCTGGCCACTCCTAATTTCAGTTTGCTGCTCCCAACAACTGGAATAAGTTGCAAAAATCGCTAAAGCTCCCTTCCTACGTTCCATTATCTACCTTCAGTAATTCATTGCAGTCTATAGTTTCTGATCAATGTGCTTCTGAGTACTTAAATATTGTTTTAAGTCTTTTTTGATTACTTGTACATATCATATATGAGAACAGTCCTTTGTCTTTATGTGTAACAGTTTTATCTTATTTTGATCTTGTTTGTTTTTATCATATCTGTTTTTCTTCAAAAGCTAATTATGTTGCTGCTGCTGCCTCTTGGCTAGATTGTTGTTGTAAATGAGAATGAGTTCTCAATTAACTCATCTGGTTAAATAAAGGTTAAATAAAATAAATAAATAAATAAATAAATAATTCAAATCAATATCAGCGTGTGGACTTACTAAGGCACTGTAGTCAAAGCAGGAAATGGGGCCTTTACGGTACCGTGCGTTGCTCACAACTTCACATGGATTTTCCTCCTGAACTGTTTACAACGAGTTAAAGAGAGGTAATGGCAGCTGAACGTCACCCAACAAAATAAAACAACCCTGTGTGTGTGTGTGTGTGTGTGTGTGTGTGTGTGCGTGCGTGCGTGTGTGCGTGTGTGTGTGTGTGTGTGTGTGTGTGTGTGTGTGTATGTGTGTGTGTGTGTGTGTGTGTGTGTGTGTGTGTGTGTGTGTGTGTGTGTGCGTGTGTGTGCGTGTGTGTGTGAGCACAGAAAGGATACACTCTTTTCTGACCTGGGTCAGACTCTCAATCTCACAGGAGCTGCAGGGCAGAGTCTCGGCCACCACAAACAGCAGGTTGGTGTTTTCTATCCGCTTGGCGTGGAACAGTCTGTTGGAGACAGTGATAGTTAATCCATTTGACTATGGACAGAGCAGGACTGATATATCACACTTATTGTGCTGATGCTTGAGAAAAGACAGACCGTGAGCAGTTCCCACAGTCCTGCAGCACGTTGTAAGAGTTAGTGGTATTTGTGAAGTAGAACTGGCTGCGGATGGTCACACAGCTGCTCACTTTGGTCTCAAAACCATCAATAAAGACGTCCTCTGAAAGACAAAATAAAAAATTAGACTTTATGACTTCAATTCTGGACATTTTTATTGTAAATTTATTTTGCCCATAATTGAACACACACACTCACACACACACACACACACACACACACACACACACACACACACACACACACACACACGCACACACACACACACACACACACACACACACACACACACACACACACACACACACACACACACACACACACACACACACACACACACACACACACACACAGATTTACCTTGAAAAAGCCAACTGTTGTAGATGAGTCCATAGAGAATCTGCTGGATCACAGACCTGAAAAATAAACCTATTAAATACACTTTTCTGGTAACACAAACAAAAGACAGTAACAACAAAAGTGAGCTGGTTGATGGGCTCAGATCGTGACTCAGTTAAATCTGTTGTATTCCTGGTATCATTCTGGGCCTGCACAAATCTCACCATGCTGCTGTGGACGTCCACCAGGCCAAGCTCAGGATGTCGGCAATGGATGGCTGCAGGAACACACAGCAAGGAGACATTACTGTTCAACTTTGTCTTCAGCCAAACAGGGACAGCGTGGTGTTGTCTCTCACCACAAAGATGCCTCTCGGCGCTGCACCAGTTTGGCTGCTGCTGAAAGCTTCACATTCAGATTTGTAGTGGAAGGACTGCCGTCGAGAGAAAATGGAGTTGTTGTAGAGCGCGTGCATCAGGAAAGGGTCCACATCGCCGAAGAAGAGACCAATCTGGAACGAGACGGGTGACGAGAGTGTTGTTAGTTAAGAAAGCACAATTTATTAATGTTTTTATCGGAGACTAAAAACAATAAGAAGTTTATTTTATAATAAACATATTCAAACTGGATCAAACCTTTTGCCAGTGATCCCTCTGATTGGACATAACCAGGAACCCGCCATCATCAATGAGATAACACAGGAGGTCCTATGGCAACAAGCACAGAAAGTCTAGAAAAATACACCTAAATACATCTAGAAGTCAGCTAAAGGAATAGTTTACATATTTTTAAGTAGATTTCTGTGAAAGGAGCTCAAATGATTACTATTATGAAGCTTTACTATAAAGCTCTTTGGTTGTTCCATCAATCTACAGGTATAAGCAAGACTTCTTACATCTGTGTTCACTTCACAGTCCATCTCACAGCTCCTGGATGGTCCACACTATTGAACACATTTGGTAAAAAGACCATGAGAGGGTTAATTATGTTGGATTAAACCTAAGAGTGACTATAAACCCTGTCAGTTTACCTTGTGCGAGCCTTGTCGACTATCTGACACATTGCTGGCCAGGATCTTAAACTTATCCACCCAGGCCTCCAGGTCCAGCTTCACTCCGACAACTTTATAATTCACAGGTATGAAAAGAGTACAAGTATATAAAGTGTTTCTATTTAAGACAGTTTTTTATGTTCAGTACCTAAATTCAGGATTAAAGCTGTCATACCTGCGGGTTTGAGCAGTTTACCCCCTAAATTAACCTCAACAGCTGAACTAACAAGAATCCCAGCGGTGTTGTTTTCTGTTGCATCAAGGTCATCATAAGCTGTTCAAGAGAAAAAAAAATGAATCCTCATATAAAGAAATTGTTGCTCTATAATGAAGGTGCTATACACACACATGCACACACATAAATTTAGCTCTTAGTACATCACCAACTGGTGGTTTAATGGTTTTGAAAGTCAGTCATTGGTCCTAAAAATGAATAAAAGTGCAATGCTTCATGTCCTGAGTTTAGCTTAGGTGTGAGACATCCCTTCAGAATGAGCTCATTTACTGTTTGCATGATTTGCTATAAAAAGCTGAAACAGACTGAGGCAAAAATGTTTTTTTTTCCAAAACAGAAATGCTGGTTAATTTGTAGGTTTAGCATTAGTTCCTGTTTTTTTTTTAAAGTTAAAATAGGATTTAAAATAAAGTTGTTATTTTAAGTTATTCCTATCATTTCCAGCATCTAGTCTCATATCTCAAGTTTTGGCTTCACACCTGTCTTTTACCAGTAAGTAGCAAACCTGTTAATTGTTTTTTAAGGGAGACACATTTAGCAAAATTCCTATTTTGTGCAACCATTTGGGTTTCTACTGCCTGTAAAATCACTCCAAGGGTGGGACAGAAACCCTGTTCATCCATTTCCTGTCAGGGTTTGGTTTTAGGAATTATGTGCCTAAACAAGCCACAGAACCACTTCTCAATCCTCCAGGCTGGAAGAGCAATACTCTACTATGAGCCCCTCCCAGATATTGGAGCATCTCAGCTCATAGCAGCCTGAAAGAGGGTGGGAGTGGCCAGCTCCAACTTGTTTGGCTAAAGGGACAGAGCTCTGAAATTACTCATTCTTCAAAGTACTGAATATATTGAGAATAAAACTGCTGAAATCACTTTAACCCTAACCCTAATCCTAACCCTTCATAAACACACCTTAAATAAATCATAGAACTATGACATCTGTTTAAAAATGTCCTTATATGCCCCATTTAATCACACATCCAAGTTTCCTTGTGTTAGTCTGTCATAGACAAAGTGTGTTCTCAGGCATACGTCTTATTCCCAGTTCTTCTTGGTTTTGTGTTCAAATTATTGCCGGTTCCCCTAAAATCCCTCTTTTGTGTATATGTTTGGGTTTTCCTAACTAGGAATTCTGCCTCTTAACTTATGAGAGCTGGATCTTTTGGCTCTCCAACAGCTCCTCCTCCAAAAAACTGGCTCCCGTTTAAGTGTCACCAACTCCAGTCTTTCAGGATAATCATCATGCTTCATAAGTCTCCTGCTCAACCAGACTCAAATGATTTAATCACTTCTTTTCTGTGTTGAGTTTCAGAGATGTCTGATTTGTAGTCATTCGTTTAAATTGTGTTAATGTGCGTTGAAATAAGGAAATGTTTCAAACTTGATGAATGGAAGCCCTGGTGACTGTAACCGATCACCCTTGAGATAGATGTACAAACGTAACAATGAAGTTGAATTCAAAGGGAGCAAAAACACCCCCTAGTGACTGGTTGCAGATATGTGGCGCGTTCCCCAACAAAATTACCCACTCTTGCTCTTCTTTTGTAGCATGGGAACACCTTTTGTTTGTCTCGGGGTCATGTGTATGAAATCTGGTGATGACTGGAAGTATGTTAGTAGACTGAAATATTTATTTAATTCTTCCATTTGTAATAACTTCATAAAATAAATTCACCACATTAAGCCAATAATGTACAAATGAACATCCTGGATGTGTTTTTAAATGAGAAAAGAACTAGTCTGATTCTAAACACACGCCCAAGTTTAAAAAAATGAAACAATACATTTCCTTCTTGGGTCCTGATCAACATTTTTCAGTCAATTCTTACTCCAGAAAGTGACACATTTGGGTGCATCTGCTCCATTACTCACAAGATTTCATTGGTGGTCTGAACATGTAGCCTTTATTGTCCAGGCTTCGTCGGTAGAAATTGGAATTAAAAGGCTCAGGATCTTCATCCCACAGGTCAGCAGCTCTGTTCAAACAGAAACACACGTGAACAAGTAGGCCATTTTTCTGCAGAACCAAATATGTCTGTGGAATAATTTTTTCTAATCTCACGCACATGTTGGGAAAAACACGGGTTATTCCTCCCTCTGTTGATGCAAATATAGCCAGGAAGCCATACCTGTAATTTTGAACAGCATAATTTATACCACTGAGTAATCGTTGATCATCTGTGTAGCTCCACGACAAGCTGACTCACGCATTCAGGTCCTTGTTCTTCCATTCACGGGAGGCTAGAAGCCCGATAATCCTGGAATCCAGGATCAGGTTGTGGATGAGTCCTTGGTCACCTGTAAATAAAGTCAGAGTCTGACTCTCCCAGTTTGTTTGTTTGGGGTAAATTACCACACTCTGTACTCACATTCATCAGACTCTGGGGAGATGTCCAGCATAAGAGAGAGAAAGTTCTGCAAGAACTGTGTGTTGTTGTCAGAAAGCTGCAGGTTCTTGCAGTATTCCCTGCAGAGACAAAAGCACAAATGAGCACAGTTCCTCTAACTTTAAATGAGATCAAAGAAGATGAAGATGTTCACCTTGGAGCCAAAAACACGTGTCCTGATGACTCAAAGGAGCTGGGTAACAATGACTGCATATCTACAGCACAGAGACAGCAGGAGAGGCTTGTTTTACTTCCCTGTCAGGTTCTGTTCATGAAATGAAACAAAACGCCTCTCAGTACTCACACTGGAGCTGCAGCATCACATCGCTCAGGTCTGCCTGGATGTAGAACTCATTGTAGGGTGGTAACACAAGACCAAGACTGCAAAATGTCCCAACGTGAAGATGCGAGAGTTAGGAAATAAAGAAAAGGAAGGAATCCATCTTTCCTTCAGGTCTCTGTTTACAAAGCTCACCTGTAATCAGTGCCGTTGATAGGAGTCCAGGTGTAACCTCTGTAGACGTCATCAATGTAATGCTACAATAACAGAAACAAGTTTAAACACACAAGTGTGAGCAGGATTGAAATACTCCTCTAAACTGAAGAAAAAATCACATGATCTACACTGACACCGAGTGGTAGGAAAACAAAACACAAACAGATTTATTAAAGAAATTTTGCAAACATAAAAAAATCAAAGAAAAATTAAAAGCAAGTCACCTCAAATCAACTTTGTTTTACTGATAAACTGAGTACACACATACACACACACACACACACACACACACACACACACACACACACACACACACACACACACACACTACAGATTATTTTGGCATTTTAGTACATCTTACTTAAAATTTTAATATTCAGTGGCTCTTCAGGTTAAAACTCTGCAATGCATTGAATTTGAATCTGTCATTGCTACTGGTTGAAGCCTGATTTATGCTTCTCCGTCTGCGTCAGTGCGGAGACACGCAACGCCATTATCCGTCCTTGCGTAGGGATCCGGCAGGCACGCAAGTACGTACGGAGTCGAGCCCACTTTTTTAAACATCCGTCGAACGAAACAGATTACGCAAGCTTGTGATTGGTCAGGTACCCTGTGACGTTGCTGCTACAATATGATGTCAGCTGCAAACCGCTGTGGGCTATGAAAGCAGCCGAGTCTCAGGCTTGGCCACTCATCCATAGTGGAATAGTAAGCTAGTGTTTACGGCTTGGCATTGGTGGTCTCGGAAAACTCAAGAGCCATCGGTTTGAAACGATACGGCTCAGGGCCGCTCACCTATTCCAAAAAATGAACTCTGTCCTCAGGTGAAAAAGGTGGAGAGGAATTCTTCCCCTCAAATGACTACTCTGGAAGTAAATGCTGCATTTTCTCCATCTGTGCTGAGTGTGTGTGTGTGTGTGTGTGTGTGTGTGTGTGTGTGTGTGTGTGTGTGTGTGTGTGTGTGTGTGTGTGTTCGTATTTGTTAGCAGCTTGGTTCTTTGAATGGCGAGTCACTGAGTAGGCTGGATGTGTGCGGGACAGAGCTGCAGCTAGAGGAGCAGCGGCTCTACTCTGAGCCCCTCCAGTATAGTGGAGCTTGTGTGGGGAGATGAGCGGGTGTGGCCAGCTCCAGCTTGTTGTTTTTTAAGTAATAGAGCCCTGAAACGGCTCATTCTGGAAGGTACTGAAAATGTCACGAATAAAACTGCTAAAATTATTTTATGTCAGGAGGATGTTGTGTAAAGAACTTCATGAACATGTTTGGTCTCAACGATAGAATGGTTTAACAGTCACAATATGCCCCCTTTAAAATCAGCACAATATGCTGTTAATCAGCTACGAGAACTGGACAGAAAATACAAAAAAAAAAAATAAATAAAGCAGCCAAAGTCGAAAGAAAAACTTTCATACTTTCATAAAACAAAAATAAATATTTATCAAAATATTACAGGAAAGTGTGAATCAGTGGAATAAAAGAATGAGGATGTTTAAAAACTTTTGGACATTCACTTATGTAAGATAATATAGGGGTGACGGTGGCACAGGAGTTAAGTGCTCGCTCCGTAATCGGAAGGTTGCAGGTTCGAGCCCCGCTCAGTCTGTCGCTGTCATTGTGTCCTTGGGCAAGTCACTTAACCCACGTTGCCTGCTGTTGGTGGTCGGAGGGACCATGGCGCCAGTGCTCGGCAGCCTCGTCTCTGTCAGTGTGCCCCAGGGCAGCTGTGGCTACATCGTAGCTCATCCCCATCAGCGTGTGAATGTGTGTGTGAATGGGTGAATGACTGATTGTGTTGTAAAGCGCCTTGAGGGGTTCCAGGACTCTAGAAGGTGCTATATCAAATACAGGCCATTTACCATTACAACTGCTGTCATTTTACACCTACCTCATCAATAGACTTGAGAAGAGTTCTGATCTGTTTTTCACCTGGTCTTCCATCAATCATTTGTTGTCGGATCTACGAAATAAAAGCACAAATAGGTTCTTATCAGTCATGAATGTGGTAAATGTCAATTTGAAGACAGTAAAGATGTCCTGTGAAACAAATTATCTAAAATGCATGAAATAAGATAAGATAAACCTCATCTCATCTCATCTTAAAAGAGGTAAAGTAGCAGGAATCCAGATGAGAATAAGACTTCTCTTAAAGCGTGGTTTATCTTGTAAACATCGGCGTGATCTTCTAGCTTCTTGTCCTTTGTTTGGCAACTTGAGCGCCACTTCCGCATTCCCGCCAGGCCGCGTTGCGGCACGGTGTCTCCATCCAAGTTTTTTAAGGTCAGTTTATCCTCATTGCTCAGTGGTTTCTCCTCCTGTTCCCCCCATAAGTGTTTTTTATAAACACCATGGATCTAACCCTGCTAATTTACGTCCACTAACTCCAGCTGTTTCTGTAGTTTCTGATTCCTCCACCTCACTCAGCATGGCTCTATTAAATTCCCGCTCTGTTAACAATAAGACCTTCCTGCTCAATGATCTAATTCTGTCTAAAAACCTGGATTTTCTGTTTCTGACTGAAGTTTGGCAGCAAACATCTGATTATTCTGGTCTGATTGAACTTTGCCCGAGTGGTTATTTTTTCTTAGCCAGCCCCGGGGTTCTGGTCGTGGTGGAGGCCTAGTCTGTTTTTTTTCAGAGACCATCTTCCATGTAGCTCTCCAACCTCTGGTCGCTTTGCTTCGTTTGAACTGCAGCTGATTAAAGTCGGACGTAAGGACCCATTCTACTGTGCTGTGGTTTATCGTCCACCTGGTCCAAACAGTTCTTTCCTTCAGGAGTTTAGTGACTTTCTATCCTCCACTGTGAAGTTGTCCAGACTGGTGTTTGTTGGTGACTTTAACATCCACGTTGATGATCCCTCAGGTCGCTTTGCCATGAATTTCTCCAGCCTTATGGACACCTTCAGCTTTACCCAGCATGTTTCTGGCCCCACACACACCAGGAGGCTCACTCTAGACCTTGTTTTTACCCTGAGTCTGAATGCTGACAGTGTTTGTCCTGAGGGTGTTTATATTTCTGATCACCATTGCATTTTCTTTAACTTGTCAGTTTCTGCATCCCCACCTCCTGCTCGCCGTATGGTTAGTTCTCGTTTTCTTAATGAGAGCACAGCTAGCAATTTTTCTGCTGCTTTTGATCCACCCTTTTCTTCTGATAACGACCCAGATTCCTTAACTTCTCAGTTTAACGAGCACTGCCTCTCCATTCTGGACAACATCTGTCCTGTCAGAACCAGATCAGTTCCTGCAGTGAACCCTACTCCCTGGTTTAATGACAGCCTGAAGCGCCAATGCAGAAAAATTGAGCGTTTGTGGAAGAAAGCCCGTCTCCACATCAATCTGCTGCACCTAAAGGATCTTCTGACATCCTTTAACTCTGCAGTCAGAGACGCTAGGGTTTCCTCTTTCTCCAACCTGGTGTCCCAGAGCAAAGGGACCCCCAAGGTGCTGTTTAACACCATCAGCAGCATCGTCTCCCCTGCCTCTCCTACAGCCTCCATCCACTCTGTTGCAGATTGTAAGAACTTTCTGTCTTTCTTTGTGGACAAAGTCAATAAGGTTAGATCTAGCATCTCTCCTTCAGCCTTATCGCTGCCTCTCCCGACTCCAACCAGGCCCATCATCCTAGATAGCTTTGCTCCTGTTTCTTTGCCTGAGTTAACCAAACTAGTTAACTCTATGAAGACCTCTGCATGCCCCCTCCACATCTTACCCTCATCGTTGTTTAAAAGTGCTTTTCAGTCTATCGGTCCCAGCGTGCTCTCTAGAATTAATGCTTCTCTGGTTTCTGGTCAGGTCCCTGCTTACTTTATTTATTTTTTATATTTGTACATTTTTTGTTTTTGTGAAACGCCACGTGATTTTTATCTTGAGAGGCGCTATAGAAATATTTTCTTTCTTCTTATTATTATCTTATCTTATCTTACCTTACCATACCATACCTTACCTTACCTTACCTTACCTTACCATACCATACCTTACCTTACCTTACCTTACCTTACCTTACCTTACCTTAGAAGATATACTTTTGAATTTACCTCCTCTTTGTTGCTGTCTTCCACCTCTGCATCCAGGAAATCTAGCGTCACAGGTTCAGGGAGGTTCACGAGCTGAGAGGAAAAAGATGTTAAGCAGGTCGAAAAAAAGCGTAAACAAAAAGTACATAAAAAACATGACTTTCTTTAGGTAAGTGGATCACCTTTGGCTGAAGATTTGGATGAAGGAGCAGATATCCGTTTGGATCTATGGCAAATATATATCCATTGGCCCCAAACTATTTCAGACACAAAGGAAGGAATACCCTGCATTGTCTGTCATGTCAAAATAAACAAAATAGAGAAAATGTGCCTTTTTTATGCTTACATTATAACGTGGTGTCAATCGTTTTATCTCATCAAGATGCACATCCACTCCCATGACGCCTAAAATCAGCTGATTCTGGAAAAACAATTAATAATTCTGAGATGATCGAGTCAATCTGGAAGTAAATTTTAAAAAATGTTTCTACCTGTGAGTTCCCGTTCATGGTGAGATTAAAAACAGGTAAAGTCCCGGTCACCACCAAGCCAAGACCCTGCCAAGGAAAAGTAATTGTGGCAAATTTAAAAAAAAAATGCTAATCTTTCCTGTGTTTGATCTAATTTACTGAGTCTTACCAACGCATCCTGATACACATTGGTCCACTGAACCTGCTTGGCCTCAGTGCCTGCCAGAACCATGGGGCGTCCCAGAACATCCAGGTACTCCTGATGAAACACAAATACTGAACATGACAATCTAAAGCTAAAAATCAACTGTCATCAATATCATCATAATGCAAGGAGAATGGGAATAGAAGTAAACGTGCTGAGGAGGGATCAGCTGTGTCAGAGGAGCCAGACAAACCCACCTGGGTGTTAATCCTTATGGCACAGATGGAACGGATCTCAAAATAGTAACCTGGTGAGCGATGCAGGGGAAAACAGGCAACCAGAGAGAAGAGAGAGAGAGCGGATTTGTAAGAAATCACATGGGAGATGCACATTAATTTTCCAGATTTGAATCAGATGCTTAAATCTCACTGGCAAAAGAGGAATAAAAAGGTTTTAAATGTATGCATGTTCAGTCCTGAAGAGTTACTCTATACCTAAACTTTCCACTTAATGTCTTTTTCATTCCTAAATATTCAAAATGTGACCTTAAAGAAAAAGTGCAAGAAAAATTGCCACCCACTTCAGGAGTGCAGAAAACAGCACTGATCCAGTTTATCATCAACAGTTTTTAATCATTATTCTACAACATAGGCGTCATTTTAACCGGGGACGCCGGGGACATGTCCCCGGCAAAATTTGTGATTGGCAGCTGTGTCCCCCCCACTTTCAAAAACGCCTGCTGATGAGGATTTTTGTTTTACCAGCTCAGATCTTATCCAGGGGTCGGCAACCTGTTCCCATCAAAGAGCCATTATTACCCGTTTCCCACGGTAATTCTGGACGGACCTTAATAAGCAGTGACTTAAGTGAAGCAGGCAGGTCGCGCTAGAAAATTTAGTTTAAAAAGACGTCATAAATGTTTTCCCCCGTCATTTTTATTTATAAATGTAAAGAAATTTGGCTGGCTCAGCCATATTTGTAAAGAAAATATTGACTGGCTCAGTTATATTGTAAGGAGAAACTGTCTTTACTCAGTTATATTGTTAAGAAGACTCAAAGGTTGTTTTCATCGATAAACTGACGATAATATCTGTGTGTCTGTGTTTCAGTTCAATGAGGAAACCAGTTTGACAATTAAAAGTTTTAATTCTTCAAATTAAACTAATGATTTTGAAATTGACAAACAGGAAATAACAATCAACATTGGCAACTTTGTGGGACAATCTTTAACAGTTGATATACTGTTCTTGCTCAAATAGACCTTCTGTCGGTGAATGAAGATTGAGAGTGATATGATGTGATTATGGATGCGTGTGTGTGCAAAGTGTCGTGAGAATTGAACATGAGGTGAGATGAATGCGTGTGTGTATCTGATTTTGCTTCAGGAAGAAACAGGTGTCTGAGTGAAAAGTGATGGTTTGAATAAACTTAGGTTTAGTTGGAAAAGATGCATCAAAACGCTATCTGTCGTGTTTTGCCTCACCGAAAATCGGACCCTCTGTTGGACCCGGGACGTCACCTTAGGATGTTTCATCCAGGGCACCTTGGCTGGCAAAGAAGACAAAGATGCGCCGCGAACCGGTCCAGAGTTGCCCTCGGTACACGTGGATGGTAGAGCGTTTTGTCGATGCGCTTTCTTAAGTTAATTCACTCAGAAATCAAAAGACTCGGTAATGAGTCTGCGTTAGAAGTCGCGATTCAGCTATTCTGCCTGGCTTGGCAGGAACAGCGTGAAAAGGGGGAAGAACGAGCCAACCGGCTCTGCCCCCCCTTTGGTTTTCAGGTCCACTCTCTTTCGTTGTCCAACACGAACTGAAATCATAAGACTGAAACTTACCAAAAACCTTTCTCTTCTCAAAGCAAACGTGTGCGTCAGCAAATGTGTTTTGGAGTTTAACTGTGAGAATCTGTGTGTGGGTGTGTGTGCTTGAGTGTGTGTGAAGGTCAGCAACAAACACTCTCAACATTATCTAATTATGGATTCATTAAATCTCTTATAATTACCCCAAAGCATAATAGTCATTCATTTGATTAAAACACATTTATAATGAGCAAATTGATGATTAAACTTTTAACATTCAAAACAAGAAAAGGAAGTTTAAACTTTATGTTTTGACTTGTTATGACCACTTGTCCATGAGAACTCCTTCTTCTGGTACCGCAGGTGGCAGATGTTATGGTTTCCTCCCAGACTCGCTGGCGTTCAGGTCTTAATCTGTGGGTGAAAGTTCTCAGAGACCCAGCTTTGACACAGCTGAGTCCAACACCACCTTTGTGACAGAAAACCCACACTTCCTCACGTTACATAAAATATGAAGTAAAAACTCACAGTTTAATTTTCATTCATTTGTCATTAATATGTAGTCTACACCCGTGCGTTAAGTGGACCATCTTCCAGTAAACGCACAGCATCCAGCCCACCTCTCCAAATGCGTAAAATGTGCATCAGCCGCTAGTTAGGCGCGCCACGCGCACCATCAGCTGATCAGCCCAGACAAGAGCAGAGCAACTAGAGAAAGAATAGAGGATAATTGTGTCTGGATGTGGATGGAGATTACATTTTACAGCAGCCTGATCATCATTTAAATACGTAAACCATCACCTGGCTTCTAGTCCACGCTATGAGCATTATTTTAATTGGTGTGTGTGTGTGTGTGTTTTCCACTTCAAACACTGGTCTAACCAACCAGACCAGCGTGTCCAGTAACGTATTAATGTTACAATTAAACAGTTTCCCTTCATGTATGCTAGGAACGTTTCACCTGCCGTGGCCCGACCGCTTCTGCTCCACATAAACTTTGTGCGTGATCAAATGTCTCTACGCGTCATGCGTCTCCATATTAGAGACGGGAACAAGCGCTGTTCAGCCAAAGTTTCATAATTTCATAAAAAGAACATTTTTCCAAGTGACACATCCCTCAGAGAGACCGGGTTTCCAGACCGCTTCAGTGGGAGGAAATCATCGCATGCACCGTGGTTCTGCGCTGCGAACCCCAGATCTTCAGCTCACTGTCCACCGTGGGCGCTCCGAGCCACGCTGAACACAGTGTCCAGTATAAAGCTCTGATGTTCTGATGGGAATATTTTACCTCCGCGATGTGCGTTAACGATTAAAATGTCAGCTCATCCATGCGCATCAGTGTGCGTCGGGGTAATTCTTTCAAACCAAGCAACATCCTTGAGTTCATCTGTCAAAATAAACAGTCAAATGGAAATATCTGTAACCTGCCGTTTAACTGTTTTGCCTTCTTGTGAAGATTGTTGCAAAGAGAAACAATTAAACTTGATTAACCCCAGAGCCACCCAGAGCGCATGTGGGAAGGTTCCTCCCACTGAAGCGAGTGTTTTCCAAACCCTGTCTCTCAGAGAGACTTGTCACTTAGAAAATGTTCCCTGATGATGAAACTTTGGCTGAATAGCGCTTGTTCCTGTCTCCAATGTGGCGACACATCCAGGAGCCGTCTGAGGAGAATCCCAGAATCTCACATCCTCTTCAGCTCATAATGTGCCTATATGATTACGCACAAGCGTGACGCGTCAACCCGGTCTCACAGTAAGACCGGGTTGGACCTGTTCAGGTTTACGCAGACAATCTTTACATTTAGAATTGGCATACAGATGTAAAATTAATGCAGTAAAATATAAAGCATTTTATTTAAATATCCATTCATTATTTTACAAACACAGAGAGCCGCATCAGATGGATGGAAGAGCCGCATGCGGCTCCAGAGCCGCCGACCCCTGTGCTAGCCTACTTTATTGTCCCCAGCAATTTTTAAACCCCACTCAAGTGTATGGTTATTGTCCCCAGCAATTCTGAAAACAAACTGACGCCCTTGTTCTACAAGAATATGGATTGATGACTTCAGTTTTTGATTTAAGTGAAAAGTCATCAATGAAACCGAAGCCATAAAAAATAAAGTGTGTTTAAAATATCTGTGGATCAAACCATTTAGTTCAGAGAAAAATATTAAGAAATGTAGATTTTAATAGTAACCCTTTAGGCCCTAGCCTAGGCCTTTTTTCTTTGTGCCCTGGCACCTCCCAATTGGGGGCCTTTGGAGTTTTATGTCCCAAGTGTCAGTGATTGTTTGCATTCCCCGAGCACAGCTACAGCTACAATCAAAACAGTTTAGATTGTAAAAAAAAGCAATTTTTGGTTTTGATACATTAAAATAAAATAATACTTGAACTTTATTTTAGAAGAGCTGCCCTGTGTGAAAGTGCTGACAGGATGGAGGTTGTGAGTTTAAATTCCATGTAGGAAATTTAGTCAATTGTTTTATTTATTCCAGGGGTCCGCAACTAAATTTGTTCAGGGTTTTGTTTCCAGCAGACATCAGTGAAGGTCAGATGCTAATCTAAAATAAAGTTCAAATACCATTGTATCTTAATTTATTACTATTTAAAATGGCCTTGTTTCCCATCTGGGCTGTTTGATTGTGGTTTTAGTTGTGTTTGGAGAATGTGGACAGTTGTAGATGTTTGGCACATGAAACTGTATATGCCCCCAACTGGGGGGCACTAGGGTTAAACAGGGTAAAACTGAGTCACCGATCTGAAAGCTAATTCCTGTAGGAACTAGGTATTTTATAATACAGATAAGGCTTTGACAAAGTGGTAGCACCCCCCCCCCCCCAACAGCTTTTGCGCTGCACAGACGCTTCACTGCCTATGACTTAGAACATCAGTTGAGAGCGGTTGAGAGTCTCATGCAGACTGACCAATGAAGAGAGGCCCGACCGCAAATATGGCGGAGTGCGAGCCGCGCGCTGACCGCACCGGTGAGGTGGTCACCAGAGGACGAAACAGGTGATGCGCGCCGCTCCGCAGCAGCAAAACACATCAGGCACAAACAAAAGAAAGCATGAAAGGATATGAGCCGACATAAACGATCGCGTGTTAAATTTGTTTTTGAGGTGCGACACTTTGATAATGTTACTGTGGCCGTTCTCAGCATGCATCTGTCTGGAGCGCGTCAACGATCAGAGCTCTGCGCCTCTCAGCTCTAAATAATCCCCGGAGAGTCCACATAAATAATGTAATATAACCAGGAGCGTTTTTGGGCTAAACAATAGTCTACAGTCCATCTTCCCCAATGTGTTTGTGGCCCTGCAGATGTTTCTAACTCTACCAGTTACAAATTGTGAAGGGCAATGGTCATTTCACAAATGGCAACAATAAAAATTGAACCGAGAACAACACAAAGTCAACAGCGCCTCAGTGCACTGTCACTGATGGTTATTGAATCTCAGCTTGTCAGGAATCTGGACTTTGATGACAAAATGAATTTACAAATAGAAAGGCCAGAAAGCAGTTTTTCTGAAGGCAAGAGAGGAGACCAACAAGGAGATCATCAAGAGGAGACAAAAAGAGGGGGAAGCACATTGTGCCCAGGGGCCCATGCAATGATAATCCCACCCTGCTCGGTGCGGAGTCTGATATGGAGAGGTTAAAAGCAGGTTTTTCAGTAATTAGACAGGTCCATGATAAACACAATGGAAGCTCTAACGCAGACGAAGTGCTGCGGTTTCAGATACCTATGTACATGCTGAGCCCCTTAAAGCACAGTGAAGAAATACTGAGAATAAATGAAAGCTTTCATCACTTACTCTCAGAAATTTGAGGCAAAAAGTAACTGAGAAACTATTATTAGATTAGATCTGAATTTTTAGAGATTAGAATCTGATGTTTATTCTCTCACCTAAAATCTAGAAGAGATGTGTTGTCAATGTTTAAAAAACATTTTGTTTCTGAATTAAGAAAAAAATAGCAAAAAGGTATGGATATATTTTCAATGAGATGCTGATTTTAGTGGAAAATTAATTTAAAACAAACATAAATAGATCTAAAAACTATTACTGGTAATTTTACTGTCATTCTGTTGTGGAAAACATCCAATGAAAACTCTGAAAAGTTGCTTAAACCTGCATGTTTTTATTATTGTGGGCCTATCTGTATTATTAAAATGATCAGAGCCACTACAGAAGGCCCAAAGAGCCTGAGTTATGTTGTGGTAACTTGAGAGGAACTGTGAAATTGTGACACTTTTGCTGTATGCTTGTTCATGATGAATTCAAATAAAATATATACAAGATATATATGATGATAGGAATAATAATTTTATGCATATGTAACAGTGATGTTAGGGCTAAAAGGTAGAATATACGTTTTGTTTGTTTGTTTTTTTCTCATTACATTGGAACTTCACGTTGTCCCACACTGAGTGAGTCTCTGTCCCACATTTGGCAAGTTGAGATCTGGTCACCCTAGAGTGGAGTCATGACTGTATCCTGTTTAACTTCTCCATTCTCCTTTTGCAAAGCTATAAAAAACTCTACTGGTTCTTGTGTGATTATTACGTTAAAAAGGAAAAACCCTAACAATTTGTTTGGTGACATTTGTAGCTCCTGAACGTTCGATTTGGTAAAAGTGTGGCTCACCTTTATTTGTGCAGGCAATCCACTGTAACGGTGTGACATCATAGTTGTGTTGACCCACAGAGAAGGTAAATACTCGAACCTTGGAGGGATCAGATGGATGTAAAAAGGTGTCACTCAGATAACACGACATTTCGTATTTATGTGCAATAGAAGATGATGATAATTATGGGACTGACGGTTTTGTTTGGCCAGTTGTACTGCATGAAGACATCCTGAGCCCTGTCCTCTCCTCCATCAGTAAACAACATTATTATTTTATTGCAGTTAGCCCGTGGGACATTTGTCTTCTGAAAAAGAGAATAATATATGTGCACAGAAGGTCAATGCAGTAAAATAGAGCCTGGGTACTTCAAATTTGGAAGTCACATTAAATCTGTAGGTCACTCACATTTAGCAGCTGGTTAAAGGCGAAATGAAATCCCGACTTGTAGTCGGTGGTTCCTTTTGCCTGCATCTGCTGCACAGCCTCCTTAAAAAATTTCTTGTTTCGCACATTGGCCTGGACTAGATGTTTGAAACAAGGGATGACGGCCTCGGCCTTCTCGTTAAACTGCAACACATGAGGACACGCAACCTTAGGTTAAAAAAATAAAAGGAAGAGAGAGATGTGACGACTGATGGTGACATTAGCAGGCAGGGCAGGAACCAACTCTGGCTACGTTGACATAGTCGTCGTCAGACAAAGTATCCAGCATTTCCATCACCGAAGCTTTGATCAGTTTAAGCGTGAGTCCACTGACACTGCCGCTCCTGAGGAAACACATCAGGGACGTGTCAATCACATAAAAAAAAACAAGACATAACCTGAAGTCTTTATATTTAAGTTATAGGTGCGTGAAGTAAGAATGACATCCTGTAGTCAAATGTTGGTGCTGCAGTTCATGTATCAAAACAAATGAGTCCACTCTTAGCAACTGTTGCCATCAACGGATCAGCATAGACATAAATACGTAGATGCGCCATTGGGAGCTAGAGAGTGACACAGTGCCGCTGTCAAATTGGGTGGGTTCCTCTCTCTCCAAACCCAACTGGAGTCTATGCAGAGAGAGCAACTATGCCCGTTTTTTTGTGCTGTTTACGGTTGCAACACTGTTGAAAACAGAACAAGTGGGACTTTTCTGGGACCAATCTAGCCTACTTGTTGGGATTTTATATTTTACTTTATATATATATATATATATATATGTATATGTATATATATATATATATATATATATATATATATATATATATATATATATATATATATCATGCCATACCACATGTCTGACTGCATGAAAAAGCATAATAAAATGTGTTTTTTAGTTGGGCAAGCACATTCTTTGGTAAAAATAAATGGGGGGGAATAGAGACCCATCCAAAATGGTGGCCCACTGCTTCGCTAGCTCCTATAGATAACCATGTCACATCTAAGTATGACTTCTATGCGGATCGGTGCCAGAAATTTCTAGACGACGAGTGAAGACGAGTCACACACAATAAGTAGATACACAAATAGATTAATAAATTTCACTGCGATATGGAGCTGTAGGTAATTGAAAAAGTAGCTAGATATATTTTTAGAGCAGAATTGTTTTTCTTAAATTCACCATTAGCCGTGTTAGCTCAGTGTTAGACTCTAGCCTCCTTTACCCAATATTAGAGTAAAACAAAAGGAATATATGGCTTCTTTGAGGTACATGAAATAGCTTCTGGGCCATTCTTGTACTGACTAACATTCTTTCCACAACGTTGCTGCTCTTTGCCAGCCAAAGTTGGATTACAAATGTTGGTGCACTTGGCAACCCTGCTGCCTCACATTTGATTGGCTTTGGAACCAGGAAGTGTAAACAAAGACTATGTCCCTCTTCAGTTTTTGTAAAAGGAGAAAAACTGGCCTCCACCCACTTGGCTGATTGGGACATCAGACTTATTGTACCTTTAAAAGGAACTCTGGCTATGAGGACGTTTATGCCCTAATAAGCCACAAGTTTTCTGTTGTACCAAACTATGTTGTTAGAAACACACAAAATATTGTTGTTTATTTATAAATCTTTAATATTTAGTACATTTTTGGACGCCATGTTTTCCACACGCAACGCATTCTGGGGGCGATGACGTATATTGGTTGCACTTGGAAGAATAGCTATTGACGCTAGTGTTGGTTTACGCACTCACCATATTAATATTAAGTGAAATGCTGTATTGTGCTGCTTTTGGATATAATTTCCAGTCAAAGGGCAACAAGGGGAGTGATGTGAGTTTACACAGCTTTCCCACAGGCAAGAAGAGGAGAAAGCAGTGGGAAGATGCCTGTGGACGCACACAACTTCCCAAAGATCCGTGGCTGTGTTCCCAACAATTTTCTCCTGATGCTTTTGAGGCTTAATGAACGCTGTAATCCACGTTTGAACGCTGTAATCCACCCGCTTCTTAAAAAACCGAGTCTTGACCCCCTCTCTCCATAGCAGCTTAAGACCCATCTGTAAACTTCCGTTCATCTCTATGATCTTGGAAAAGGTTGTGGCTAAACAACTCACAGCTGCTCTTGATGAACATAACATCTATGGTTGCTTACAGTCAGGTTTTCGTAGAGCTCATTCTACTGAAACAGCTCTTCTTAGGGTCTCTAATGACCTTCTGACTCACAGTGATGCAGGGGACTGTTATGTTCTGGTCCTGCTGGACCTGATTGCAGCCTTTGACCATCACCTGCTACTGGAGAGGCTGAGAGACTGGGTAGGCCTATCAGGATCTACTCTGGAGTGGTTCTCCTCTTATCTCTCTGAGCGCTCCGTTTCTGTGACCGTCTCCAAGTTTAGGTCCTCCACCACCTCCCTTACCCATGGTGTCCCACAAGGTTCTGTGCTGGGGTTTCTGCTCTTCCTCCTCTATCTGCTTCCTCTTCAACACATCCTGAGCTCCTTCAAAGGAATCTCCTACCATCTTGATGCAGATGACATCCAACTGTACATCTCCTTTAAGCCCCATGAGATGTCTAAGCTGCAGCAGTTACACTGCTGCTTAGGCTCTATTAAAACCTGGATGGCTGGGAGCTTTCTACAACTGAATGAAGATAAGACTGAGATCCTCATCTGTGCCCCAGACAAGCTGGTTCCCAAAGTCAGAGACTCTCTTGGTCAGCTTGTTTCTCACACCAAACCTTCTGTCAGGAATCTTGGCATGACCTTTGACCCAGCTCTCACCCTGGATTTTCATGTCAGTTCTCTTGTTCGCTCTTCCTTCTTCCATCTCAGGAACATTGCTAAGCTGAGTCCCATTCTGTCCCGCTCTGAACTTGAGACAGTTATCCACACCTTCATCTCCTCACGCTTAGACTACTATAACTCTCTTTTCACGTGTCTGAGCAGAACCTCCCTGAACCGTCTACAGGTGGTTCAAAATGCCTGTGCTCGGCTTCTGACCAAGTCCTCCAAACACACCCACATCACCTCGCTTCTCCTCCAACTTCACTGGCTGCCAGTCAACTTCAGGGTTCATTTCAAGATCCTGGTTCTGGTCTATAGGGCCTTACATGGACAAGCACCATCTTACATTGGTGATCTTCTTAGTCCCTACACCCCCAGCAGGTCCCTGAGGTCCAGTGATGAAAGCCTACTGGTTGTGCAGCACCAGGCTAAAGACCAAAGGTGACAGATCATTTGCTGCTGTGGCCCCCAGACTCTGGAACCCTCTCCCTCTGAGCCTGAGATCAGTGGACTCTGTGGTCTCCTTTAAAAAACAGCTGAAGACTCACTTGTTCAAAGTGGCTTTTGTATGACCTTCTTCTCCACTCTCTCTTTATTCTGTTCTCCTCACCTATTCTACCTTCCTTTGGATCCACTGATTTCCCTCTTTCCTGTTCACTGTCTCTCTTTCTTAACATTTTTAATCACAATTGTCTATTTTTGCTCATTTTAAATATATTTTAAAACATTTTCTAAATGCTTTTTTATATTTTTACATTTTTTGTTTTTATGAAGCGCCTCGTGATTTTTATCTTGAGAGGCGCTATAGAAATGATACTTTCTTCTTGTTCTTCTTATAGTCGACCACAACTACTTAAAGAGCTCACCGGAGCGGCTGGGTATAAGAGAAGGAGGAAACTAAATGCTTTGCCAACCATTTTCCCACACAAGGAACCTAAACGCCCTCTGAGAGACAAGAGACGCTGGACGCTCTCCTGAGCCGACAACCCGCTCCTGTAGCTTCTGCTTCTGTCACGTTCAGCGAACCATCGGACACGCCACTCGTTACGGATGAAGCTGAACATTCACTTCTCCCGTCAGTAAAACAAGCAGAAAGTGTAACAACACAGTGTTCTCCAAATATATATAAAATATCTGCAAAAATGATTAAAGTCGTTTCACTGACTATCTTAATCATCTATAAAGCACACGAGAGCTCTGGATGCTAATATTCTCCAAACTCATTCATAATTGAATGTTTTGTCACACGATAGCTTACCGTTAACTTCTGCTGACAAATATGTGAGCTCTTGACAACAAACACTCTCCCTCTCTGTTACCACGGAGACCCATTTGCCACACACACACCACCAGTTTTGTCCTGTTCTCGTTTCATCCCGCCCTTCTTGCTCTTCATTTTGATGTTCGTTTTGTGAAACATGGTCAGTGATGTCCTCATTAATGTTTCACTCTGGTTCAAATTGAAAAGACTGAACAGATGACATGTTGATGTCGCCGAACAGTCACTACAGGGTCCCAAAGCTGGCTGGTGCAACCGGGGTACAACTAATTGACACCACTACCCAGAGTGCATTGCGACGCTAACAACAATGGCGACCTTTCGAGTTAAACTATTTTTACAAATTTTATAAAAATGAAGGCATTAAGAAGGTTTTTTTTTACACCACTTTAATATAACTGATACTAACATTTATCTTTTAAGAACCACAAAGTTTTGTGACCTGGGTTCCTTTTAAGTTGTAGTTTTGAACTCAGAAACATTCCCACCAAACCTTCTTAGAAGTTACTCTTTACTTACACATCAACCAGGATGACCATGTCTTTAGGTGACGATGCACCCTGGATGTACCTGCAATAAAAACAAAATCCTTTTGTCCTCTATGTAAATAGCTGTGATCTTTAAAACAAAATTACATGTCTTAGACATCAGATCATACCAGGGCCTCCTCCTGACATCATACAGGTCGATTTTATCTGGAGCTTTCCAAGGAGATGCTGCAAAAGTATACATGTACACATTTAGTTCAGTACGTTCATTAAAAAAAGTTGACATTAATCCTATTTAATCTAATCCCTATCTTCTTTAGCAGCGAACAGACAGACAGCTGTTGATTTCTGACCTGGATAGTAGCGAGTGACTCCCGTGGCGCTCCCAAACGCCTGCCACAGCAGGGACGGATCATCCCGACTGTTCTCCATGAACACTCTCTCTAGAGCTTGAGTCCAGTTCAGCTCATTGAGGATGACCGTAGCTGAGGGAGGAAAAACAAAGTCTTTGTTATTGAAAATTCTGGTAAATAACTGGACCGATTCACTCGCAGACACAAACAGTTAAAATCTGAATCATCTCAACTTAAGGAGGAGAATTTGTTGAATTAAAAAAAGTGTAATACACCAAAACAAAAAAGAAACACACATAAATGATAAAGTAGAAAGTGTAATGTGTAAAGAGAATTTCTAAAGCGTGTTTTGAGTGTAGTAAATAAACTAAACTGTGTTTGCTTTAAGCGTGACAAGTAATGGAGCTCAGGGCAGAATAACAAATTAAAAGCACTTCTTTTCACACTGCTGTCATTAAAAATGACATAACTGGAGCACTACTTGCCTCCTTTATAAATATCTGTAGGAATCTGAACAGCCGTGTGGGAAAAGTTGACATTGTTTTTGAAGTTTGGGTCATACACAAACTCCAGCTTGAGTTGTGAGGGATTTTCCAACTCAACTTCTCCATCAATGGAATTCTGTCAGAACAGGAGAGTGCATTTATAAACCACAGGGATCATTTCTACTCAAAATATTGTCTGATGTCATTTTTTCCCCCATCACTCACGTAATCCAGCTCTGCTTTGGAGTCATAGTAGGCCATGTCCAGCTCCTGGAGCAGAACAGATGGAGAAATGATGAGGCTGAGCTGATGACTACTGAGAAGCATTATGGGGAGTAATGGTCATGCATGCACACACTTGATACACTTGGACCAAAATTACGTAGGATATACAGTTTTTTGTCACAAATTAAATTTTTTCTCATTTTAAACACATTTTTTCTTTTTCTTTCTTTCTGTCTTTCTTTCTTTCTTGTCAGATTATAATGGAAAGAAGTGAAAAATGAGCAAATTGTTTCTATTTGCAAAGCTGTAACTATCAAATGTCTCTTATTGTTCAGCAGAGTTTTTTGTCACATTGTGATTCAGTAGACAGGCTGCGAGGCTTGTGTGGAGCGTTGTCATCTGTTCATTTCTGAAGAGGTCCGACACATTCCAGCATACGTGTGACTTCTACTCAGAGGTGTTCCTATTTTTGGAATTTTCTGGTCACTAAATATTGCGTCTGGTCCACTTGTAAGAACTCAAACAGCTCTCTCAGCCTGCTGTTTGTCATTGCTCGCTTTTTAGAGGTTTCTCCTGTACTCAGCATGTTGTGTCTACGACAACATGTTTATTTCTGATCATCTTTAAAAAACAATTAAAGGATCACAAACTTTTATCTGGGTCACTGCAGTGATACAGATAAAAACCAAACAATTTAATCACAAACTCTCACCGCTGTACATGCACTTCAGACTAATACAATTATATAGTTTCATTTTACCTTGATCCCATCCTGCCATAGATGCTCTCGCTGGAGTCTTTCTGCCTCACTGGCTAACCTCTGCAAGATGTAAAAAGGGAAATTGACTTATTACATCAACAAGAACAATGTGTACGAATGTTTCTTTTGAAACCAGAAAGACAACCTAAAAAGGTGCTGCATCAAGAACTTTGACTAGATTTGTGCAGAGGCATCCAAACTTCTGACACATGGGCCAAAAGTGACAAGTTACAAGTATATGATGGACCCCAAAATTAGATTTTATGAAAGTAAAAAAAAAATGCTAAATTAGTTTTTTGTGATTGTTTTACCTGCAAAAGAATGAATAAATCTTAAGCATTTGCATGAATAAAAAAAGTATTTCCTGGACTTTTTTGGCCAATCTTGCTTTTGAAAAGCAAAAAAAAAAAAGTTTTTAAGAGATGAAAACTTTGATTTGAACATACAGCCCTCGTTCACTTATTTTTTCTATATATTTGCCGTAGTCTCTACTAATGAATGCCTGGTGAGTCATTCTATGTGGGGTAAAAAAGCTCTGGCGCTCCTGTTTCAGAAAATAAAATGTAGCTGGTGGAGGGGGGGGGGCAGAAAATGGCTGTATTTGGAATCTTACCCATTATTTTTCATGATTTCCAGACATTTCACCTCTGACTGGCTAACAAGACAACTCTTCCACTGCTTCTGTTCGCTCTGAAACGTTGATGTTTTATCTCCACAAATAACACAAGTCTGAAGGAGTTCTGCCTTCTTGTGGAGATGCCTATGCTAACAGTTAGCTTATACTAGCTGGAAAACTCTGCTCTCTCCTGGAACCTAAATCAACACAGGTCAAACAGACAGACTGACAGACAGACACGCAGACGGACAGAGATCACCAGAATCAGGGACATATTCTTACTTCTAGTGCTTTGCGTTTCTTTGTCAGGAGCTTTTCTATATCCAAGGCCACTTTCTCCACAATCCTACGAGGCTGGTTCTTCACCAGACTAAACCGCCGCCTCTCTTCATTGTAAATCTGTGCATGTTAAACAGAAAATGTTAATGTAACAACGTTACATCAACAACAGTAGAATCATTCTGTGAACAACGTTTCAGAAACCTTTTGCACAACAGATGTCTCATTGGCCTGTGTGAAGGGTGGTAGCTCTGGCACTAACTTAAAAAATGAAATTCAAAGAAGATGCCAAGAGGCCATGAGGGGAGGACGGGTGCATTTGGGTTTCAGCTTTCTCCCTATGAATGCATTCTTGAAAAGGACTTCAACACGTCCCTCAGTTTACGTGCTGACCAGATGCTTTCTTGGGCCACGATACACTGATGGGAACACTTAGTAATGAATACAGTGTTTCTGTGAACCGTGGGCCATCTGAGGAGCACTTGGTTCCATGTGGAAAATGTTCAGAATCAAAGCATGTTGCTGAGGATGGATATGACACATATAAGGCACTCTAATGTGATTTCTGCAGGTCATCAATGCAACATAAAGAGTAAATGAAGATAAATACTCCTGACATCTGATATTTGCTGTTTTCTCAATGTTTGTTTAGAAGCTCCATGCTGCCCTGTGTGTGTTATTGTTACTGTTAGGTTAAGTGGTCATCACCTCCAGCTGAAACCATTAGACATGCATCATTTTATACTGAGTTCTTAAAAGACTTGATATCAGAGGTCCTTGATCTCGTCACCTTCACCGAGTCATGATCACCCATGCCGCCCCACCCAGAACCAATTTATCATGAGACTCTGTAACAGCGGAGGCTCTGGCTCTTAAAGGTGCATGATGCAAGAATGAAGTAAGAATGCCATCCTGTGGTCAAATTTGGGTACTGTAGTACATTTTCAAAACTAAAGAACAACTTCTCACCTACTGTTTGTGAGTCATTGATCATTTAGAGTAAAACCTTGCAATCAGAGGAAATTTTTGGATAAGTTAGAACACATTATGAATTATAAATGCATGTATTTCTCTGCATTCATTATATTCTTAACTAGTGAACAACGAACATGAACTAGTGCAACAAATGTATTCTTATTGAGACAATAGTAGCTATTTTACAAAGCTAGCATGGCTGCACAATCTTGCCCTATTTAGGTTTGATGCCATTTACTGGAGGTCTTGCAGGATGTAAACCCTTTTCTGACATAGAATTAAAAAAATTAAAAATCCCTTAAAGATCTGTCATTTTTCAGATGTATGGAAAGATTTATGATGACTGCATGAACTAGTGAGCGTCACATCAAGGCATCACTGCAGGCTGGCCATCTGCTCTGTGGTGACACAACAAAGATGACACGTGCTGCTGCTCTCTGCTGAGGAAACGCCCCCACACATCTCTCCAGAGCTCTACTCTCTGGACCCCCACAGATGATCTCTGCTCCTGTTTGCTGGCATTTACTTTGTAACTCCACCTAGACAGGTGTTACACGGAAAAAGGTAAATAACCGAGCACCAGCTGGGGTTTCTGCTGTACTTTTTAGTTGAAAAAGAGATAAAAATTAGCATTTGACACCTTAAGTCAATGCTGTCTGTTACATAATGTTTCTTGTGTAGAAAATAGATTGTGTGAGGCCAAAACGACGTCTCCAGCATGTAAGACTGAGCAGCTATAAAAAAATTCATGTATATTAAGATACTGAGCCTATACTGCAGTGCAAGTTTGCTTTTAGAAAATCTAAATTCTGCAGAGGTCTTGCTGTAAGAACTATTTTAAAAGAGCTCAGCACTGTGCTTAATGAAAAAGCTAAAAACGTCAAGGAAACATTTTATAAATTAGGTTTAAATGCTTCAATTAAAAAATATAAACACCTGAACTCTGTCTCGTGTTTAGCTTGTGTTTCTTCCTAAAAGATGAAGTTAGGAGAGTCAGGCTGAGATGTTTAGTCTTAAATGCTAGTAGAGCAGTAAGAAAGGGCTATGCCAGAGGTGAAATGTTAAAGAACAACCAAGGAAAATCTCAAATCTGTCATTAATATAAATGATTTATCTTAATTTTAGACAAGCTCTGCCCCCTCCATGTAAATTGCTAGAACAGGGTTTGAGGGAGCTAGGGGGAGCTCAGCTCCCCTGAAAAGGTGATAGGCTCCCCGAAAGTCCTCCACTAACACCCAGGGGGAGCCCAAAAAAGATCCAGTTCCTATGTATTATATAATTAATATGGACTCATTGACACATTGACATTCTCAAAGTTGCACCACCAAATAAAAAAAATTAAGATACGATCGTTAACATCCACTCAGATTCTCTGGTACTTTCTGTCTTTTATTCATGCCTGACACACCACTGCTTATCACTCATTCGACGGTGACTTCAGCTCACTGCTGTGGCATTCTGTTTTTTCGCTAATTTTAAAATTTTGTTGAAAAGTAACTCTCAAGGTGAAATAGTAGGAAAGCCACAAAGCAGTTTCTCTGAGGGAAAAGGTAGGTAGATTTATCCAACTACACTATTTTAACTATAAAGCAATATTTGATAAGCGTATTTGATACAATTCAGATCACCTTCAAAACTTGGTCCTCCACCCAGGGCTGTTTGGAGGCCAAGGCAAATAGACTTGGACATTTTTTAACTCGTCCATTTAAGTGTAATTAAATGCTTGAAATTATGAATAATTAGATTTGATTGACAGGCAGCATGAGCCGTCAGACCTAGCACTATTGGCTAGCTCCGGGGTAGGCCTCAGCCTCACGTTAATAGATGTTCGGCCATTTTGACTCTCTGAACTGTGTCCTCTGTGTGTTCACGTTTGGACGTTAACCATGGAATAATTTGGACAAAGAGGGCATGCGAGGCTATAGTCGTTCTGGCAGCTTGTGGAGCTTCTGAGGGAGACTACAGAAACACTGCAGCTCTTTGAGTGGATGCTGCTTCACTTTTGAGTTGCTCAACAACATTTTTGTGGCTAAAAGTACCAAAAACCTCAGTTAGCTTTTGATTAGCTCCTGGTTTGCTCAGATAGTTCGTAGCTATGGCTGTGTTGGCTCCAAGCTCCATGTAGCTTCGGGTTTCCTTGTATCTACTTTGGGTTTTAAGGTATTTATACGTCATTGTTTTGATTGTTCTTAGAAGTCACGTGACATCTTGTTTTATAGTTTTTATGTGTCAAGTGATGTTTTCTTGCAGCATGGTATTATTGTTAATTCTAGTTTGAATGTGTGTAATTTCTGATTTTATCATGTACCTCACTTTGGGTGGCCTGGACTGGTAGCAGTAAGGTGCTTTATAAATAAATTAATTAAATTAAATAGCATTTATGGGTGTCAGTCATTTGCTCCCACCCTCACAGCCCCAACCTCAGCTCTACTTCTTTTCCCAGTTTTGGATTGTCTGGGCGTGACAAGACGTGTGACACGGCCTAGATGGTGGTGATCGAAACCGCCCATTTGTCTTCACATTTGGCCCCACTGAAAGCTCTGGGTGGGGTTTGTCCAGAATTTAAAAGTTGTCAGGTAGGACACGACTTTCACGTTCAGTCTGAGTGTTAAACTCAAAGTGATCTTAGTAGAAATTGGTTTCTCAGTGAAAGACCTCTTTAATAAACAGTCTTTTTCTGAGGGGCCTGGCCAGCTTTGGGTATTTTCATGCCCAGGGGCCCCTGCAATTATACTCCCTCCTTAATGGAGGTGATCAGTCGGACCACTTACTCCGACACACACAAGCACACACCCTTCCCTGTATGTAATTCACACCTTGGCAGACAGCATCTGATTCTCAAAGACCTGCACTCTTTGTGACACACATATGCAGAAAAATATTTATTGTTTCTTAAGGTGGTGGTATTTACATCATGTCAGACACTTATGCAGTTGTAAATAATTGGTCAAATAGTAGTACTAGTATATTGATTTTTGAGATGGAGCTCCACACTGCTGGACATGATGGGTGTGTTTTTGCATCTGCATCAGATTATTGCTGTTTGTTGTTTAGCGTATTGGTTGCTCAAAATGAGCAGATAGGGGGTGCAAATGATGTGCAAAGAGAAAGCCAGGTGCAGTGCATGCTTAGTAAATCTGGGCCTCTATTGTTTAGTCTGTTTTTACATGTAAAGAAATTCCAGAAAGCATGTATTTCAGCTGGCCTCATTAAAGGTTGTAACTGAAAAGGAAGATCCGGGACTCATATTATAGTAGCATAATGTTAACATGCATAATGTTGATCGAGTTCTGCTATTGATACACCACACAGTAGCTGCACGATCATCTCGTGAAAATGCTCATTTCTAACAGTAGGAGGTAACTCGTAAGTTCATGAAGAAAAATGTCAAATGTTCTAAATCTAACCACTGTAGGCGTCACTTCTGCACTGCAGGAGCAAAAGGGGTAAATGTTCAAAACAATATGCAAAGTGTCAGGAACCTTTGGGTTTAGCATCTGAAACACTGAGCATAGATGGTAACAAGCACTAAAATATAAAAGCATTGAGGATGAGCTTCATGCTTCAGAAAAATCATTTAAAAATAATAAGAACAAGGACTGTGACTGTTTTCTTATTTTTAATGCAGCAATTTAGCTCCAGCTCTTGGACTTAATGGATTTGCAGCTATTTAGCACGCTGACCCCTCTGCTCAGTGTGTTCCTTATTGAATTTATGCAGCTGCATAATGAGTATGAATCCAAAACCACACACTCACCCCTTTCAGCTGTTGGGCTCCAGTGATGTGCTGAAAGACTCTGTCAATCTCCTGCTCGATCCGCCTGGCCCAGTGCATTATCCTGCAGATAAACATCTAAAGCTGATTGTCTCATGACACAAAACAGATAAACAGGAGACGTGTGTGCGTGCAAGTGTGTTTCACAATGAAAAGTGATAGCTCAGTAACTTGTGCATTGATTTGAGCATCTTTCGTGTCATTTAAACAGAAGTACAGGTCACCGATTGTATAAAGTGTGTTTCTATAATGCCACTAACAAATGTTAAAAGACTAAAGGCCCAAATGATAAAAGGAGGAAGCAGGAACCATCACAGCATTTAAAAGGCGTTGACTCATTATAGTAACTAAGAAGGTAATTTAAAGGCAGCAAACACACACAGTTTGCTACAGAGTTCCTGTTGAAAACAGCTCTGATAAACTGCTGCTGCAGCTAAACATCCTTGATAGGATTAGGTTTTCTCACAATGCCATTAAACAGGAGGAACTGATATGCCAAAGCATCCATGCTGCTGTGTAATTTAAGAACAGCAACGAAACATTAGAGGAGTAAACACGGCACTGATGGGATGAATTAGAAATGTTTTACTATAAATGCAGTTTTCAGAACTTCTGATTTCATGTTTCTGGCAGGTCTGAAGCGATATTTGTTTTTTAATGTCCCAGGGGATAAATTAAAGTCTACCCATCCATTTTCTATACCCGCTTGTCCACTAGCCCATCTTTGGGTAAGCAGGCATGGCACACTCTGGACAAATTGGCAGTATATTGCAGGGCAACAGAGACACACAGGACACATTATGGAGCTAGGATCAGGACATTAATACATGTAACTTGTAACATGTTTTCTAACTGTAACTCACTCACTCCTACAGACAATTTAGAGACACCAATCATAACCAATCTGTCGTATTTTTGGACTGTGGGAGGAAGCCAGAGAACCCACGCATGCACTGTGAGAGCATGCAAACTCCATGCAGAAAGACCCCAGGCTGGGATTTGAACCTGAGACCATGCTGCAAAGCAACGTTGCCAACCAATGCACCACTTTGCAGCCCTAAATGAAAATAATGATATCGAAAATAAATAATATTCGGATGGACTTTCTTATCCAAGAAATTGTTCACAGAAATAAAAGCCTTCAAAAACAAAAAAGGAGCCCGTTATCTCAAAAACAACTCAAATATGTGCAGAACGGCATCAAGGTGGTAGAAGAACATTCCATCAACGCAGCAGCACTCATCTCTTCATGGTGTCCAGGAAGATATTTCTCATTATAAAGCACATGACAGCTCAGCGGAGTAAAATCCTGTAGTGTTGAACATGGAGCCAACCTATCACAAAAGTCAGGTTCTTACCTCTGACTCACCACGGCAAGGTGACAACCATGTCTGAAATGTCTGAACTCAGCTCCAACATGCTATTTTGGTGACCCGTGGTTCTGGAGGGTTATTTTTATTTTATTTTTCCAAGGTAAAACTGGTATTGAGCTTACCCTAATTAGATATTAAAAAGAAAACATAGATTTCTTGGGGGAAAAAATCCAAAACCTTATTTAGTGAGAGAACTCCATGGAGGCCACATATTTCTGCAGCACAGCAGAAGGGCAGAACAGCTCTGACATTTTATCTCCACATAATTTTTTTCTAACTCATTGGCTTTAAAAAGGAAATCAACAGTAACCCTGACTTTTATGGTAAAGTTTAATATGAGCGGGCAGCCATGTTGTTTGTGTTTCTATTTACATTGCTCGTCAGAATAAACGGAGCATCCGTTCATCGAAGACGAGCGGTGTCATGGCGATCATTCAGCATTAACCCGCGAAACGTAGAAGAGATCTGGTTACACCTTTGTTGGTTCAGCTGTGAGAAGTCCATATGGCCAGTTCTGAGGACTGTCGTCCCCACAGCTTGCTAGCTATTTCAAACGGACTTGGAAACTTTATGCTAAACAGCTTAGAGATTCATCTGCATAAAGATGTGTTAGATGATCTAAAGTAGTAATCTCTAAATCCCTAGGTTTTATTTTGGTAGCTTAAATCGTGGAGATACAGCTCTGGATGATGGCTGGAGACAGGGTTCTTGCCCTCCAGCTAGTGTGGATGTGCGCAGTTACCCAGATGTAAACAACTTCAATCGGTCTATACTCATTTTCATTTTCTCATGGAAACTTTGGCATCTCATCTTATGACTCAACATCAAGATAATTTCAAGTAACATTTAATCCCAAAACTAATTATGCTAAATTGTGCCAAATTCATCGTTATTTAGGTGGGTGCCCAGATATCTGCTTTCTTTGTCACAAACCAACATGGGTGAGCCCACGAATGATAGTTTTCAGTGTGATATAGATCTTTGTGGTTTTCTGTGATCTGAGCATTTCCCCGTCTGTTTTTCTATCAGCTGCTAATCCAGGAAATAGGGGTAGAAGACAAATCATGTGGGTAACTACCGACCTATCTCTTTCCTCCCTTTCCTGTCCAAAATCATTGAAAATGTGGCTTTCAAGCAGATCACAGAATACCTCTCACTAAACTGTCTGCTTGACCCTTACCAATCTGGGTTCAAAAAGGGCCACTCCACTGAAACTGCTCTGTTAGCAGTGACGCAATCTTCAAAAGAAGCTAGTGTGACTGCCAAATCCTCAGTGCTTATCCTGCTCGACTTATCGGATGCATTTGACACTGTCAACCATGGCTTCCTTTTGTCCACACTCTCTGGCATGGGCATCACAGAGAAAGCACACACCTGGTTTGAATCGTACCTCACAGGACCATCATTCAGTGTATCTTGGCTTGGACAATCCTCTACTGTGCACCATCTTGCCACAGGAGTCCACCAGGGCTCTGTACTAGGACCTCTTCTCTTTGTCATATACACCACCTCACTGGGTGAGATCATTCGATCACATGGCTTCTCCTACCACTGCTTTGCAGATGACACCCAGCTCTATCTGTCATTTCCACCGGACGAACACACTGTCTCTGCAAGAATATCAAACTGTCTCTCTGACATATCAAAATGGATGAAATCCCACCATCTCCAACTCAACCTCTCTAAAACTGAACTACTTGTCATCCCAGCAAAACCATCCATACAGCACAATCCGAAATGACATCCTATCTCTGGCTCCTTCAAAGGCAGTTCGAAATCTGGGTGTTGTGATTGATGAACACCTGACCTTTAAAGATCACGTTGCCTCTGTTGCTCGTTCATGCTGCTTTGCGCTGTATAACATACGAAAGATCAGACCATACCTAACTCAACATGCCACCCAGCTCCTGGTGCAATCTACTGTCATCCCCCACCTCGATTACTGCAATGCCCTTCTAACTGGTCTTCCAGGCTGTACTGTGAGACCTCTTCAAATGGTCCAGAACGCAGTGGCGCATCTGGTCTTCAATCAGCCAAAAAGAGCACACGTCACCCCTCTGTTCATTGAGCTCCACTGGCTACCGCTAGCAGCACGCATCAAATTCGAATTGCTAACACTAGCATACAAAGTCCAAGATGGTACGGCTCCCATCTACCTAAATCCTCTTGCAAAGGCTTACGTCTCGGCCCGGCTGCTCCGGTCATGACAGGATCGTCGGCTAGCAGTGCCTACACCACGCTCAGGACAATCCAGACTCTTCTCATGCATCGTTCCACAAATGTGGAATGACCTACCAAGCACTACCAGAACAGGGGCTTCCTTTTCAATTTTCAAGAAACTCCTGAAGACCCTGCTCTTCAGAGAGCATCTTCTAAACTAGCACCCTCCCTGCACCCCCCCCCTCCCTCTACTGTCCACTCCTTGTTCCCTCCTCTCCATGATTGATGTCAAGTTGTTGTTATTGTTGTTGTTAATTTGTTGTTATTGTTGTTGTTAGCCTCAAGGGCAACATGTCGATTATCACTTGTAAGTGGCTTTGGACAAAAGCGTCTGCTAAATACATAAACATAAACAATTTTCACGTTCAGCCTGCAATGAAACTCAGAGTGACGGTTCATATTTAAAAATAATGAGTAAAAACTGTTTCTCAGTGAACTTGTTCTTTAAATAATAAAACTAGCTGCAGCTTTGTTCCCAGGTTTGTTGGCAAATGCTTCTCAATTTGTTGCCACTCTAAAATAATCAAAACAACAAAGAATTTAATTAAGGTATGAAATACTATTATTTTCCCCATCTTTGTTTTTCTGTTGGGATTCTAAAGTAAACATAGCATTCCTTAGGGGGTTTAATCAAATGTGCAGTATCGGCGTATTATTGCTCAACTCGTTATTGTTTCACTCATTAACATTATGAATCCACACTAATATTCTCATATATATGCTACCTAAATAACAAATGCTGGGGGATAATCACATCCTAATCTGCTAGTTCAAAGCCACCCACACATCAAATCAGCACAAAAGTCCCATCCTGCAGTGTAAGAATCAGTGTCTTTCCTCTCCTACCACACCGTGTTGAGGTGTCAGACACAAGCCATAAGAATGGTGATAATAAAAGGGAGTACATCCTCCTCAGCATTAAACAAAATATGAATTTTAACCTATGTTCCTTGGCTGAGCACTGGACACGTTTGAGCTTTCTACCTGTGTTAGCTAACTGAGAAATGCAGCTTAATGCCCAGAAAATCCTGTAAGTGCCCAGCGAGTGGATTCATTATCAGTCAGACAGCTCGGAGCAGAGTTACGAGGCAGTGTCGCAGATTAAAGCTTTGTCAAGCTTGTTCCTGCTGTCAGATGAGCACCAAATCTTCCCTCGGCTCACAGGACGGTGCAACTGCGTATTCCTTTTCTGTTTCTATTCCGGTTGATCTGAAATAGAGAGTTCAGACCTAATGAAAAGCCAACCCCAGTACAGCTTCATTTGCACTTTTTTGTCAAAAAGACTTTCTAGAATGTACCAAACTGAAGTGTGAAACCCGAGTCGGTAAGTAATTATCACTCCAAAGGCAGTTTGATTGATTATGTTTACAATATAGAGTTTTAAAGCAACACTAAAGAGTTTTTAACACTTTAAGATATAGCTTTCAAACTGGTTTCAGGGTTTCCTGAGCCGTGGACTTGAGCAACTTGC